CGGAGTAGGCGTACCTTACGGTACACTCGCGGTAGCATCGCCGCTTAAGTTAATTATCTCGGGCGGCTAATTCGTATCGATAACCTTCTTAGTCTATAGCTTTTCTTTCTTAATCTTAATACTATTAACTACCTTTTACTAACTCGCTATATTACTCGTACTAGTACTCGTAGTAATAGTACTTAACCGATGTTTCCGCTTTTGTTGTTGCTACTTCTCCTACTTAGTCTAGATATAGAGCTTAATCTCGTAGACTAATAATAACTTTGTTGCTAGTTTGTAGACCGTTAAAGCCTATCTAAGTAATCGAAGCGCCTTACTTACTAGCTTCTCTAGTTAATTAGTTGTATTATTAAAGTCTATATAGAGGAAGTAGTTAAAATAGTCCTAGGTCCGATCGATACTACTATCTAGTAGCTCGTAGGCGTTAATCCGGTCGACAATCTAGTCTATAAACGTTATCTCGGCTTCGAGGAATTCTTAGTTAGACTAGGCATCCGTAATAGTAGTATATAGGTTAGGTTCACTATAGAACTATATCTTAGTTATACTCGTAAGCTTAACTTCTATATGCTAAGTATAGATTAAATAGCGGCAATAGTATCCCTATACTTTAAGGTCCGATAAAGCTAAAGCTAAAGCTAAAGCAGGTATTAGTAGACGTTGCGAGAGGCTCCGAGATCTAGCATTTAGTATTCGAGTTACTAGCTTATACTAACTAGCAGCATTGCGTATAGCATTAGCCGCCTTAGGTATAGAGGGGAACGTATTAAAGCCTCGTACTATACTCGCGGAGCTACTCGTAGCGGCGGCTACTAATTGCTCGCGAACAAATTGCTCGCTTAGTAGATCGGGATTAAGAAGGCCGCATTGTAAACAGAATCGGTATTTACTATATATCTTTATATAGTCGACGCCTAATTTAGTATAATAGATGCCCTAATAAGTAGCTATTATTAGATTAGTAGGTATTATTAGATAAATAGAGGTAGAAATAGTAGAGGTTTAAGAAGGTTATAGATAAAATCGAACTAGAAAAAGCGACTCGCTATATACTCGCGGCCGGCTCGTAGATCGCCGATTAGTATAAATTATTTATAAACTTAATTATCCTAGCTTCCTAATTCCGCGCCGCCGCTAACTAACTACGTGCTACTAATAGCTTATCTAACTCTATTAGTTCCGGCTCTAACCCTATAGCTATATGCTCCCTAGCTAGCCGTCGAAGAAGTAAGTAGGTAGAGCGGTAAAGGCGCTCTATATTATCGCTATTCTCGCTACTACTTACTAGATACGAGAAGCTATAAATCTATAATGCTATCTAACACTAAGAAAGCGTAGCCTCGGGCAGGTAGGCTTTAAGATCTAGGAAGTAGCGAGTCTATTAGCGAGTCTATAGCGAGTCTGTAGCGAGTACTATAGAATCTAATATATACCGAATCCTTAAAGGTCTTCCTCTATATTATTAAGTACGCCGTTAGGTATAGGAATACCTTAATAAGAATGCCCGCTTAGCTCTAGATAATAGTATAGAATATGCGGAATACCTAGTACGACGTATAGTCGATTAGCCTGCTTCCTAATCCGATAGCTATTCTAGAGGTAAACAAATTCGAGGACTTTATAGCGTATAATTAGTATATAGACTATAAGGAAGGCAATCCGATCGGCTAGTAATTTAGTATCGTATAGTAACTTGCGTAGCAACTCGTAAAAATAGCTCCTTTAGCTATTTAATATAGGTACTTACTAGCGCTACTATGCCTCGATCCGCTAGTTTATCTTGCTCGTACCGTATTTAAAGCAGTCTTCGAAAGCTAGTAGTTCTAGTTCTAGTTCCGGATCCGGGTTACTACGAGTCGCAAGGCGAGTCGTAAGGCGAGTCGTATAGTAAGCGTCCGCGGCTAGAATCGTTTCCGCCCTACGGTCTAATCGGATAATCTATAGTATTATACTACTATTCTTAATTGTTGCAATATATTAAGCGAGTACGGATATAGCTATGCGGCTAGTAATCCCTACGTAGACCTAGATAATATAACGCGAGTAGATATTAATAGCTACGTAGATCTATATTCCCTAATGCTCGAATTTATAGTAAGCATCTATTAATATTACGTAGCTAGGGCCTAGTATAACAATCGCTTTATAGTGCTCTCGCGCCCGCTCGCGGCGGACTCGTAACCCTTTAGGATTTAGTAAGCAAGCTATACGATATAGCCGATCTCTGCTAATAATATTGTATTTAGACCTAATATAGGTATATAGGTACCGTCGGCCGAAGGACTCTACTATAGACTTCTCGAGCTCTTCCTATAAGACCTCTACTATCTCCTCTTCTGCTTCTATCTATCTATCTCGCGATAATGCCTTCTTTAATCTAAGCTCTTAACGTATCCGTTAATATCTCCGCTAGCTAATATTAAATCTATCTATCTTTAGTACTTTAACCGCTTCTTTATTAGTTAAGCGTAAAGCGGAGAAGGTATATACGACTCGGATCTTTAGTACCTCGATATTATTAACTCGGTTATAGTAAGCGTAATAGCTATAATTAACCCCCTATTCCTTAAGCCTCCGATAAAGCGTAGAAAGAGCTATCTAGTAACTAGTCTCTTATATAAGGTGCTATAGGATTTCGCCTTATATAGTACCGCTATTAACTTATAAGGTTATCTAAGCCCTCTATAGCGAGAGATCGATACGTAGAGGCATTTTGCGAGTTAATAGCGAGTATAGTACGAGGGCAAACATAGAAAGTTAGTCGTAGAGGTAGGCTAGTAGAGGAGGCGGTAAGAACCTCTATTAACAATCTAGTATATATAGGCCTCCCTACGCCTACGGCAGCGGGTATAAAGTAACTAACGAAACCCCGGATACATATACTTAAGAGCGAGTACGGAGGCCTATACGTACTAGAGGCTCAATGTAGCACTTCTTACCGCAGCGATATAGTACAATCTTTGCCCCTACAAATTGTTTTTAATGTATCTTTTTATCTAGAGGACTTATAGCTAAACAATATATAGCAAAGATACTCTAATTGAGGTCTATTTTTAGAAAATATTAAAATTTTTAGTCGTTCCCTCCTAAATTAATAAGCTATATAGCTTGAAACTCTAAGTTAGACGTTTTAGAATTTTAGTGTTTTTTAAGCCTTAGTATACTGTTTTTAGTAATCCAAGATCTATGTCTTATAGTTTTGTTTAAAAAGAATCTAGTTCTAGATTTTTATTCTAGTATAGCTACTATTAGTAATATAATCTAGAAAAGAATATTATTAGAACCTGAATTCTTACTAGGTTCTCTTTAGTATATCTTTTTATATAGAAGAGTTATACTTTAATAATATAAGACAAAGATACTCTATTTTTTATCTATTTTTAGAAATTAAGTAAAACTGTTATAGTTATCCACTAAGATTAGCCTAAAAATCTAAAAGAAAGACTTTTAGATTTTAGTATTTATTAAGCCTTATAATACTATTTTTAGTAATCTAAAAGCTAGAACTAAAGGTTTTACCTAGTTTTAATCTATATTAAGATTCCTATCTAAATACGCCTACTATTAGTCTTAAAATCCAAAAGCGAATATTTTTTAAGAATTATAAGCTTAAGAATTTAAAGTTTAGAATTTTAAAAAATATTCTTTCTTAAGTTATAAGACTATTTATAAACTAATAAAGGTAAAAGCTCTAATAGGAAATTTTACTAGATAAAACTGTTAGGTTTTGATTTTAGATTACTAAAAATAGTATACTAAGGCTTAAAATATACTAAAATCTTAAAATCTTAATTCTAGAATTTTAGGCTAATCTTAGTAGATAGCTATAATAATTCTAGTCATTTTCTAAATATATATAGAGAGTAAAGTAATTTTGTCTTATATTACTAAGCTATAACTCTTCTAAATAAAAAGATATGTAAGATAGAATCTAAGAACAATCTAAGTTTTTATAGTATTCTTTTCTAGATTATATTACTAATAGTAGCTATATTAAGATAGAAACCTTAATATAGAGTCTTATAAAGTAAGGCTATAAGACCTAGACTTTAGATTAATAAAAATAGTATACTAAGGCTTAAAAAAACGCTCAAATCCTAAAACGTCTAACTTAGAGTTTTAGGCTATATAGCTTATTAATTTAGTAGGTAACGACTAAAAATTTTAATTTTTTCTAAAAATAGACCTAGATTAGAGTATCTTTGTCTTATATTGTTTAGCTATAAGTCCTCTAGATAAAAAGATATATTAAAAACAATTTGTAGGGGCAAAAATTGCAGTACAAAGTCTGCATTGAGCCTCTAGTATGTATGGAGCTCCGTCAGCGAGTCCGAGCCGCCCCGCCAGACGCAGCAAACAAGCTCAAGCGGAGCCAAGTCCAGCAACCACATCCTGCATGTCACCACTTCTGTTCCAAGCCTGGCTTTGCTCTGCCAACCTCTTGATTTGCCAGGTATGCAATGCGCCTCCTTGGAGTCCGCGGAGCGACTAGAAGAGCCTTGTGAGGAGCCCCCAAAAGGCGGCAGAGCTTTGATTAAGTCAGCGGTTTGTAGATGTGCGCGATGCGTTTCTTTTTCACTGACCTCACTCCGTCCTCTTACGATCTCGGCATCGGCAGCAGAACGACAGCAGCCGCACGGAACCAGCCTTTGAAAGGACGCTATTCCCCCTCGATCCAGTAATCGCCGTCATCGAGACAGGAGTTCCCTGCACTAGTTGTTGTCAAGAAAGAGCTTGTCGGCATGGGTGACGCGCAGAATTCGTCCAAGGACGAGAGCAATCAAAGCGCGTCTTCTAGTGGAGACAATGTAAATTCCAAAAAGGTCCCAAGCCTAAGACGTAGGTCGGGATATGCAGAGAATATGTCCAGTCTGCGAGTCGTCAATGCTTCTCCAGAGACTGAACGCAAACAGCGATTGAAAGAGCCGGACCTCGACTCACCGACGTCGCCCAGGCCAGAAAGTGAAGCCAGAGACTTCGCGCCTCCAGCAGACGAGATGGAAGCGGACCTGTCGTCAAGAGCAGCTTCCCCTGCCCCAGCGAGTGTCTTTGACGACATTGCAGAGGAGCCGGAAGAAGAACTGACAGAAAACACAGCAGCGGCGTCTGGAGATGGATACAACCTTGCGTCGCCCATAAACGAGGAAGACGCCTACAATCTGAAGCCACCGCCGGCTAGCAAGGCGTACGATCCTGATCAACCAGATATAGAGGAGCTGGCTGTACGTTTCTTCTCGTCCGATCATCTCGACTTTATCCTGCGCGATTATGGCCTTGCGCTACGTTTCGTTCGCTTCCTGCAGACCTATCGCCCGCAGCACGCCGACATGCTCAAGCGATATGTCGAAGCCAAGAAAGCAATCGGCGCAATAGAGTACGCCAACTCCGTCGCAAACCATTTCGCGTCGGGCTACCCGCCCATGGTCGCAGCAAGCGTGGACCAGAGATTTGAAGAGTATGCTAAGAGTATGGCTGAAGCCTTGACAGATGAGGCTCTACCAGCTTATCTCACGTATCGCCTGACGGCTACTGTGACGGATACGCTTGTGAAAGAAATTACTGGAAACAGCTCGCCCATCATGCATGAATTGATTCCAAGCCTAGCAGAAGTCTATTGTCTTACAGACCCGTCGAAGAAAGACAATCCCATCGTGTATGCCTCAGAAGAGTTCTACAACATCACGCAATACACGCCTGAATTCACAATCGGTCGCAATTGTCGATTTCTCCAAGGGCCGAACTCGTCTACATCTGCTGTTCGACGCTTGATATCAGCACTGTCAAGAGGAGAAGAATGCTGCGAGACAATTCTCAACTACAAACGAGATGGTACACCGTTTATGAATCTCCTGATGCTCGCACCCTTATATGACAACAAAGGCGAGGTCAGATACTTTCTGGGAGCGCAAATTGATGTCTCTTCGCTCATAGATCGTGGTCGCGGTCTGGAGTCATTCGCTCAGCTACTCGCACAGGATCGACAAGGCAACAGAGCGGCTGGGTACGGAGTGTCCAGTGAGTCTGGCCGAGATCCGAAAGTGGTACTCGGAGACTTAGGTCAATTGCTCTCGGAGGAGGAAGCAGCAATCATCACAAATCGTACCTCGAATCGCAGCACGCTAGTTCCAAGCTCCATGAGCTCGATGCACTCTTCTACCTTGAAATCCTCTCGTGCACGACCGAAAAGCTCACGAGTCGTATTAGGTATGGACACTGCCCCTCGCGATCTTTGGCCTTCAGCAAATCTCGGCTCCAACGGTCGTCTTCCTGGGGTCTACCAAAACTACCTCCTTGTCCGACCCTACCCATCCTTAAGGATTACATTCACAAGCCCATCACTCCGCATTCCTGGTCTCCTCCAGACGAAACTGCTCGATCGCATCGGCGGTCCCTCTACAATCCGCGAAGGCCTTGAAGAAGCCCTCTCCCGTGGCACAGGCGTCACAGCAAAAGTGACGTGGCTCACCTCGCCCAATCAACCCAATGCAAAGCTACCCCGCGGTCCGGCGAGATGGCTGCATTGCACTCCCCTCCTTGGCTCAGACGATCGAGTTGGCGTTTGGATGATTGTCATTGTTGAGGATGAGAATATCACTGGTAGCCTAAGGAGAAATCGAAGTCAGACGAGTTTGAGAGACAGCGAGCGAGGTGCACAGCAATACACAAGTTCAAAGCTTTATGCAGATTACTTGAAAAGAGAAGGGAGATCTGAGAGTGTAAAAGGGAAGGAGAAGGAGCGGCCTAATACTCGGAAATCGATGAGCACAGGAGGACAGGTGGATGACATGTTCCGGGATTTTTGAGACACACTTCTTTACCTGAATGATCTGCGCAAGAAATCCCGAGCCGAATTCTTTGCTTTCGATTACGATTCCAGAGACAGCGAGCACATTTTAGAGCTGGTCGAGGGAAGCGAGCAATATAAGTGTCGAAAAGCTCACTTCAGTCATATCCCCGCCTCCTATAATCATCGCAGGGGTTTCTAGGCCAGACTCAAGCTGCACAAATTTTTCCCTGGACTAGAGGCACATGCTTTCACGCAACAGATCGCGTGAAAATGCATCTACTCACAAGCCACCCAACTGCGCAGCGCTCTGGCAGGAGTCGTCTCCACAAAGCGGCTAGATTTTGAGGTGAACAGCATTGGGAAAAGAGAGACTTGGAGACGACTAAGTCAGGTGATGATCCGATCACCTCACTTCAATGGCTTCCGAAGACCACAGAAGTGTAACTGTAGAATCGCCAATTCAAGCGCAGTGAGGCGTGTAGTCCACGACATCTTCTCTCCAGCATACACAAATCTATTGAGCGCAGACCTTGGGATTCTACAAGCATACCTAGTAATGGAAAGTCACAAGGCACAGCCGGAAACGAATGTGAGCTTGAGCAGATCACTTGCTTCACGTTCGGTGACTGTGTCTTTAGCAGCGCAACCGGGCTTGAACATCGAGAGCAGAGCCTTTGCCTTGCTAGCCGAGATGATCTGTCTAAATGTGAAGGTGTCCAAGAATTTTATTTCACGTCTCAAATCCTTTACGGTCCGCGATAAACGGCTTATGCGGCTCTACCAGGCTCGAACAACCAGAGCAAAGATAACAGCTTGTTAGCCGGGGTTGAATAGACTCGAGGTGGGACCTGCACAATGCTCAACATCTCACTTCGCAAACGCTCTGAGCCGATCGAGCAATGCAAGTGAACCATGAGAACAGATAGGTCTATCGAGATCATCTAAGGCAGTGTGAGGTTTGCATACCTCTGAAAGGTTCACATTGTTCCTCCTCTACACTCACGAAGTTGTAGAAGTGCATCGGGATTGGAAACCAAGCGCGAGAATTATAGAACGGTGGCGAACTTCTACCGGCACGAAGTGAGAATTTTATGATTTTGAAGGACACTGGTCTTGCAAAGCTTCAGCCGACTTGATACCTTATCCTTAGAGGTCTGCTGCAACGAATCGCTTCAGGGGAGTATGGTAGTTCTAGCATGGTTGGTCTTAATAGATTTCTCGGCGCCATTCAGAGACAAGGACTTGACTTGACTGTTCGCACAGGCATACGAGCACGATGTCAGTCAGAATCTGGGCGTTTCGAATTGCTGGCTCACTTCGTCTACGCTCTGTACCTGTGAGTTGACGCAACTTTATTGAGATTGGACACTAAAAGCTGGGAGTGAGCGTTGCTTAGGAGGGTACGTTGCTCTACAGAAGTGAAATGTCGGAATGAGCACTGCCGCAGCTAGTATAAAAATGCAGTCTTTCCTCCGCTTCGCTCGCGTCAAACGCTTATACTATAGTGCAATGAGGTATCATGCTCTTCGACCTGCCTGTCTCTAAGTCTTCTAAATGCACCTCCAAATTCTTGCCCATTTGTAGATCCTCTGACTCTGTGCCCTTATCGCCTTCTGAACCTGCCTCCTACTCCTCTATTTGCAAGTCTCCCGACTCCGTGCCCTCATCGCCTTCTAAATTCGCCCCCGACTTCTCGATTTGCAGAGCCACTGACACTGCGCTCTCCATATCCTTCTTGTGATACTTTCTTTCTACGACATTTAGCTTGATAAGTCTATCTCTACAATGCGTAGGCGATATGTTCTAGTCGGACTGAGAATGCGAGGCCATTGTCATATAGCGAAGTCTTGAGCGGTGAACTGAAACTGCAGTAGTTGGGTGAATATCATCAGCATAGCTCATCTGGTGGTTCTCTAGGAATTGATCGTGCGTAGGTCAGGCTGGATGGAAATCAGGCAGCTTACAGTGATCTATTGCTATGAGAAGCGCCGCGCGATTTCGTATCTTTCATTCTTCTATCTATACAGAAAAACTTACGCGCAATGGAAGAGACCAATCCCAAAGTGTCTGCTACTACTCCTCTCCTCTCTCATGCTCAAAATCCGCCCATCCCTCAGGCGCCGCATTCCAAAATCTGTCTCCTTGAGGTAAGTCGTCCCATTCTCTCATCCCCAGTCGTCTCGCAGTCTCCTTCTCGACACGCGTCGCCAAGGCCTCGTTCCATACTGGGTGAGTAGTACAGTACTCCACCAGGGGGCCGAGGAGGATGACTTGAGCGACATAATACCTAGCTAGGAGCTGGGGAATCGGTCGAGCATTGCAGCCCTCAAAACCAGATTGGGCTTTTGTATAAGCAATTAAACGCTCAACTTTGTGCCACTGGTCGCTGTCCTCCGCACAGATCCTCTTTGCATTTTCCGTGCTAGTCTTTCCGAGGACAAGGCAGACATTTCCCCATCTGACATCGGACTTCCATGTCTTCTGGTCCTCTTTGTCCATGGACGTAGCATGAAGCGCGGCTTTTGTAAGGACATTGAGCTGCTTCCGTTCCTTGGGCTTGGTCCTCGTGGCGCAGAAAGCTAATTGAGCATCGATGACTCCATCGAGCTTGATACCGTAGCCGTCATGGAGAGCGATGCTGGGGAGTCGACAGTCGAATATCAGTTTCTTAACATCTGGGGTTTGGAGGATGCGACGCAGATCGGTAGAGGAGTTCGTGCCTGTACCAGAGCAGTTGAATGATGCGGCGCCGAGGACTGCGACATCGAGGAGGTAGACGTAGTCGAAGCTAGGTACGTAAACCGTCACAATCGAGATATCGCCGCCACGGCCAAGCGGCTTTCCCTGAAGAGAAAGCGCGAGATGGTAGGGCGCCGGAACTTTCAGTGCCGCCAAGATACCGTCCATCATGTCTGAGACCATCTCGATCCCATTCACAACTGACAATTTTGGGTGCGACAGCTTGACTGCCGGTCTCCAGACGCCGGTCGCTTCAGAACCGCCTTCTGAAACTCGCCATGTACGCTGCTCTGCGATCGCAGCAAGGATCCTGTTGTATGTTGCTGTAACTTCTCCGAAGGAAAGCCTTTCATACAATTTTGGGTGCATGTGGGCAGGAATATCGTTCTCGATGCTCCGCAGTTGATTGCTCAGCGAGTTGATCTTCCTCTCCATCTTCTCAAACTCGATTCGCTGTATTGCCTCGCCTTGCAGAGAGAGGAAAGTCGATGTTCTGATTCTCTCGCTGTTCTTCGCCATCTCGGCGCATTTCAAGGCATTTGTACTGAGCATTGCTTCCGGTGAGTTACTCTTAGAGTGGAGCGGAGAGCCTTCATCGCTTTCACTTTGACCGACACTCGACTCAACTGGTGGCAGCGTATCCATCCAGTCCGCAAGTGCATCGCGCGCAGCATTTCCTGGCACTATTTTGATTCGGCCAAGCAGGATACCAGTGGCCGAAAAGATCTTGCCCTCTTCGCGGATGTATTCTCCCGCGCAGTCTTGGATGTCACCTATGACAACTTCCCCAAAGACATCTCCGTTGTGGTCGAGAACCTTGCCATCTCGACTGACTCTTCTGCCTTCATAAATCTTCATTGGGAGCAATAGACGTTCGTCGGTTGGGTCGCCGGTGGCGTTCCGTGCCAAGCCAGTACTGGGAGGCTTGCACTCCCACTTCGAACTGGAAGACGAGGAATGTGGCAGACGGATATCGGTGTTGAGCTTTTCGGCTTGAGTGGCGATGTTCGATGTTGAGTTGCTACGGAAGCGTCGAAGTCTGGCAAATGAGGTTGGGCTCTTGACTTCATCGTCGGTGTCGAAGTCTGGTTCATCAATCTCAAAAGACGAGTCTATCGGGAAAAAATCGAAGTCAGACATATTATTTGCGCCGCCTCGAGACATGTTGTTGCTTTGAGACAATCGTGATGTCTTAATGTCTGTGTTAGGATTTAGCGTATACGTTATTGCAGTGTGCGTATTAGTCCTGTAAGCGCAGCGCTAGCTTCAATGGTTTATCGCTGTGGCTATATGTACTCGGTCTTAGGTCGCTGAAGGAAGTCCTTGATATCAAGACTGGTGGCAATGCTGTGCGACTTTGGTGGTTGGTAGCCGATGGTTATGTTGTAGAAGTCGAAGGTGGTTCACAAGAAGTAGTGCTTTCGAAGTAGCCAGCAAACGCGTAGCAGAAAGCCATCACATGAAAAGTAGGTCCTGTGACAGGCAATCGGTCAGTGAATGAATCTAGCAAACCTCATCCAATAATTATGAGTAGCCGAAAACGCCCGGAGCCGTTATTTCCCGATCATATGTATCGGAAACGAGAGTGAAGCATGTGAATACGCAAGGTCTATTGCGCTTCGACTCGGATGCTTACTTCACGGCCTTCGATGTACGTGCCGAGCGCTCTAGTGCCTGCGACAAGCTCAACTTCTCTTGCCACTAGATTTGCGCCATCATCCATCACGACAGCTTCGTCTTCGTCACTGTCCCACCATTCCAGGGTGCCGTCACCATTGTTTTTTCCGATTGGATCTTTTTCGCCAGTCTCCAAGACCAAACGCAGCTTCAGCGGGCTGATACCAAGCCTTCTTCCGACCATGCCGAGAAGTGTATATACGTTAAAGGACTTCGGGACCTCTTTCACCCATGAACGGACCGGCTCGTCAATAAAGCCTTCGTTGGCTAGGACGAAAGTGATAACCACCAAGCTTGCCGCTAGAGATCGCGGATTAATTTCGTCAGGCTTCGGCGCCCTACTGATTGTTGGCTCTCCATATTCCTCGCATAGAGTTTTCCATCTTGGATGCCTTGAGAGAATCTCAGCGGCCTTGTCCTCGGGTGCTAGAGAAACCTCTGCGGCAATCTCGCGAAGGTAGTAATGCTCGGCATTCAGGCGTTCCTTCTCCGTGATCTTGCTGAAGTTCAAAGTCTCCAGCTGTGGTAGCCTTGCCATGGTAAGCATGTACCCATCTTCGGCAGTCAAAGGCTTGCCCTCTGCAGAACGAAGATCCTTGTAGAGCGGGTTTCCTGTAACACGTAGGTGCCTCACAGCCGGCAATGAAAGTGATAAGGCGTCGAATAAAGACCATGTCGCAATTGCGTTATGAGCTAGGTCGATGTCTTCTATGCTATTGCTGATCAAGGAAAGAGATCGAACGCTGGAGTCATGCTTCATCAAACCAATTGGATTGTGCTTTAGGGTCAAGATCCGTAGACGCGGAAGACCGGCAAGGTGTGCAAGGTCTGAGAGAGCCAGAAAAGCATTCTCGGACAAGTCGAGCTCCTCGAGCCTCGTCGGTAGTGCATCTGGGCCGATAGTTGCGAGCTCGTTGCTAGCAGCAGCCAGCCTCGTAGTGTTCGGAAAGGCTTCTGTTACCGAAGCAATTTCGGACCAGGAGAGCAGCGTATGCGAAAGGCTAAGAGTCGTTATTCGGTCCAGTACGACATTTTTGGTTTCACCAACAGTAAAGCGATTGCCATCCAGCACAACACTCCGCAGCTTGGGCATTAGCGACAGGAGGCTTAAGATCTCGTCCAAGGTCTCGAAAAGATTGCTGCTCAGATCCAGATCCATGATTTCTTTGCAAGTTTCAGCAATCAGATTCCGCTCGGAATCCAGCGATTTGCAAGAGATGCGCATGTGATCCAGAACAATGGTCTTGATGCCCTGCAAAGCCGCTTGACGTTTGGCGAACTTTTCAAAGCCGACTTCTTCTGCCTGTTTAGTCGAGAAGTAGACAATCTCGCCCCCAGTGCCAGCATCTTCGGGCATGTACTTCTCTCGCAAGGCCTGGTAGAAACTTCTTGGTTGATCCCATTGCTGGTTCGGTCTGAGGAAAGATGCCGCCGTGGATGAGGAACTTCTGCCTATATCGTGAGCTTGAGCGCGTGTTTGAAAAGGTATAGTAAGAGTTGATCATACAATTGAAGTACTTCTTCGCTTCATGAGTCCCATTGTGTTTGCCTCGAGCAGGGTCATCCCATTCCACGCCAAGCCATTCTCCTGCCTTTCCTTCAACCGCTCCCACGTAGCAAATGGTACATAGTTGACCTTTGAGACTCAGTCTCTGCCCAATATAGTACTGCTCGGTCATCTCGATAGGCGAAGCATGCTGTCTTGCTTGTGCGGGTGTGACAGTGAACGGACACAGGGAAGTCTGGATAAAGTTTGGACCCTGTCTCATCACATGCTTGCTGCTTCGCTGGGGCCCCGCCATTCGATTCACGACCACAACTGACACCTTTCATCTACATTCTGCATGTACCAACGAGCAAGTAAACATATGATCACGAACTGACGAGCTGCATTCGACGCGACAGAATTCAACAGCCTTCAAACAGAGCCACGCGCATCCGAAGGCACACCCAACGCCTCAAACTCGCGAGCTTTCAATTGAAGCTCGAAATCACAAACCATGGAACAGATTCAAGGTAAGAAGAACAAGAAAAACATAACCTCTAGTACGCTATCTCACTGAATTCGGCCCTAGACTGGGCAACCTACATCTCCCAAACGCACAGAGCGCCTCACTACTACATCTCCTACGCGCAACAAGCCTTCGGCTACGCTTCAACCGCAAATGGCTACCTCTCGACCATAAAATCCTACCTCCTACTCCTCATAAACCAAGTCTCTGAAAAACCCGACCTAGCCACAATAGCTCTCCTCCTCATAATCTTCTTCATCTCGCTCAAAATTCTGAACATGCTGCTCCAGACCGTGCTGTTCTGGTTTAGAATGGCCAGGAGGTTGGTGTTTTGGGGAGGACTGGTGGGGTTGGCGGTTTGGATGTATACGAGGGGACCGGAGGGAGCGGCGGCGGATCTGCAGTATTGGTATGATACTTGGACGGTGGAGTATGAGCATTGGAAGGAGCAGGAGAGGGTTGCGAGGTTGATGCAGCAGCAGCAGGCGCAGTTTGGGCAGAGGGGGCAGAGGTGGTACTGAGTAGGAGGAAACGAGGAGGGATTGATTTGCATGGTTTGGGCATACATACTTGTGGGATTAGCGATGGCGTTTTGAGAGCCGAGATGGGCATGGCATGGGATTGGGATTTGGAGACAGACTACATTGATGAGGTATGAATGCAATGACTACCGCTATCGGATATTATCACATTCATGGGGCTTCCTCAGACGTAGCTCACAAGTGTGGCTAGCAGATAATGCCGCCAAATACGAGAGACATATAGAGTGCAGTCAAGCAGAAGTCGAAGGCTGAAGCTTAGACACGAAGGACAGCGGTCTGGAAATCCGGGAGTTGTTTAGAATGTCTCACCCAGATTTCTTCTTCCTGGAGTGGTGTTCTAGTGTAACACTGCACGAGCACAGCGATTCGATTCGATTTGTGTCGACGGAAGGGCTTCACAATGCTTCCATTTCTCTCGGTTACCGCCGCCGTGCCACGGGCATGAATCCTGCAGAGCCGTTGACGCATGGTCAGAGCTCCAGAGAGAGGCAAAAAAAACATCGACTCATTTCAGCCGTCACTTGCGGCCATCACGTCAACAACCTCTCCCCGAGCTCAGTCATGGAGGACGCAGTAGCTTTGCCAGGCGGCAACGGATGCAGCACCGCAGAAGGCGACGATTGGAAACGTCTCTGGAAGAACGCTGCGAGCTGGCAGGATTTTCTCGATACCAACCGCGCCTTTCTCCGTGGCGAGATGAGCCAGTCACCGTACTATCGAGGCAAGGTGAGCGAACACGATCTGCCGTGCTTCTCATATCCACCGCAGTCCTACAGTCTCCACGCTTAGGCTTCGAGCAACCTAACAATTTCGCAGATCAGCGAAGAAACGAAGCCGCTCGTCGAAGGCCTCCTCAAGCTACACGACTACGGCCTCCTCACCTATTCCAGCCAACCGGCAACCAGCGACAGAGATGCCTACTATGTCGACTGCCCCTGCTGCGACAAGGGCGAGTATCGCCAATTCAAGCAACGCGCTTTTCTGTCCTTCCTGTTCCCAGCTCGACTTCTCGGTACCGACATTGGAATGAAATTCTGTGAAGAGTTGTCGAAAGAGGAGGACATTCACATGTCCGTACTCGTCTATCGTCATTTCTGCGGAGAGGGTAAGTAAAACCATTTCACAGGCGGTACGATGCGATGTGAGAATGTGCTGACGATCCTCGACAGGATGCTGCAGAATCGGCGCCGACGTCCTGAACAATTTCCCTAAAGAGTGGGCTACACACATGTTCAGAGAAGCAGCGACGTACCAGAAAGCTGTAGAGAGCGACTTTGAAAGCCGGCAGTTCTTTGATGTTTATTGTGGCAAGATTCTCGACCGCTTCATCGACGTAAATTCAGATGTTACGCGTCAGGCAAACCCTTTCGTATACCACATCTTGGCTAAGGATGTATGTGGTTGTGATCCTTGCCTTCGTGCGTCATTTGCTAATTAACATGATGTAGTGGGAGCCCTGCGATATTGCTCAGCGCGTTGCGGCTGCAGCGGAGCGTGCTGGTTTGAGTTCCGCTCTTCTGGAGAATGCCGGGCATGGGATTGAGGAGGACGATGAGGAAGACGACGAGGGAGAATAACTTCATACCGCTCCGGCACACCACAGCCTCTTTGCGAGTGGCGGGCTTTTGCATGCGTTCGCCCGATTCATGCATCCCAGAGTGATGTTGGCAAGAGCAGTTGGCGGGCAAAGCTGGGTATTCACGTGTCAGTATGGCAGCAAAATGCTGTTCATTGTGGATACTAGATACTTGGAATGCAAGCAAGTCACGATCGCGGCCAATCCCTCGAAGTCTTCAAGGCAAAAAGCGCAGTTGTATTGTGCTTCCACTATGTGCACCGTCTAATTTTTAGGAGATCAGGAGGGCGGGCGTATGGGTCAACAACAGCTGGAAGTGCTGGCAGGAGATGAGTCCGATGGGCACCGGTGACGAAAGGATGCGAGTGGTCTGGAGTATAAAAGAGCGGAGGCGCGCTGGGCAAGTGAATGCGCATGTGTGAATATTCGTCTTGCTGAAATTCGTGAATCGGAGCCTCTCGGGCGTGGGAGAGACAATGAGGCATCGTGCAGTCCGCAAGACTGCAATACGGTGGTACCTGCCATACTACCAGTACTATAATTGCGTCTTCCAACATGCGCTGCTGTGTATACTGAGGTGGGCGAGAAAGCGAATCAAGGTGACGGGAAATTGAGAGAAACGTTAGCGGTGAAATACTTGCCTGGCAAACTTGTCTCACCACTGTCAAGGCAATTGCCTCAAACTGTTTGGGCGTGAAAGGAGCAATGTCGAGATGACAATCAATTGTCTGCAGACGCTATTTCCATCTACTTCATGAGCTTCGTGACCGCCCACTCCACGTTGAGGCCTCTGAGATCGCCGTAGTGCTGTCCAACTCCCAGGAAAACCACTGGAATGCCTGTCACGAAGTCAGCAAGTTTCACAAAATATATGCTTCAAACTTCACTCACCCGTCGCGTGGACCATGCTCACGAGCGTACCCACCATGTCTCCAACGGTGTCACACTTCGAAATAATGAAACCATCCATTCCCACGCCTCCATTTCTCCGCACGCCCTTCGTGTCCACGAACTGTTCCGCAAAATGTCGTGCCTGCGCTACTGAATCTGTGCCGACCAGCGCCTCGCCAACCATGAAGATTTTGTCTGGATTTGCAAGTTGTCCGAATTTCGTCAGCGAACTCATGAGTCGCTGGTCATTGTGTCTTCTGCCTGCTGTGTCAATGAGCACAACATCGAAAAGCATATTGCCCTTGCCGGCATTTGTGGCGAAGGTGACAGCTTGCTTGGCAACATCTGCAGCGTCTTTGCCGTAGCCTTTCTCGAAAAGCTCAACATGGCCCACTTTCTCTCGCCTCGAGAGCTCTTCCAGATTTCGCACGTGCACGCGAAGCTGTTCCACTGCGCCAGATCTGAATGTGTCGCAGGCCGTTATCAACACACGAAAGTTGTTTTGTAGCAAGAAGTATGCAATCTTGGATAAATTCGTGGACTTGCCCACTCCATTGACTCCGACGATGGAGATCACGTATGGTCGAGCGTTAGGCCCTTCGATCGTCTTGTTGATATTTCGAAGGAGATCCAGACTCGTACTTGGTGTAAGAATTCGTGTCAGGGCTTTGATCATGCTCTCGTGGATGGTCTTTTCGATTGATGTGAAGGAAGCTGTTCGCTGATTGAGTAGATCTGCTTCAACACTGGCGCATAGTCGCTCTGCAGCTTCGCGTGCAACGTTCTTCTCGAGGAGATGATTCTGCATTTGCAGGAGTGGTTGTTTGAGGTCCTCTTTCGAGAGTGTCTTGCCGCCAACCACATTTCTGAACAGACCAGTGATCTTGCTGCTCGCTGAGCCAAGGAGTCCGCTGTCCAGCTTCTCCACTTTCGCCTCAGCCTGCTGCTGCTTCGACTCAGCCAAGATCGCATTGACCTCGTCGTCCAAATCTTTTAGCACAAATTGACCTTTGCCTGTCCTGCTGCCCATCTGGTCTGCCTTGATATGATCGACGTCCAGCGACTTCTCATCTTCCAAGTTCGGCGTGGCTGCGGCACTGTAATCCAAAACTTGATCATCGTCTCCATCCACTGCTAAGCCATCTGCATCCCACCTTCGCTTGGACTTCACATTGCCTTTGCTACTCTTTGGTCTTCTGTCGCTCTCATCACCCGAGGATGCAGGGGCCGAAGTGTTGAAGGCGTTCGCAGCTTTTCTCGCCCTTCGCGACTGCTTCCCGGGTCCTGCTTTTGCAGCTAGCAGATGCGACGGGGCATGCAGAGGCGTAGTCGGTCTCGAAGTATCGGGTGTGGCGACTGGAGTGACATCTGCACTCGTCGTGTCGTCTACGACCACATCTCGAGGCGCTGCAGGCTTTTTGAATTGTGGTATGGGTGGAGGAGGCGGATGCTCGCTGTCGTCGGTCGCCGACGCTGAGCTCGAAGGCGGAGTGAGCTCGACTTGACTCTCCTGATCGGTCTCGCTCTGTCGTCGTCTGGTACTACCAGTATCAAGCTTGCGAACGAGCGCGTCGAATGTCTGGTCGAATTCTCGTGTGTCGATCTTGGTGACATGCTTATTGTCCAGGTCCGCCTTGTACTGCTTTGTAAAAATTCCCCTTACTGCTATCAAGAGATCATTGACCCATGACAGATGCAGCAATGACTGGTATACAGCCTATCCACAAATCAGCTATTCCTGCTGCCCAGCCATTCGGCATGCGACTCTTACCCACCACGAATATCAATCCGACATCCTTTGCTGTTTTCGCTGTAGTATACCGCAGGGTGTATTTATCCTTCCTGTACGTCGGTACTGTGCTGTCTCCCTCTGCCGATTTCTGTCGTTCCTCAATGAAGACATCGCTGATCAAGCTGTTGATCAGTTTGGGCTGGAGCGGGGTGTAGTGTTTGCGCCAGAGCACGATGCCGGACGTTGTTATGATCTCGAAAGCGTCCAGCATGTTGACAGGGTGGACATTCGACCTGAGTGCTCAGTAATGCTGTTTACGGGAGGAGTTGTATGGATGCCGATAATGTATGGTCGTCGGCGGGCAGACGTCACCGAGCACATGGAAATCGCATGGACCCTAGGAAGGTGTTTGCTGTCTATTTCGAGCTCACTCCTGGATTCACTGCGCTTTCACCTTCACCTCTACGCAACCAGATGCCAGCGCCTCTGAAAAAGACCAGCAACGGAAGCGTCTGAGCGCCGACAACATGCAACGACCGACCTACGCAAACTCGCCTCCCCTACATCACCCGGTACCCCAGCACGTATCGACAGTGCCCCAACTCCGCTCACCACCGCCTCCACAATCAGCTGGCAGTCAACAAGGCGGCTATGGCTATGGAGGGCAGAGTCCGCCCACGAACCAAGGAGCGCAGGGCGGGAACTTCATGCATCCAGCATTTGGAGGCTTCATAAATGATCCTACAACACAAATGGCCGCACAGTTTGGTGCCGGCGCCCTGAATGCTGGCCAGCAATATGTTGAGCAGAATGTGGGTCTAAACGACGCTCAGAAAGAGGATCGCTGGCTAAACACTGCTGCTTTTAGTTGAACCGCTTCGTCAGCGTCTCAACGCTGAAGCACTACTTCAATGTCTCAAACCGATACGTCCTGGCTAAGCTGTTCATTGTGCTCTTTCCCTGGCGACACCGACCCTGGTCACGGCAGCAAGTGCGATCGAACGATGGGCCAAATGCGATCGAGTTTCTCCCCCCGCGAGAAGACACGAACAGCCCAGACATGTATATACCGCTCATGGCCCTAGTCACCTACATTCTCCTCTCAACACTGATTGCGGGCTTGAATGGCAAGTTCGAACCAGCGCTTTTGGGCGTGACTGCCACAAACGCCGTCGTGATCATGGGATTGGAGCTGGTGACATTGTGGGCAGGACGCTATTTCCTCAGCATCAACAGCGAGTCTCAAAATTATGATCTTATCGCATACAGCGGGTACAAGTTTGTCGGGGTGATTGTCACGATTTTGGTGGCAGCCATTGTCAATCATGGCACAGGCACGGGAGGTTGGGTTGGCTGGACTGTCTTCGCGTATACCTATATGGCGAATGCCTTCTTTTTGGTAAGTGCTCACGTCTGCACACCCGGACAGCAACGACTCCATCGGAGTATTCAGTCCACGCTCGTTGCGTTCGACCCAGCAGCGCAGTGCATGCCATCAACCTCGGAGCGATGCTGACCAAATCTCTCCCAGCTCCGCTCTCTCAAATACGTCCTGCTACCCTCCGACAACGCACCAAACAACCCTGGCATGCAGACAATTGCGCGAGCCCAGAGATCACGTCGGACACAGTTTCTCTTCATCTACAGCTACGTGATTCAGTTCGCATTCATGTTCTGGCTTACGAGCTTGAATGTCTCGCCAACGAAGGCTGGGAAGTAGCATACCGGAATAGATGGCGATTTGCCGTGATAGTATTGAGCAGCGTTCAAGCGGGATGCATGAGCAGAATAGCTAGAGCGCGGCATGAAACATTTGCATGATAGCGCTGGAGGCACTTTCGGTGGCCTGCAATTTCAGCTGATTTTCTTCGACAAGCGCCCACACGGTTGGTACTCGCGGTAGAACTAACCGCGCAGCTCCGCAATCACAATTTATCTGATTTGGTGCGGCCTCCCGCAGGCTGTGAAGGGTGCCGCACCTGCATGCGAGCCACTAAAGGCGTTTAGGGCACTTTACAACCTCCAGCCGTCCTGAGAGGTCATCTTCTTTTCACCACACACCGGATTTCTATATCTTTTGCTCTTTTACGAGAACTCACTCGAAACCAATAGAACTACATGCAAGCCCCATACACCACAGCCGACCATATAAATGTTCGATCCTACCCGTGCGTCGGACTATACAGTGGGATGGATATGCGCTCTGCCAGTGCCGGAATGGCAGGCGTCAAGATTGCTGCTCGATGAAGAGTTCGAGGAAGGTCCGGTTCTGCCGAATGCTACATACCAGTACGTCTATGGCAGAATCCACGGGCACGGTGTCGTGATGGGCTGTTTGCCGGATTCACAAATGGGGATGACTTCTGCTGCGCATGTCGCGAACGAGATGCGACTGCTCTTTACGAACCTCCGCTTCGCTCTTCTCGTCGGAGTGGGAGGTGGAGTTTGGAGTGAAGAGCATGATGTTCGACTTGGGGACGTTGTGATTAGTCGTCCTGATTCGGTCAAACGCACGGGCGGTGTTATCCAGTATGACTTTGGCAAGGCGATACAAGACGAAGAGTTCCAAGAGACTGGCAGTCTAAATCTCCCTCCTCAAGCTCTAATGTCTGCAGTAGGCAAAGTAAAGTCTGCATTACCGACTCGATCCAAATTTGGCGAGTATCTCAGGACATTTGAGAATTTTAAGGGTGAACTTCCTGAGTACGCCGGCATGCCAGACGCCCCTGATAGGCTCTTCAAACCACACTACAAACACCCTGAAAAAGCTCCGACATGCAAGGACTGCGATGCGGAACAAGAGATCGATCGAACACTTCGGCCAGCAAGAAGGAGCAAGATACATTACGGAACAATTGCTTCAGGAAATCAAGTCATGAAGGATGCGAACCAACGCGATCGCATAGCTGAGAAGCACGACATTGTTTGCTTCGAGATGGAAGCCGCCGGGTTGATCAACTACTTTCCATGCCTGGTCATTCGTGGCATTTGCGACTACTGCGACTCTCACAAGAACAAGAGATGGCAACCCTACGCTGCCGCGGCTGCAGCAGCGTACGCGAAAGAACTTTTACGAAACGTCGCGCCGCATGAGGTCAACCAGCTTGTGACACTGACCCAGATTCAAGCCGACGGTCAGTAACCAGTGCAAAAGTGTGTGTTCGACTTCAAGGCTAAAGACCATCGTCAGCGCCTCGGGAAATCCTGAACACCTTGCCATATGACCGTGACGATGACTTTGTCGGGCGAGAGACCGAGATCGCTGACATTGTCTCACGCCTGTTCGTTCCCGAGAGACATACTCGCCTAGCACTCATAGGCCTTGGCGGAATCGGAAAATCACAAATTGCCATCGAATATGCGTATCGCCTGAAAGACCAACGCTCAGATGTTCACATTTTTTGGATCCGCACGAGCACATACCAGGGGTTTGAAAGCGATTACAGCGCTCTTGCATCGCAGTTGCAAATCCGAGGCGCGGACGATCCTAAAGCCAACAAAATGCAGCTTGTGGCGAATTGGCTGGATAGTGCGGCCAGTGGACAGTGGCTGCTGATTTTAGACAACGCTGACGATGAGCGTATCCTGGTGGCCCATACAAGCACATCATCTGATACAATCGCGCCATACATCCCACAGAAGATTGGCTGTGCAGTACTAATTACCTCCCGAGTCTTCCAAGCCGGCATGACGCTGGTCGGCGACAATGATAAACACATCCTGAACGTAGAAGCATTGTCGACTGACGATGCTGCTCAGTTGATACTTCAGAAGAATCCGCATGGTCGAGCCTGCACGTTCGAGTCCGCTTGCCGACTGGCCGAGGAGCTGGACTGTATTCCGCTGGCAATCATACAAGCAATGGCGTACATCAGTCGTCGACAGCTGTCCAGTGTAGCTGGCTATCTGGAGGGCCTCCGAACTAACGAGGAGCGATTACTTGGTGAGAGCTTCACAGATTTTCGGCGCACACTTAATGAATTGCCTAATCCCGTTTTTCAAACTTGGGCTGTCTCACTACATCAGATTATTGCAGATCGACCATCTGCAGCAGAGCTCCTGTATACTCTGTGCTGGCTGGACAAAGACGGCATACCCCTCTGGATCCTAGGCCCGCAAGATTCTGGCTGGGAGGACGACATCGAGATTCTGACTGGGTTTTCCATACTATCTCTCGATGCTAGCAAAGAGACAGTGCACATGCACAGACTTGTACAAATTGCATTGAGATCGTGGGCGGGCAGGGAGCCTCGTCAAGGTCGTTCAGACTGGTGGCTTCTTGAAGCTCTTCACTTACTTCAAAGAACATATCCGCGTGACAGCTCGGAATATGAGAATTGGGCCACATGTCAGTTTCTAGATGCTCATGTGGCAGCTGTTCTGATACAGAGCTTGCGAGAGATGCCTACAGCATCGCGACGGCACCTAGCAAGCCTTATGCATCGACTTGCCTCTTATCGAAACATCAATGGGCGTCACGAGGAGGCGATTGAGCTTCAAGAATTTGTCGTCAATGAAATAATTCATCTCTATGGCAGTGAAAAAGGAGGCACCATGATAGCTGTTCACAATCTCATCAGATATTATTTTGAAGAAGGTAGACTACAGGAAGCGCTGGATCTGGGCACCGATACCTTGGAACGTAGCACCGCCGTCTTGGGGGCTGAGCATGCAAACACAATGACGATCAAGAGAATGCTTTCGAGAGTGCACAGAAGATTTGGTCACTTCAACAAAGCTGCAGACTTCGTCGACGATGTACTGAGAGTATCGCGGAGAGATCTGGGAGCAAATCACATTGTCACGCTGAATGCTATGACTAACAAGATGTTTTGTCTGCAAGACATGGGGAAGCTCGAGGATGCGAGAGCCATCGGTGTCGACATTCTGAAAAGGCTCCGTGTGGTTCAGGGTACCAATTATCTTGAAAAACTGTTCGCAACGATGAATCTTGCTGACATACTGAGTGTGCTGGGCCGCGGACTCCAAGCAGAAATTTTAATGATGAATTGCGCACTCAACATTTCTCGAATGCTGGACTACAGCCATAAGTCCCTTCTCTATGGGTTTTATACTTTGGCTATTTCTTTGTCACGTCAAAGACGATATTCTGAGCATGATCTGCTTTCATGGGTTACTCTATCTGCTCAGCAGAGCGTCCTTAGTCAAAATCATAACGATCTTCTGGTGGCTCGGTCCAACGTTGCTCAGATCTTGGAACGGAAAGGTCAGACGAACGCAGCTATCGATATCTGGCGATACTTGACAACAGCGTATTCGAGGGTGTATGGCCGGACTCATGAGGAATTTGTCAACGCGTCCTGTCGCTGGGCTGATGGTCTCATACGGGATGACAAATTTGAGGAGGCAGTTGACACTCTCCAGGACATTTTCGAGCACCTCCCCTTGGGTACAGGGCCCCGACACAAATGCGGGATGCTTATCGCAATTGCAAAACGGAAGTTGGGTTGTCGTAGGGAAGCGTTCATGCTTCGAGACCAGCTGTTACGAGAGTATTTGAAGCACGAATATCCCGGCTGTAAAGACAATTCGATGGCAGTGGTAGGTGTCATTGGCACGACAGGCCTTGTGTTCTCCACAGTGCTGAAGACGGAGCTCGCCGCGGAAGCTTTTGCAGCTCACAGGATTACAAACGACCGAGCTCAGCGAAATTCCTTGCTGTATGAGCAAGAGGCCGTGCAATTAATTCGACCCACACGATCATATACGACGAGTATTGACATTGATCCGTCAGAACAAGAGCAGCCAGGCTTGCCGAGCATGTCGCGGCCATTCACCTTTCGTCGATGGTCGGTTGCTTGCGGACCTATGGCACCTGCAGAATTTGGTTACTCACCACCGACACGAGACTATCGGAAGATCAAAGAGGAATACAAGCCTGAGGTCAACAAGCGGCAAGGACAGATCTTTGCAATTGCTGAAAAGATCATGAAAAAGTTTGGTCCACCTACATTCCCTAATTCAAATGAAGTCCTTCCTCTATGAGCATTCATGGCATTTGTAGACTGTTGCGGAGTGGACCAGACAGTCAACCAATTCATTATTCCCGTAGCAAGTTTGGCGAAAGTCATCACACAGCTGAATACTGAAGAGCAGGAAGGAAGAGCATAGCAGCGTTGGTCATTTGTGGTCATTTGAAATTCCTCCGGCAGTCTATAGCCATCATGTCTTATTACATCCATCATCACCTCTTAATATTAATTCCTCATCAACAACCTCACAATACTTGGCTTCAAGTATTGTGAGATATTGGTGCAAAGAGATACCGGTTCTGTTATCCTCTCCCATGGTGATTCTGGCTCGTGTTCATCGGTATCCTCATCTCTTGCTCCAAGATAAACACTGTCCACCGCTTTTCGTCTTGTCTCATACTGCTCGACACTTCCAGCAGGGGCTTGCAATCAGATTCGAGACCATAGTATCACCTTCAGTAGACACTTGCTCTCGATCCGCGGGCATGTTTACCTTTTTACCTGCTTATGGCGTATTGTACCACACCGGCTCGGCTCGACTCAGATCTCCACTTTCATCACGGCGCGACAGAATCCTTGGCGTGACTTGAGATGGCCTGAGGCTACGCTTCTCATTCTCCAGAGCTCTCTGCTTCGCTTTCCAGAACTTCAATCACACCGCCGACCAGATGCAAGCTGCCGGTGGCAAGGACCTGCGTTTTCGGAGTGGTAGCCAGTTCGCGAGCTCGAGCAATGGCTTCCTCAATCGTGCTGACGACGTGAATCTTTGCCCGAGGATCAATAGCATTGTAGGCAGCTGCAAGTTCTTTTTGCACACGCAGACTGTCGACATCGTCTTTGCTGGTGTTCATTGAGACCAGGTCTGCTTTGTAGCCAGCATTCCTGTACGTTGTGTTGGAACAGAAAATCGCATGCCTGAATGGATGGGCATCTTTCAGTGCGCCAGCCAGCGTGTTGTGGAGGCGTCTCGCCAGTGAAGATGCATCCCGCGTCTGTTGGTTGAAGAGAAGAATGCGCTGGCCGCCGTCTGCCTCGCACTTCGCAGTCCTCTCGGCAAACCACTGGCCAGCGACTTCAATACTCTCCAAAGTATGGCCGCCATCAACGTACCAAGTAAGTGCTGCGAGTTTTGCATCTGGTCGCTGATCGCACCGACCCCCGAGTTTTGTCGTCTCAAGCCCAGTCATGAACTCCCGAGGCAGCTCAGCTTCTGGGTTATAAGGGTCTGGTAATCCAGTGAAGCCAAGACGACTAAGGTGGAGTGCTGATATTGCGATGGCTAGAGAGGCATTGAGCTTCTGGAAGCCACCGTGAAGACCAAGCTGGATCGATTGAAGGGCTTTGTGAACAGACACAACATGCAGCTCTGTCCTCCGCTCCTTCGATCGCTCTCGCAGCACTTTAAGCGCCTGCTCTGGCTGGGGAACCGTGAAGGCTGGGACACCTTCTTTGAAAATGCCGGCTTTGTGCCACGCTATCTGGTCGATAGTATCGCCGAGCAGTGCGACATGATCGATCCCCAAGCTGGTGACGCCTGTAACCGATGGCTTTGACAGGATATTGGTTGTATCATATTCCCCTCCAATGCCACACTCGATTACTGCTGTCCCTACCGACTCTTTAAGATAGCAATGCAAGGCCATCAATGTGAGAAAGTGGAAATAGACAGGCTTGCCGTCTATCCCTCTCGCGCCCGAGTCCAAGCCTTTCGGCTGTGATGCTTCTAGTCGATCCCAGATCTCCCAGAAGCAACGGGCGAACAGCTCTTCTGATATAGGCTCATTATTGATCTTGATCCTCTCGCGAACGAATCGCAGATGCGGTGATGTGTAAAGACCGATTGCAGAGGGCAATCTTTCTGCATGTATGCTCTTCTTCGTCGGCAGATACTGCGCGAGGATCGAGGAGATGAAGGAAGAGGTTGAGCCTTTGCCCTTGGTGCCTGCGATGTGTATGGGGTTAAGACGATCGAAATCGGACGGCTAATACCTACTGTCAGACCTTGTGCAATCCCGCTATGATCCTTTGACAGCGCACACCTCATATCCTATCCGCCGCACCCAGCTGAGCATCTCTGGTATGGCACGCTTGTTCCAGCCGGGTCCAGCTTTCTTGATGGCATCGACTATAGAAAAGTTGCTCTGCAGGCCATTGAGCGCCGCTACGGCAGCATTGTAATCGCGAGCATTGCCGTGGTAGCCGCGGTGGCCGAGCATACGCCTAGCACAAGGCCGGCATATGAACATTTCTCTGACAGCACTGTGGTTTTATGAAGCTCGTGTTCGATATCGAGCATTAGCAGCTCGTAGTCTCAGGGCACAGACTGCCAAGGTACCGCTATTCCCATTCGGGGACCAATGTCCATAGCGGTGTAAGAGTGAGACTTCTATATAAATGCAGTAGTATGAGGCTTATTTACCGAGTGTAAATGTTTTTTTAGAAAAATTCTAAACTAAAAAACCTTTATTTCTATAGTAAACTTTAATATATAGCGATCGTATACTAAAAACAATTCCTTAGTATAGATTTCAAGTTTAAAAAATTATAACACCTATATTTTTTAAAACAAATATTAGGTATAGGGTAACTAGAGGAAATTAACTTAGTTAATAAACTTATATATATATTAACTACTAAACGTCCCGATTTTTAGTATTTATAGTAGTTATTAGAATATAAATTATAAAAGTATTTTAAACCCTTTTAACCTCTATAACACTAATAAATCTTACTGCTAGATTTGCCAGCAAATTTTATTCAACACTATAATCTATAGGCATTCTACGCCTATAGAATTCTTAGGCTGTAACATAGCCAGGCAGCATAAGGAACGAATTATTAGCCAGCCGATGGAGTGGTCTGCGCGCTGAGACCAAGCAGCTCCATCCCGGAGAGGATACATCCCTCCTCCTCACCCTCACCCTCACCTTCTAACGATACATACTCAAGCTTCTCTCGCCATTGAACGACTAAAGGCTCTGTACTATTCAGTATAGAGCACTATGATCAGCCTCTGCGAACTCCTGCATTCCCTCGCTTGACTCAGCCAAAACGGGATCGATTTGAGTTGAGATGCATGCATGAGCACTGTCTGGACCCGGGCCTCATCGTCAACATTGGGGCCGCAGGCATGAGATCTGCACAAGTGGTTCAATTTGGAAGAACAGCACACCGCTCTCGAGTTGGAGCACGCAAGCACGCCAAATGGCTATCCTACACATCCTGATCATGTATCTACATCTCGGCAATTTCGACTCCATCATAGGCGAAAGTCTGGACAGAACTATCGCCAACAACACTCGTCCCGTAGCGATCTCCGAAAAAGAGGCCTTATGACCTCGATGATGAGAGCTGTGGAACGTGGATCCAATAACACGATCCAATGGTAATGTCAACACTTCCGTCCTGCAGTAAGGCTTGCAGCTCCGAAGGCCAGTCTCGCCGATCGGGACGCAACTTGACGCCTCGTGGGGCCAAAACAGGTAGCGGAGAAACTCATTCTCAGCCTTGCGAGAACGTGACAATGGCTACCGTGAGGGCTGAAATGTCAGGTAGGTCCCACTTCTCTGCTCACTCCCGTTCCGCTTCATCCTTTCGTGCTACCGTATCAGTTTGTAACCATGGCTCGAATCAATGCAAATGTGATACTGGTCTACCTACTCTACATCACTCACGCTCAGGGTCAAGGCATGGATCAGATCAATCACTTTTGTCGCCGTCATTCTCATCGCACTACTGTCATCGACAACAAGCTCTACATCGACGGAGGGTACATCAACTACGACTATGATGGCGTTATCACGCCGGACACTGTCAATTATACAAACACACAGCTCATCTACGCCGATATTAGTTCAGTGAACGAAGATCACTTCCCTCAGGAATACGCAAACCTGTCAAAAGACACCAATATTCCGTCGCTTGTTGGAGGCGCGATTTGGGCAGACGAGGTGAACAGGAAGTTCTTCCTGTTTGGCGGTCAGTCAGGACATGGTACAAACTATGTTCAGCATTTGCTCATTGACCACAGGCGAGTACAGGAATGCCACTGCGCAGTCAGTGCCGTTGAGCTTCAACAATATTTACTGGTATGATACATTGTCAGATCAATGGAGCACCAATGATACCACGACTTCCGGCATCGATCCTCCATCATACGGTGCAAGCACTGTCGATCAGAATCAAGGCATTGCGTACTACTACGGAGGGTGGAGTAGCAACGCGACGATATCCGGAGATGCAAATGCTGCCATGCAAAACACCTTCCTATCTTACGACCTGGTACACAATACGTTCAACAAACATGCGTTCTGGGATGACACGCCACGCGCAGAAGGAGGCATGTTCTACATCCCGGCTGGGGATTCTGGCATGCTGGTGTATTTTGGTGGCATACAACAAAATTCTTCAGGCGACACGAGCGGCATTCCCATGGACACGATATATCTATACGACATCGCTTCAGACAAGTTCTATCAACAGCAGACCAGCGGGGAGACACCAGCAATGCGACGACGCTTCTGCGGCGGCGTGAGTTGGCCGAATGATACATCATCGTACAACATTTACTTCTTTGGCGGCCTTCAACCCGAAGATCAAGGCAACGAAAGCTTTGGCGATGCTTGGATCCTGTCCATTCCATCATTTACCTGGACCTTACTATACCCATCTAACTATGGCGGGAGTCACCACTCCCTAACTTGCGACGTGATCAATCATGGACAGATGATAATCATGGGTGGCTGGTGGTCGAATGCATCATACACACCTTGCGACGCTGCTTCAGTATGGGGCATGCATAATTTGAACCTGGGATCGAACGATAGAGACCATGTCCCATGGTATCAGTTCCTGCCGAATCTTACCGACTATACTCTGCCTCCAAATCTCACAGCTGTAATAGGCGGTAGTAGTACTGGTGGCGCAACAGTGGCCACACCTGCTACGACAGGCTTTTCCAACTCCGATCTATCCAGATTGTTTCAGCTCAAGGCAACGACCAGCACTCGTCCTGCTACTCGTGATATTCCCACGGCGACTTCGGCGCCGGGAGCGAAGAAGACTGCCAGCTCCAATGCCGGAGCTATCGCAGGTGGCGTTGTTGGAGGCGTCCTGGGACTTGCTTTGGTCATCGGCATGGTTCTATTCTGCCTTCGTCGCAGACGCAAAGCGAAGGATAAGGAGATGCAACAAGCGCCTATGGCCGAGGCGCCTGATAGCATCGCAGCGCAGCAGTACCATGCTGCCCACAAGAGAGACATCAGCAACGGAACTCACGACAGCTGGTCTCACACCCCAGCTGGATCTCCTCCAGTGCAGCAGAATCAGTGGCAGGCACAGCACTTGAGAGAAGGCCTTCCTCAGCAGCAACCATACTATCCTCCACCGCCCCAAGCGCAACCTTTCTATCCGCCTCCACCAGAACCAGAGCAATATGACCCTCCGAATCTGACCTACGAGATGCCTAACGTGAGAAGTCCTCTTCACGTCTCGGATCAAAATCGACCTGGAAGTTTGGGTCCAAACGCTTGGCGCACACCCAGCGCTGGAGTGAGAGGAACGATCGGTGAAGAGTGACCATGCGTTTTCACATCTTCCAGTGATGCTGCACTGGCGATCAAACATCAACTACAGAGTGTGCCTTTCCAAACTTCTTTCCTTCGAGCAATGGGAGACCGTAATGTATGCAATACTAGTTGCGCGACTGACGAGAGTGAAATGTTTTTCGTGAATCCGATAATCCAAGAATTAGATGCAGCTGAGAACGATGCGGTCCACATATGTCGAATACTCCATCGCTCTCTAATTGTAGCGGAAATGCCACCCCAAGGTCATGAGGACTCTCGGCGCTAATAAACTCCTTAGCCAGAAGTAGTGGCTCATACTACACAGACCGCATGAGGATGTCTTCGATGACCACAATCGCCTCTCAGCCTTGTCAACTTCCTTAGCCGAAAGGAGACGAACACCACACACGAACAGTTGAACGAGATCTTCGATTTGATTATTTTGGCAAACATTATTACAGGAGATCTAGATCATCTTCAAAAGGGGAGTGTCTGCGCTTCATGCACGCTTGCGAAGCTAATATAAAAGCTGACTACACTTGTACGATGCCAAGATTGCTATAAGCAGAAATACAATCTCAACAACGGTATGTCCGGCGGCCAAGCCGTTAAATCTCGTCAAGTGGATCTTTTGAGGCGTTATATAGGAGGGAGACTTGCTTTGATCTAGGCCAAAGCCGAGTATCCATGATCCATCCGCCATTCTCGGTCTCTATAATGCTGCAACGACAATAGGACAACAATAGCGGGATGTGGACGACAATATGAGGAGGAAAGTGGCCAGACCAGGTCCTCATACAAATCGCGGAACTGCATACAGCCAGCAGAACTGTCAAACCTCCGCCAGCCACGAATGCCCAACCACGCCATCAACAACTCCCAGCACCACTCCCAGCACCACTCCATCGACGACACCATCAACTACTCCATCGACCACTCCATCGACCCCTCCTTCAACCACTCCTTCAACCACTCCTTCAACCACTCCTTCAACCACTCCTTCAACCACTCCTTCAACCACTCCCTCAACCACTCCCTCAACAACCCCATCAACCAACCCCTCCACAACCCCCTCCACAACAAGCAGCACACCCCCAACACCAACCTGCATCTACGCCGGAGCCCCCAACCGCCAACAAGACGGCCTCATCACCGCCTCCAGCGCACTCGACTGCAAAGCACAATGCATACAGAGAGGAGGACCCGTACCTTGCTTGGCATTCACCTATACATCTCTCGAGACGAAGAGCACAATTGTTTTACGTTCAATTTTCGGTTGAATTTACCGGAGGAGTTGGTTTATGTGCTGGGGTATTTTGGTGGGAATGCGGAGTGTGTTGAGGGGGGGGGGGGGGGGGGTGAGATAGGAGAAGGGATGGGAAAGGAAAGGGGAATTGAATTAATGGTTGAGATGGGAGGGTGGTGGGATCGTGCATTTATCGTGTTAAATTTATTATTTATCTACATTATTGGTCTTCAATGGACGACTTGATTCGATTTACATCTCCAAACTAGACACCCAATGTTGTTGTATACATGTAGGTTGCATCATGATCCGCCCGAATAAGGTAACACAGAGCAAGGGTGAAAAGGTAAACGGAAAGATGAATGGATGTGATGTGATATTCGCAGATATTTCACCCAGGGAGTCTTCAATGAAACAGGGCTGAGGAGAAGGACTTTGGGGTCTACCATACAGTAACCGCCAGAGTGTTTAGTGGTTGGAAAGGCAAAGGCCGGATGAAAAATCACCTCAGCTTCTCGAAATTCCCGTTTTCCTCTCGCAGCCTGACTCCATGAAGCAAGCTGAGCACTCGATCTTTTTCCCCTTCTCCTTCCTACAAGCACTCCGTCCGCTGTGATCAAATCACGCATGTGTGAAGGAGACTTATTTTCCTACATCTTCAAGATCTTTACCTAGTACAGCTCACTGTAGGCTGCCTCAACTTCATCTCTGAATCGATAGTTTTGAGTATAATACGAGTAATTCTGACAATATAAGAAGATACGTGAATGCAATATGGAAGCACTCTATCACAGCTCGATCCGTGAGTTCCAATTCTCTTCTGGTGTTGTTTATCCAGTCTACGCCCAAAACCATCAGGGTATCTCGAGAAGTATCAAAAAAAGTCATTTCAACACAAAAGCAAAGAAGAAACAGTCTAGAAAGAGAACAACCACTTGAGCACTCCGATAATGCCCACCAAAATCCTTCGAAAAGTGTTGAAGACGACCACGACGAACCAGACCCACCACATGATACCCAAAAGTAGCCATTCTAGAAGCTTGAATCCGGTGTTGATGATAAGTCTGAATTGTCGCCTTCGTTGCCTGAACATATCTTCGACGGCATCGTCTACTCGTTTCACGTCTTGGGGCAGCTTCGTCGTAAGCTCGACGTTGAATGCGTCGGCCTCATCCGATGTTTCGTGCACCAGTTTGGTGAGCTGATCGGCTGCCCTATGTGAGAGGTCCTCTAAACGTGTGCTGAGTTTCTTGGCAGTGTCGGACTGGAAGCGGCGCAGCGTCTTTTCGAATGCTTGAGTCGATTCGTCGAGCGTCTGAGAGAGCATGCGTGCTGCGACTAGGTGCTCTTGGCAGCGTGGAACATTCTGAATCTCTTTTCCCGCCGATTGATAAGCTTTGGCAATCAGGGGTAGAGGTCTCTCTCGAGTGGCACTTCCAATCTTGTGAATTTCGTGCGCCTTGATACCGGAGGCAAGAAGAAGCGCGCGAACCCGTGCAATGTCACGCGCAGTGACCTTATTGGCCTTCTCCGGGTGTCCATGGTCAGAGATACTCCAATGTCGTTTGGCGTCTACGTGTGCCAAACCAGACATTGGCATGTCTCCAACTCTCCTCGCTGGCACAGTGGAGGTGGTCTCCGCTGTGTTGATCCTCGTGAGATTATTCTGAGACACGGACGTACGACGCTCGCATTGACTAATGCCCAGATAGTTTCGAGACTTGTCCGGTGACATCTCGGGCTCAGAGGCATTGCCATCATCGGGAAGCTGAATAAGCGGTGGTACTGGTCGTTTAGAATGGCCTTTCCGTGCTGGCATTGGTCGAAGCTTTTCAAAGGGATCACTGTCTTCGGATAAGGGAGTCTGTGCAGGTCGACTGCCACGTCCCGCAGGTGATTTGAAAGAGGGGAGATTCGAAGTGAAATATCTTGGCCGCTGTCGATCACGTTCAAACGATGCACGAGGACTGATCTGGCTGTCTGTGTCGACTTCATCACCAGTGTGTCGGCGTTTGAATGTCATGTCGTCATCTGCGTCTGACATGTCCGAAGGCACATTGGACATCTCTTGATTGACACCTTCACGACTTCTGAATCGGTCGCCGAATCGCGAGGACTCATTGCGTACCAACTCGCCTACTCTACCACCTTTAAGGAAACGACGTCCAAAAGATGTCGTAGAAGAGTCTTTGGCAGAAGAGTCCGCGGCCGTCGTGGTAGTATCGGTGCGCTTCAAGCTACTTGCATTGCTATCCGCTGTCTTGAGCCGCCTGAAGGGAGCAGGTCGTGCTGAGTCGAGACTGGATCGAGGCGGGAACTCGAAGGTTGTATTTTCACTCATGACGGGAGAAAGCTGTGGTCCATAGTTCATGGCGAAGTCTGTGCGTTCGATATTGTTCCGCTCCTTGCTACGAGATCGTAATGAGGGAAGCTTTAATCCCTTTGATTTCTGCTGCGAAGTCGAGTTCCGTTTGGCATCTCTTGAGGAGATCCCTGAATCCATCGTTTGGACGAATCCTGGGATCACTGGAGACGCCGGACTACCAGAGACTAGTTCGTCCATTGAAGAGGGCCCGTGGTCGATAGAGGTCAATCTTCCTTCGGTGGACCTCGAACGCGGATGACCCTGCGACATTTCCACAGATAGCTTGCCGTGGGCAACAGACTGACGGTGGCCTCGATCCATGCTTGCGCGATAATTGGGGAATGGCGTGTGCTTCGAATCCCAATAGTCTGGCGACACAAGCTCAGGTGATGGCATCTCCCCTCGCTCCTCATTCGCAATCATGCTCCGCATGTGCCGTTCAAGCGGACCTACATTCTCGTCACCGCCTTGATCATCGCCGAATCTTAGCGGTGGCGGTTTGCGGCCTTCCTCGCTAGATGCCGTAGATACACTACTTGATCGACTGCTATGGTTTCGTCGCAGACGTCCCGGTATTGGTAGCGTGTGCTTATGCTTCTTCCGCTTCTTATCCTCAGCTTCAGGTTCTTCAACACGGTTCTGCCTATCTCGGTCTGTTCCCAGGTCGAAGACCCGCTCCGACTCCTTGCTCTTTCGTGGCATTTCTACGCTCGGTCGGACTCTGCTGGGGAAGATGCGGTTTCCGTGCCTGTCTTCGATGACGGTTTTGTTGTCGTCTCGTTCGGTCCAGTAGGTATCTGCAAGCAATTCCGCGGGTTCAATTGTCCAGCCATTCTCTGGCCTTGTGATTACAGAGGTGGCCGTGTCCGTCCTACGATGGCGATGGGCTATGTCTGGTCTACCGGCAATAGCTGGGCTGGACTCTAGCTCACCCGAGAAGGCAGGTAGTCGTACTTGATCATTTCCCGGGCGATACGAGGCATCTTGAGAAGCAACCTCGACTCGGTCAATCCATCGCTTAATGCGATCAGTCTCCTGCCAGGTATCTGGCGGTGCTGTAAGAGGTCGCCGGGATATGTTTCGAAGACGTCTATTTCGTAATGCTTGCAGGGGGTTGTATGCTCGGCCCAGTCTGTGCTTGTTGTTCGAATAGGATGCCACGCGGGTCATTTGATAGTGAGCACTTCCAGGACTGCTCGTCGCCTGCATTGTGTAATTGCCAGGTGCGGTTGCATCGAGCTTCAAGGGAGGCAGGTAATCCAACAATCGTCTATGCTCTGCGGCAAGCTCAAAATACCGCCTCGCGTTCTCTGCTCGCGACAATGTCGCTGGTGAAAAAGAATACATCACATTGTCAGAAGTCATTGCTCCCAGATCACCGGGCCCATCATGGAGAGTGCCATGTCGCTGGTACGGAGAAGAAGTATCCGCCATGCCATCGCTGAGACGACTCCGCCTCCCGCTACACGACGCTGGTTGAAGAGTGCCATATCCAGAGTCCAGTGCGGACACAACACGTCTGCCGCCGCCAGCAGGAGAGATGGGCAGGGGAAGAGTGCTACTCGCATGCCGCTTGCGACTCTCGCTCAAGTTCAGTGCCATCTGCACCAACTGCGCCGGATCCATGGCGCCTGGTATTGGGTTCTGACCCGTGCTAGATCCAGCATTGCTGCCACCTTCCACGGACACATCTTTCGAAAGAGGCGAGCTTCGTTGGGAGGACTCTCCAGAGGCACGACTTCGGGTGTATCTGCTATGATCTAGCTGGACGTTGCCATTCTGTTCGCTGCCCTTGCCCTTCTTCGCCGAGGTGTCTGCTCGTCGCAGATGGCCATTGCCAAGCACTGTCTCGAGCAAGAAGCCGCCACTCTTTCTCGATCGATGCGGTGTGCCGTTATGAGCTGTGTTTCCTGCCTTGTGGGGCGTTTCGTTTCCTTGCGATCTCTTCTCAGTAGCCTTATCCGCAACTCGGGCCAATCTGTCGCTGATGCTGTGACTGCTTCTCTTTGCGCTTGAGCTCCTCGACTCGGCCTGCGAGCTTGACTCGGCGTGTCCATGGCCGTGTGCATTTCCGTGTCCATACTGATTCTGATTCTGGTGATTCTGCCCATCGCCAATTGCGGCAAAGCTGACATCAGCAGCGGGCGATGCCTTTGCTGCTGCTGCTGCTATGGGGTCGGACGGGTCGTTGTCGTTGCTGGACATGGCCAGCCAGGCCCAGCGAGCGCTCTTACGCTACTACGGTCGGGTGACGGGGTTGCATTCGCGGACGGAGCTTTGCTGGCATGGTGAAAGGGCGGACATGCAGAATGTCACGGCGATGGTGTTGTTGGGCGGAGGATGACTTTGCACGTGTATTGCCTAGAATAGCTCACAAACGCCAAGTACATCTGGTACGACGTGGGCAAGCTTGCAGAACAATGACTTCAACACTTTCTACGAACAGCACTCAGCGCCAGAGGAGAGGAGAGGCTTCGTATGTATCTATGTAACGCTAGTGTTCCGTGCGCTACCAGCGTGTACTGCAGTCAAACCTCCTTACAAGCAAGGCTTATTTGATCCGACTGCAGCCGCTACGAAAGACTTCCCGAGCTACTTCGTTTACTCTAGTCATTATTATAATATTTTGCGACCGCGCTGATGGAGGCTCCAAACCTAGTCAACAGCACAGCATTGTGATAGTTCTACACGGCTCCAGGGAAGCACAGCTTGCCAATAATGTTTGAGTGGCTCTTCGGGAAAGGGTTCAACCCTGACAGCGACATTCCTTCGCTGAATGGCAAAGTTATCCTCGTCACCGGAGGTAGAGTTCATCATATGCACACTTCTTGTAGGATTCGTGCTGACTGCTCCAAGGAAATACCGGTCTTGGAAAGGTACGTATACATTGAGCACGTCGTGAGCATCATGCATACTCATTGATGTGAAAGGAAACGGTACTTCAACTTGCCAAACATGACCCGCACGAAATATTCCTAGCAGCACGAACGCCATCGAAAGCAGAAGCGGCGATTGAGGACATTAAGAAGCAAGTCCCAAATGGCAGGATCACTTTCCTCCAGATGGACTTGACATCTCTTGCCTCGGTCAAGCAGGCAGCGGACGAGTTTAAATCGAGATCCAACAGGCTCGATGTGCTCATCAACAATGCGGGTATCATGGCTGTGCCGTATTCGAAAACGAAGGATGGCTACGAGATTCAGTTCGGCACGAACCATGTCGGCCACGCTCTCCTGACCAAGCTCCTCCTCCCGACCCTCCTCAGGACAGCAGAACAGCCGAACGCAGATGTTCGTGTAATCAATGTTAGCTCGGAAGGCCACATGATGGCACCAGGTATCATCTATGATCAAGACAAGTTGGAGAAATACTTGACCTGGCAGCGCTATGGTCAATCGAAGCTTGCGAACATTCTCCACGCACGAGAGCTCCAGAAGCGATACCCAGCAATCACTGCAACCAGTTTGCATCCCGGTGTCATCATCACAGATCTGTACGCATCTCAGGAGAAGACGAATCCATTGATGAGGGCTTTCCTGCCAATTATAAGGAAGTTCACTCTCGATGTTCCCGGCGGCGCAAAGAACTCGCTGTGGGCAGCTACCGCGTCAAAGGACCAGGTCAGATCTTCGCATTACTGGAAGCCAGTGGGCCGCGAAAGCGGAGGCTCCTTTTGGTATGCACAGAAGGAAGATCTGGCAAAGCAACTGTGGGACTGGACAGAGGAGGAACTTGACACTCAGCTGAAGAAGATGAACTAATAGGAATGACAAATTCATAGCTTTTCCGTACATAGATGATCAATTAATGAATGTATTGTTGTTAACGCGAAGAAGCTTTCAAAGCCGGCAGCGATATTTTGTCTGTGCTTTCTTGGCGTCAAAGCCGAAGCCCACACGGCGTCAGGTTCCGCACAAGACCTCACACATCTCCCGCAGCATCTCTCTGACATCCGTGACAACTGTCGAGGAAAGTGCTGGCCGATTCGACAGCAATTGAGGCAGTAATACCGACCTATTCCTCCGTGTGCGCATAGTCGAGGCTGAGGCCGCGACAAACACCTGAAAAGATGGATCACGAGAAGCTGGCCCGCATGCAAAATGCCGTGCGAATTGGTATGTACATGTATCGCTGCGCTGCGCACGAATACGACAAAGCGCATGGAAAATGGCGTTGCGTTCGATACAGAGCTGACTGAAGTGATGCAGGGTAAGCAATGCCATGTTCAGTACACAATACTTAGACTTCACCGAAATGCCCCAGCCCGCCTGAGCCCCCAAAGTCAATGCCGCGAAACCGAAACCGTTCACGATGCTGGGAAAAGTGATATGAATCTGACAAGTGTGACTACAGAGGCAAGGGCACGCCGAGAAGAAAGGTCAAGAAGGTCCACAAGAGCTCTGGCACCGACGACAAGAAGCTGCAAACCACGCTCAAGAAGATGAACGTCCAGCCAATCCAAGCAATTGAAGAAGTCAACATGTTCAAGGCTGACGGAAACGTCATTCATTTCTCTGCGCCAAAGGGTGAGTTGCGCAATAGCGGGAGAGAGTAATGGAGATGAATATGATACTGACACGTTTGCCAACCAGTCCACGCATCCGTCCCAGCCAACACTTTCGCCATCTACGGTAACGGCGAGGACAAGGAGCTCACCGAACTTGTCCCAGGCATTCTTAACCAGCTCGGCCCAGACTCGTTAGCCTCTCTTCGCAAGTTGGCCGAGAGCTACCAGAGTCTGCAGAAGGGCGCTGAGGGCGAGGAGAAGAAGGACGACGATGATGACGAGATACCTGACCTTGTCGAGGGCGAGAACTTCGAGAACAAGGCCGACGTCGAGTAAGCTGGACAAGCTCTAGCAATCTCCGCGCCTCCACGGTCGAGCCGTTACGATATGCATAACAAAAAGCTAGGATGTGCTGGATGAGCGCAGCATGAAACGGCATGAGCGAAACTCGGATGCGGAGTGTACATGCCTTTGAGCTGCTGTATATTAGGTACGCCGGCATGAAAATCAGGCTTCCATTACGAACTAAATTGGTACCTACCTGTTCGACTATTCCTTCCCGAAGTTAGACAGATGACTCCCTTGTCAACTATTAACCGGAGTTTCTAGTGCGAGTTCCGCGCGCAGTAGCGTGGAAGCACATCGAAGAAAGGCCTAACAGGGGCAATAAATGAATACAGGTCAACAAGAATACCTCGTATTCGGTGCAATCTAACTTCAATTCAGGACACCGCCAGCCATCTTTTGAATCCTAGGCTCCGAGAAGTAGGATTGAAAAAAAAAATCAGAAGCCGCCACTACAATCAAGAACCCACCAGAACCGTCGATCGCTCACCGCCTCGAACAGCCTTCATATCAATCAGGTCACATCGATCTCTCCGAACCAGAACCACGCCAATCCATCCCTGTCGACACCGCTATTCTATCCTATCAACCGAAAATTTTCATCCCATCCTCCTCTCGAATTCTCCCGGAGTAGATACATGTATGTTAGCGTTGAATTATATTTTGTGAAATCACGTTTTTATCTGTCATGAATTATTGTATGAAGAAAGGTAATGATGGGTAGAATGCGATTGAAAGTCTTGGTCGTTGAGGGGTGATAAGGAAATGACGATTACGATATCGCTTGGGTTCGCGAGGAGGAGGTAGTGTAGAAAGAATCGTGCAAGCATTCTCACGACCTCTCATTTACCACTTTCCTCTACTCTACAAATCCTCCCTCTCCATCTCCACCCACCCAATCACCCCCGTCTTGGGATGACAATTCACATACTCAAACCCACACTCCCCCTCCTTAAGTATCCAAACCTCATGCCACGTCATGAATTTCCTCTCCTCCCCAAACATCTTCGCATGTCTCATCGAACCGTTAAAAATCGCCAAATGACTCGCATGTCTGGACGCCCATTTTTCCAAATCGGCCCAGTTCTTATGGAAGCCGCAGGCGCACGTTTCTTTGATAAGATCTCCTTGGGAGTTGAGGTTTTGGAGGAAGCGGAGTCCGAGGGTTCCGGTTTCGAGGGGGTGGTCCCAGAGGTATTGCATTCCGGTCATGAGGGTTTTTTGGAGGTTTTGTTCGTAGGCGAGGCGTTCGGTTTCGTTGCATTGCTCCCACCATTGGCCCGAACGGATGTGGCACATGTTGTCGTAGTTTGTGCCGGTGAGGCGTTGATTGAAACCTTGGGGTGGTGGGGATGGGGTTTTGATGGCTTTGGGGGTTGGGAAGAGGTCGTGGGCTGAGGCTGGGATTCTGTCTCGTCCTGCGCCCCAGTATGCGGTCAGGTTGTGGGGTGGTTGTTCTGTGTTTGGGAGTTGCGCGAGGCCGGGCTTGTGGTCAAGTCTTGCATAATTTGTTTCGAGCCTTTCTACCGGAGCAGCGAAATGCTCGATCCAGAGTCCGACGTCTGCTTTGTCTTGTCCGAGCCCGGTCCAGAGATCAGTCAGCTTGAGTTGGGCGAGTGCGGCATGGTAGCCTTCTTTTGAGGTCCAGTATGCGACCCATACTCTGGAGTCTACCAAGTCGAAGCCATGCGTGACTCGGAATGTATCGATGATCGGAGGAGTTGAGTTGGAGTTCAGGATGTCTTCAATCACCTTCTCGGCCCTTTCTCGAGCAGCAGTATTGCCTCTATGACATTGTGCTCCAACGTAGATTGTGTATATTCGATCTACAGATGGAGGCAACTTTAAAGACCATCTAGGCACGGGAACTTGGTGATTCTTTGGCTGTTTGAGAGGATATGTGCGCTGTTCAGGTTCGCCAATTGAGCCCATTTTGGCAGTCTTATGGAATCCTCGCTCGTACCTGTGAGAGACACTTGGTGAGGGCTTTGGTGTCAGCACTCTTCGATGAGATGAACGGAGACGGCAACATGATCTGCGGGTCACGGCGACAGCTTTACCAATGTGCCCCTCCCCTCGTCACTGTAGAACTACCTCACTAGGCTTTTTGACCAGAGGAGCTCGCTGGTACTGGCATGCTTACGGCAGGCACAAGCGACACCAGCGATCGAAGCAAGCTTGTCCATAGTTCTTCTATACGCGACTGGCTTGAGATGCTCCGTGTCGTTGCTGTTGCCAGCAGGCATATCGAGAGAGAAGGTGAAGCAGGGGGAACAACGACCGAGGTCGGCAGAAGCGGCCCGCAACTCCGAATTGCTGGGGTTCTCTCGTTTCGAGCAGCAGCGGAAGAATTGACATGGCATCACCACTGCTCTTCAATGTTTTGTCAGGCCGGACAGTATACAGCATGATGTACGCCGAACTCAGGGATCACGACGTTCTATGTGCCCGTGCCTCATGCTAGGGCATGACACGCGTCGGAGCGTGTACTGTATACCAAAACATCGAGGTGCTGCCGTGGAAAGGTATTAAAAATGAGCAATGCCAAGCCGCCAGTATGCAAGTCATGCGTGTCACGGTATCGTCTCTCGAATATATGAAGAACCCTCTTGTTCTCTTCCGCACGGTCTGAGCACAAAAATCTCTAACGCATCAGTCACTGCCTGGGCTGGCTGGAATAGGAGGAGTCGCCATCATGACTACCAGCAAGATCATTGTAGCCCCCGCCGAGGATGCCGACATGTCAAGAATTTTCGACATCACGACTCTAGCATTCGCACGGAACGAGCCTGTATGGGATGCCATGTGGCCAAACCACTGGACCGAGGAGGGAAAACGGCAAGGCGTGGAGCGAATGCTCAAAATCAAGAATACCGACCCCTGCACGACATACATCAAAGCCGTAGATTCCGAGACTGGGGAAATCTTGGGAATGGCGAAATGGCTGGTTTTCAATGAGAAATTGCCGGCCTCGAGGACTTTCGAAGGCGGGACTGGTGACTATTGGCCGGATGAAGAAGAGGCACGATATGCCAAGACAATGGCTGAAATTTTCGTTCGAGAGCGCAATGCGTATATTGAGTCTACAAAGGGGAAGATCGTGTCGTTGGATATTTTGACGGTGGATCCTGCTCATCAAAGAAAGCAAGTTGGAGATGCTTTGGTTAAATGGGGCCTCGCGAAAGCAGATGAGCTGGGCTACGATGCTATTGTTGAATCTAGCGTTTATGGTCGGAGACTATATGAGAAGAACGGCTACGTGTGGCAGAAAGATGTCACGATTCAGGTGCCAGGTTATGAAGGCAAGCGACCTGCTGGCGGCTTTGCTTGGATGATTCGACCGAAGAGAACAACTGCATGAATGGCTGCAACTCAGGACTGCCACATTCATTCAAACACGCACCATCTTCATGTCGGCTCCACGAGGGGATTGAGCGCAACATAGACGCCCGGTGCTCACCTGACTGAAGGCATACCGTAGAATGTGACTGGGGAGACCGAGTCGCCGAAAAGTATGAGTCGGTGCCATCACGTGTAGAGATCTGAGCATATCTAAATAGCATATCTAAACTAAACCACTAGACCTAGAGCGCAAAAATGTTGAGGCAGAGCTGAACATTCTTTCCTACTTTGGAATACATTTGATGGCTAATCCAGGACACGCGAGACTGACTCCGGGGGATTTAGAGCTGCGAAATCTAACTAGCTCAAACGATCAAGAAATGTGTAGATCTCGACTACTGCAGCTTCGCTTCCGGAAATTTCTTCAATAGCCGCCGAACGCCCTTGCAAGTGTGTAGTGATGAGGCAGCGAACCGGAGCATAGCGTGCGTGAATAGCCATCTCTCTGGTGCAGTTGTATCAAAGCAAGATTTCCTGCTTCTTCGCCTGCAGTGTGATCCATTCTAGGAAGGTCGGATAAAGGACACATAAGCTGCTGCACCACTGACACAAATTCCAGACTTCCAGTACCTCTTGTTTTGAGCTTCGTGCAGCAATGCCCTTGAGCCTTGACGAAGAATTTGGGCATGCCTTCCCTGTCGAGGCCACGACGATGCCGCATGCCGCATGCCCCGGGCCCCGATGCCGATGAACTGCTCATCAAGGAGCGAGTGAAATATCAGCTCAACACACCCACGTCCAGGTCACGGGACTGAGAGAGCATGCGGCAAGGGTGAGGAATCACACGGCTTGTCCACTCGGCTGGGCGTGGCGCGGCGCAGAAGAAATGTGATGGGCTCCATCCTTCGAAATAGGCGGGCGGCTACATCGGACAGCAGCGGAACGGCTCTCGCTAGAACTGGAACATGACGAACAAACACGTGCACCGAAGTTTCATGGAAGAAAAGGCTCGTTTCGTGGGGCCCAAATTTAATACCGCACGATTAGCGTTCCTAAACAGGATGTTTGTTTACTTCTCGGCATATATATACACATCTTCCAGTCGCGTTCTTCCTCTTTCCTATATTAACCTCGCTACTATAAGTACTGTCCCTCCCTCTGTTTACTACTAATTTTAACGCATAGGACGATATATATCGTAGACGCGGTATATATATTTCGCGTAGGGGTCCCTTTCCGGCATTTTAGCCGAGAAATTTAACCTCGCTATCGCTAATTTTATCCGCTCCGCCCTCCCTCTTCCTCTACTTAGAAGGCCTCTTTACTCGATAGGTAAAGAATAGTAGGGGCCCCCGCTAGCCGAGACCGTCGGACGGAGGGGACTCCCCGAGCCTACGAGGGAGGGGAGGCGCTACCTATAAGGTATGCTCGAGGCGTAGGGGTACTATTCTACGCGAGATATAGGCCCCTTCCGCTAGAGGCTATTAGTATCTTTGTTTTTAAAAACGTTACGAATAAATATATATTAAAAGTAACGTATATATATCGTAAATCTCGTCTAATTTATTTACTATCCTCCGTATTCTATAGTACGTTACCCTTCGCAACGAGCGTAGGGGTTAAAAGATAATATATACGGTATTAAATTTAGGCCCGTTTCGTAAGGTGTTAGGGCTAAAGAGGCTATACGTAATTGGCATATAACTAGGCCGAGTAAAGCTAGGGTCTCGATGCCTTAGGTAGGGCTTAGCGCTTAGCGTTAGGCTAACTCTCCTACCTTCCTCCCTCTCCTTCTAGATCCTTATCGAATACTACTTATACCTACTACTACCCTATCTACCTGCTAACATAACCCTTCTTATATAGTATTCGATCCACCCTTTAAGGGTAGCAGCTAGATAGTCCTAATTTCAAGCTTTTAGCGGTATAGCTACGAACAAGACTAATCTAACTATATTGCGCCCGAAGAACGGGACCTATACATACTATTCTATCGAAACAACCGTACCAATTATTAAGCAAGGCCTTCTATACGGCCTATTATACTAAGTCAATCGCACTAAGCCGATATCTACTAATTCCGCTATATCCGTATCTTAGGGGCCTATAATATATTATTAGTGTTACCCCCTATTACAATAATAGCCGGCTCGTTACGAAGTAACAACAACCGTGCTACCGCTAGCAGCGCTAGCAATAACAACGCTAGTAGCATAGTTCCCGCTAAAGTGCCTGCTAAAGTGCCTCCTACTAAAGAGCCTACCGGAGAGCCTATTAAAGAAGAACCTATAATTCTAGGTAACGACCTAGAATTGCCTGTCGACGACATTCTTAACAATATTATTAACCGTCGATATAGCTAACTAGCCTTTAGCCCCTAACTAGTAGGGAGACTTTAAGAAGCTACCTAAAACAGGCTTACTGCCCTACGTTAAGAATAACAGCTAAAGGATAATCTCCTCGAGATTCGCCGCCTATAGGAAGCCCTAACAACTACTGCTAGACTAGAACTAGTAGCAGGACCTTTTATTTAAAAGAAGGATGCTAAGCTTAAAGACTGTACCGTATTTGATAGCTCTAGCCGCAAGCAGTATAATAATTACATACGTAATTGTGAATTGAACTAGCGGAATGCACTAAGGGCCCTACTAGACGACTATTCGCTAGTCGTCTATGCTATACAATACATTAATAGAGACCCAAAACGCACCTAGGATAACTATTTCGACTCCCTTACTAATTAGACCGCTATTTAGTGGCAAGACTACAAGACTATTATACTAGACACCCTTAGAAACCCTATACTAAGGCAACAATACGCTTAGGACTAATACCTTCGAGCTAAACAAAAGACTGATTAATCGGCTCGCTTATTTAAGGCCTATTTAAAGATCCTTAAGGACGATTTGCTAGCTAAGACCGACTCTATCTAGATTTCCGAAATACGCCCTAAATTGCGATAGGAATTAGTCCTTAAATTGGACCGCCGTCGTATATTCGAATAGGCTAACCTAATACGCATTTAATTTATAGTCGAAGTGGAAACAGCCGAACGGGCTGTTTAGCTCTAACAACGACTAGAATCGAGGATCCGACTAGCTAGTACTAACCGCGGCAATCGTAGTAGCCGCGGAGGAAACTAAGGTTCCTACTATAACAACAATGCTAATAATAGGAACAGTAACAATAACCGTAGAAGAGGCTGTAGCCGCCGGCTATATAGAGGAGGCCGCGATAGGGGCCGTAGAAGGGGCTCGTATCCCTATAATACTAACCGCTCTACTAACAATAACAACAGCTACGGTAGTCTACTAACCGGGTTGAAGTGCTTTAACTATAATAGCACTAGCTATCTACTAGGCTAATACGACAAACCTAAGGATTAGGCCCGAATCGACTATACTGCCGCTAAGCACCGTAAGCACCTTTTAGCCGCTAATGCTACCCCTATCGGTCCTTCGAAAAAAGAGTAAGCGCCGCACTAACTGTTAGCCTTATACGGCGTAAGACTATCGACATTGTGCTAGCTATTATACGTACCTGTCTTATATCTAGGCGCGATACTAACTATAAGGCAAAGGTTATGCTAGACCCCGGAAATTCAGTTAGTGCCCTTATTAGCTATCGCCTAGCTAAGCAATTAGACCTCCGACAACTGCCGAAAACTAACCTACTAACCCTTACTTAGTTTAATAACGCTCGGTACTTAACCTATAGGGCCTACTATGTTCCTATAGTTCTAAAAGACGACCTCGGAAATGAACGCCTACTGAACTTCACTGCCTACGCGGTAGATATAGACAGCCTTCTATCCGACATTGTTATTAGCAACCCTGTTCTTAAGTACTATGCTATAGTTATAGACTTAGGCAGTTAACAATAGCGATTTAGAATCGCTAGGAAAGAGGACATTGAATACATCGACATTAGCGAGTGTCCTAATAATATTAGGGTCCTGTTTATTAGCAACCTAATACTAGCCTCCGCCTTAGCTAATCCGACTACCGACCTGCTCGGTAGTAATAACGATAAACCTGTGCCCCCTAATAGCATAGACCCTAATTAGCTCGAACGTATACTAGTGCCTATTCGAGAGACCTATATTAATATATTTAAATATTACCTAGTATCGATATTGCCTATATTCAAGGAGACAGATTATAAGATTAATATTATAGAGGGCAAGAAGGTTCCTTTTAGCCCCCTCTACAACCTTAGTAAACGAGAGCTTGCTATATTGCGTAAGTACCTAGAGGAAAACCTAGCTAATAGTCGCATTCGGTATAGTAACAGCCCTGCTAGCGCCCCTATCCTATTCGTACTAAAGAAGGATAGTAGCCTACGCCTCTATATCGATTATCGTAGGCTTAATGCTGTTACTATTAAAGATCGCTGTCTACTTCCTCTTATTAATAAGACCCTCGATCGCCTTTCTAGTGCCTACTACTATACTATATTAGACATTAAGGACGCCTATTACCGCATTCGTATTCGCAAGGGCGATAAATAGAAGACAGCCTTTCGCACTCGCTATAGCCATTTCGAGTACTTAGTTATGCTATTTAGGCTAGCCAATGCCCCTGCTATATTCTAGTCCTACATCAATCGGGCCCTATTAGGCCTATTAGATCACCTCTGTATAGTTTACCTAGATAATATCCTAGTTTATATACACTTACCTAACATTGCGGAGTACTAGGCTACAGTCCGCAAGGTCCTTAACCGCCTACGAGCCTATAGACTGTATTACAAGCCTTCTAAATGCACCTTTACTACTAAGGAGGTAGCCTTCCTTAGTTTTATCGTATTAACTAATAGTGTTAAGGCTAATCCTAATCGAATTAAGACTATTACTAAATAGCCAACACCTACTAGTATCAAAGAGCTTCAATTATTCCTAGGTTTTGCTAACTTCTACCGTCGATTTATCGAAGGTTACTCGCGGCACGTAATACTACTAACGGAACTTACTAAAACTAAGGCCAACCTAACTAGAGAGTTTAAATAGACTAATAGAGCATAAGCCGCTTTTAACGGTTTAAAGAAGCGATTTACTAAAGTCCCTCTGTTACACTATTTTATACTAAACAAGCAGATCCGGATTAAGACTAACGCTTTACAGTTCGCTATATTAGCTATAATGTCCTAGCAGTCAGATAGTAACTACTACTAGCACCTAATTGCCTTCTTCTCGAGGAAGATAATTAATACTAAGCGTCGCTACGAGACCTACGAGTAAGAGCTCTTAGCTATTATTAAAGCCTTTAAGCACTAGCGCTATTATCTCGATAGTGCCTAGCATACTATTTAGGTCTATACGGACTATAACAACCTCCGTAGAATTACGAAGGTTACTAGGGTTATAGGTCGATAGGCTAGATAGGCCGTCTACCTCGCTAGGTTTGATTTTAATATATTATATCGGCTAGGCGTAAGCAACCCTACTAATAGCCTATCGAGGCGACCTAATTACGATAGCGGGACTTAGCAATCTATTAATTTATTGTTTCCAACCCTGCAGTATAAGATTGCTATAGCCCGTATTGTTAATAAGCACGCGTAGGATAAGCGGCTTACCGGACTCCGCGACGGCTTGAAGTATATTAATGCTCTTGCTATATTAATAGTGCGTATTAAGGCAAGAGCTAAGGATACAGATAGGAGAAGTTATAATAACTCCCTAGTCGATATCGCTATATACAGTAACAGCGATTAAAGCACTAATGCAGTTAATCCGGCTGCTAGTGCTATTAGATGTATATAATGCGTACCTCGTTTAATAGCGAGGGTGCTGTTAAATGACCTTATAAATGGGGATAGTCAATTGTTTATAGATAAGCTGTTACGGGCTTAGTAGAGGGACGCCTTTGCTACTAAACGTATAAACAAGCTTATAAGTAGGCGAAAGACTCGATCTAGTAAGAGTAATTAGTCGATCGACGACAAAGGTTACTTAAGGTTTAAGGGTAGATACTATGTCCCCGCTAAACAATCGATTAGACAAGAACTTCTTAAGCGACACTATAATAGTGAGCTTGCCGGTTACTATAGTATAGAGAGGTCGCACGAGCTACTATCGCGTATATACTACTAGCTAAATAGTAAGCGGGATATAAAGGACTACGTAAACACGTATGCCGTATATTAACGTATTAAGGCACCAAAGTATTAGCCTTTTAGCGAGTTGTCCTTATTGCTAATCTCTTACAAGCTATTTGCAGAGCTTATAATAGATTTTATTACAGGTCTTCCCCCTACTAAGCGAAGAGGAAGCAAAGATATCTTTAATACTATCCTAGTCGTTGTAGACCGGTTTACTAAGGGCGCTCGATACATCCCGGCGCGGAAAGATTGGACTACTATTAATATAGCAGAAGCGCTATAGAACAACATCTTCTATACCTATTAGGGGACCCCTAAAGGGATAGTCTCCGACCGAGGCTCGACATTTATATCTCATTATTAGAGTGAAATTTGCCTATAGCTAAGACTCAAGCATCGCCTATCTATAGCATTCTATCTACAAACAGATAGTCAGACCGAAAGGCAGAATGCTACGCTATAGCAGTACCTGCGTAGCTACATTAATAAGAACCCTAATAACTAGGTTAATCTCCTACAACTAGCCGAATTCGTGTATAACAACAGTATCTACTTATCTACTAAGGTGTTACCTTATTTCGCTATAATAGGAAGCAACCCTACGCTACTATAAGACCCCCTATCGCTCGAGGCCGAGCGTAAGGAAAGGGAAGCGCGTTAAGTACCCGAAATACTAGCGGCTATTAAGAGGGTTTAAAAGATGCGAGAAATCTATACTAAGATAGCCGAGAAGTTGACAAAGGCTTAAGAGTACTAAAAGACCTACTATAACAAACACTACCTTCTAATAACCTTTAAGCAAGGCGATATAGTTATGCTTAGTACAAAGAACCTCCGCATCCGCAAACACCTATTACCCGATAGTAAAACAAGGCCCAAGCTCGTACTAAGATACATTAGCCCATTCCGCATCCGAGAACCGAAGGGCATATAGGCCTACTAGTTATAGCTTCTACCCTATTACACTATCTATAACACCTTCTATATATCCCTCCTTAAGCTATACTATTAACGCGAAGGCGACGAAGCACCTGCTAAGTTAGAAGAAGTCTTAGCTAATAGTAAAGAACTATAGTCTATAGAACGTATCCTGCAGCACTAGACTAGGAAAGGCAAGAAGGAGTACCTATTAAGATAGCAAGGCTATTTACCTAAATAGGACTCGTAGGAAGCTAAAGCCTCTTTTAAAGACATAACTAAGTTGTTAGACGAGTATTAGACTAGTGTAAAGAATAAGAAGAAGGCTAAAAGCTCGTAATGTTACTAAGGCTTAGAATTAATAGCACCCCCGGGGTGCTATTAGCTAACTAATTAGAGGCCGACAAACTAGGACAATAAGACTACACTACTATAGTAGACGCGTACTAAGTATTAACAAACGCGCTATAACTGTTAACTAATCGCCTGCTCTTTTAAGGATTCTACCTCTTCCCTAATGCGCCCTATAGGTCCCCCTCTTGTTTTTTATTCTATCGAGGCCTCGAGACCTAAGCGTTCGACAAGGGCGACGTGCGCGCGCGTGCGAATGACGGTAATAAAGGTAATAGTATCGCGCTACGAGCTAGCAGTGCGCCGGCGGCCGGCGCGGCTATGTTAGTAACGGTATTATAGAGTGTGTTATTAGTCGAAGAAGGAAATCGAAAGCAAGGTAAAGTTAGCGCTAAGACGACTAGCGCTGCTATTATTAACATTACTTACTGTTATCGCTACGCCTATAGACACAACCTCACCTACACTACGAGCCTAAGGCACTCTTAATCAAAACTTTAATTAAAGCCTTAAGCCTATTAAAGGTTTAATTAAAACTTTGAGGCTAAGTCAAAACTTTGACTAAGCTAAAAGATTAAGCGACTAATAGACTAACTAAGGGCAAAACTATAGAGCTAAGCTAGCCGGGGTCGATCTTGCGGACAATAGGTTACTCCTCGATCTTTCCGACCCTTTAAGCGAGGCGAACCTCTACTACTACACTTATAATAGCCTTTACCTATAGAAACTAGAAGAACTAAGTTTTTTGAAAAGATATAATTAGTTAACACTTAAAGGCTACTAAACCTAACTAATTTGGGCTAGTAAAACTACGACAGTAAATAATAGCCCTCGTAATAATAAGAACAACCCTCGGAAGCGGACAAACCCTCGGAGCGGACATTTCTAGGTCTGTTAGAGTAGACGCAAAGAACTCGTACGACATTACTTAGAACGGAGGCAGTGCTGCAATACCTCGTACGTCTACCTGTTATAGTAGGGAAGACGCGCTCGTATTATAATTAGTCGATAGTCCTTAATTCTTATAGCTTTATATCCCTTTACTTTATTGTATATAAGGATAGCGCAGTTAGAGTTAGACGTTGTATTAGAAAGTGAGGTTTGATATAGTTATATAATTAGGTAGTTAAGTGTTTAATTTAGCGCGAGCTAAGCAGTCTATTAGACTTGCTAAGTTAGTAGCAATAGAGGTCGAAATTGACAGGCTACGAGGGCGCGGCCTTTAGAAGGGAAGCGTGTGTTAGGGCTAAAGAGGCTATACGTAATTGGTATGTAACTAGGCCGAGTAAAGCTAGGGTCTCGATACCTTAGGTAGGGCTTAGCGCTTGGCGTTAGGCCAACTCTCCTACCTTCCTCCCTCTCCTTCTAGATCCTTATCGAATACTACTTATACCTACTACCACCCTATCTACCTACTAATATAACCCTTCTTATATAAGGTAAGTTTTATACATGCCGTACTTACTTGCTAGAAATGTAAGGAACGTAACGAACTCTATTACGCGGGCGTATAGTAGTAATAAGAAGCTATTTATTATAACTATAGAGATTAAGAATAGTAGCAGTAATTTCGAGGTTGTAATAGACGTCTAGATAGGACAGGTAATTTAGGACCCTTATATATGCCTAAAACAGCTATATTAAATACGCGTATAGAGAAGGTGCGGCTAATTAGAGGATATAGAGAGCATAAAACTTCTTCGATAGCTCTTCGCGGCGTCTAGAAGGAGGTAGAGGGACAGACCGTAGTCGACGTTAACGGCTTAGTTAGCTTAGTTAGCGTTTGTTAAGGGATTGCAGTTTAGGAGAGGTTTAGGAGAGATAGAATACTCCTCTACGGCCCGAGAATAATATAGAGTAGGAAACTATATAGTACTATCGCGGTATCGGTATCTAGCGCTAGTAATAAGTTAAATCCTAAGGCATATACCTAGGTCCGTATATATACGCGGTACCCTATTTAGCGACTTCTCGCTTCTTCCGTAGACACTTAATTAACTATCGAATACATATACTTTAAGTAGTTATAAGCCCTCGACTGCTTCCGACCTAAGATAATAGTAAACACTTTTAAAGTAGGGGGTGCGACTAATACCGACAATTAAATAGCTAAGATAGCCGTTTCCGACTCGACTACTACGACTATCGCGACTAGCGGCATTCGCAAACTAATACCTACTAACTATTCCCTCTAGAGCGTCGACATTAAAGCCCTTCTACGGCGCTCTAAGCTACTAAAATATACGACGACTAATCGAGCTGCTATACTTAAAGATACGGCTTTAAAGGACGATTATAAAAAGAAGGTAGTAGACGCCGCTAACCTAATTACCCTTACTCTTAGCGACTCGATTAAAAGCCGCTTGTCTTCTGCTAATAGCGACTTTAATAATAGCTATTAGCTAATAGCTAAGATTAAGGCGATATACTAGCTAGATACGAAAACTAAGTACTTCTTATTATAGAAAGAGCTCTTTAGGCTAAAGTACGACGGCAAGGATATTAAGGCTTATATTGCAAAGATCCGGACACTTAGCGATCGTATTAAGTCCATTAATATTAAGCTTACTACCGATAAGCGCGACCTTCTAATTCTTATAATAATAGTTAGTCCGTATTACGATATACTAAGCTACTACTAGACTGTTAACCTAAAGGATATAACATTCGATAAGGCCTATACTAATCTACGCGACGATTGCCGCCGACAGCTTGCTTTAGACCCGATAGTTCCTACTAATTTAGCTAAAGCTAAGACTAAGACTAATAAGGCTAAGAAACAGCACTATAGCTACTATAAGAAGAAGCATAGTCTAACTTGCTTTAAGAAGAACCCTAAACAGGCACCTAACTAGTAGAAAGAAATGTAGAAGTAATAATAGTCTAATATAGCTATTGCGATACTATTTAACGACCCTCGACCTAATACTAAGCTAGCAACTAGAAAGAACTAGGCCTTCTAAACGACTAAACCTAAACCGACTAAACCTAAACCGACTAAACCTAAACCGACTAAACCTAAACCGACTAAACCTAATACGACTAAATAGCTGCTTTAAGTACCTACTTATAAGAAGTAGGGGGTATCGTAGCTACTAACTAAACCGCAATTAATACCTATCTACTAGAAGTAGGGGGTGCGGCGGCTAATTAACTAATTAACAACTATTATAAGGGCAAGATGCCTAGGTTAGATTAACTAAACTAAACAACTAATAAAAGGTATAATACCTAGGTTGCTAACTAAACTAAACAACTAATAAAGGGCAAGATGCCTAGGTTGCTAATTGACTAAACAACTAATAAAGGGTATAATGCCTAGGTTACTAATTAACTAAACAACTAATAAAGGGCATAATGCCTAGGTTGCTAACTAATTAACTAATTAAATAACTATTAGAAGGGCAGGATGCCTAGGTCTATGAATAATACCCCTTGTTTGATTTGAGCGACTTTGTATTCACCAACGTGCCTTGCATATGCACGAGGGGGTGAGTTGAATCCTGAGGCATATGCCTAGGTCCGTGCACACACGCGGCACCCTATTTAGCGACTTCTCGCTTCTTCCGTAGACACTCAATCAACTATCGAACACACACACTTCAAGTCAACAAGCTGCAGGTTGAAGGTTCTGCATACACGTAGCCGGGGTCGGGTGCAGGGAGGTGACGAATGTGGTGTTGAGGCTTCACGAGGCTTCCGTCCATCCCTTCCTAGTGGTTTGGAGGGTGCATGCAGGCGTGCAAAGTCACATGCGCTGACTATCCACTCGACTCTGGCGCTTGCCGTGGCGTCGCTCGTGCAGAGCCATGCTGCGCTGCGCTGCGAGCTCGCGGATCATCAGCTCAGCGGCAAATGCACCCACCATACCAACAGCCAACGCGCAGTCGTCGCGCTTCTGAGACCTCTGCTGCTTTTCTCCCTCACTCTCTGACGCTGCCCGCACCGTCGAGACCACCACCACCACCACCACCACCACCACCACCATGTCCTCTCCACCATCCACATCCATTTCCCGCCCGGCCTAAGGCATCGTCAACATCAGTTCCGGATCGCCCTTCGCCATCGCGCACCGCACCGCACCGCACCGCATCGCACCGCACCGCACCTTACCGCACCGCTGTTCCTCCTTCAACTGCACCAGCTCTGAGACTGCACGCTGCACTCTGCAGGCCACGCGCGGCGCACGCACGTCTATATATGCGAAAACCAATCTCAGTCGGCCACGTCGTACAGAGCGTCCCCGACGCCTGTTTTGCCAGTGGCGTCCGGCTCTGCAGCATCACCGACCCCTCGGCCTTCCCGTGACAGGCCTGCCCACCTGTGGCTTAGCCTCCACTCTGCTGCAGCACATCGCTTCGTCCGATATTCTCCATCGATATGTTCCACCCACACGACCAAGGTGCCTATTATTCTCTACTTTCCCGCTCCAACTCCCCGTCGTCGTATTTCCTTAGTCGCAGAGCGCTGGACGCTGACCCCATCCATCCTTAATAGATAGAATCTACTCAATGCCATCACCCGAACCGACGATTCATTCACTGCGCATACGGCCTTGACACATACGCCATACATACCCTAATGCATCTGGCATCGAAGCACACCATATTATCGAAGTATTGCGACTGGCTAGTTGTGCTGCGACCTGCAACCTCTGGCCATGTCATCATCTACATCACAATATACCCACCCAGAACTCCAGCAACGCTTGCAACCAAACCAAACCAGCCGAATCCCCACCCAGAACACTGGCATAGAACAGAGTAAACAGAACAAGACTTTGCAACATGTATCGAAATTGGCAAGACGAGCGAGCAGAAGTATCACACCGACCGAGCCATCATCTGGAAGCACGAGCCGGCCTCCAACACACGTTGCTGCTCCGGCTCCTTCCACTATACCAGCGCGGCGATTGTCGACGACGCCATCCACTGTCGCAACACCTGCTTCGACAAGCATGCGTACCCCTTCGCTTGTCTCGGGATCTTCCGTTTCAACATTCGACAGTCCAAGGTCGACGGCTTTGCGAAGGAAGCAGTCCGGCGCGATCGAGAGGTATGCTGCGCAGAAGCGAAATGCACCAGAAATGATCGAAGTGGAGAGTCTGGAAAGAGCGGGCGAGGCCATGGTCTCCAGAAGCCAGTTCGACGATTCTGTGTTGGGCATATCTCTCCCTCCGACATTCTCCCATGGCCGACGACATGCTCAAAACGATTATGGACATGAATATTACGATCATCCTGCCTTATCTCGCGAATTCACACCACCTGTTCCTGGCTATGCGCAATCAGTCACTCCTTCGACGAGGTATACCGACTCACCTTTCAGCCATGTCCCCACACCCAGCTCTACTTCTTCATACTCTCCCGGTATCATGGCGACCACTGCGCCCGGTCCACGATCACAGACGATGGGCAGTCCAGCTAAAAGCTATCCGCCCGTCTCTCAACGTCCTTCCATCGATAAAGGGTCCAAGTCTGGCCTTGCGCCCGTACGAGAGTCTTCGACCTCGTCTTCTAATTCAACCGTAAAGGTCGGCGCCAGGCAGCATCTTGCCAAGAAAGAGTCTGCACCCAAGAGTAGTACAGCACCCCAGGCAGCCAAAGCATCCACGTTGGCAAAGAAGCCCTCCCGGAGAAAACTCACCAAGGCGCAGCTTCCCACCTCGGCGAGCAAAAGACCTTTGCAAGCGCCACCAGAGCTAGCCCATCTGAATGTAGACCCTCCGAAACAGAAGCCAGATTCGCAGAAACCGTTGCCCCCACCAAGACCAAGTCGCGATGGGACTTTGAATCTTGCAGATCTCAGTCGACCGTCCCCTGTGGTACAGAGCGATCTTCCAAGACTGTATACGACCTATCATAAACGGACACCTTCGCAAGAAACTCCTGACCCTACTTCATCACCCCGATCGAAAAGCCGTTTGGGATTCTCATCAAGGACGACTTCAAGGACGGGTTCCAGGAACGAGTCGCCTCGAATAGATTCTGCCATCTCGCCTCCACCCTCTGCGCGGCGCTTTCATAGAGGTCCCACCCCAGATACTGCCACACAAGAAGGCGTAGCTCCTTCCCGCAAGGACTCACCGGCAGTAGGTCCAGGTCCGAGTCCATCGAAATCACCAAGGTTCGGCATCTTTTCACGAAAGCCTAAGGCAGAGGCAAAGGTCGTTGAGAAGCCTGTACGCCGGCCTTCCAAAGGCCCAGCTGCGGGTACTGGCCATGAGGGCTATGGCAGATTCAGTAGTCGTGGCCGCAACGGGAGCACAAGCAGCAGCGCTGGATTTCGATCGCCCAGCGCAGATAGCACAACTAGCAGTGCGCCTCGTCCAAGCAACGCGTCGTCAAGACGGAAAGGCAGTCGTGGTAGCAAGGATGCTGCGGAACTTGACGAATTCCTCCGCGAGCGTTTGGAGCCAAGAGTCTTGCGAGGCAGTGGCAGCACTTTCAACACTGGCTCAAGCTCCGACTTTGCAGGCACGAGTCTGTATCCGGCCTCGTCCAAGGCATCCTCACTCGACAGTTATCCGCATCCTCAGCTTCTGCCATCGGCAATGCAGAGTAAAGACAGCGTCTCATCCAGCAGGCGTCCCGTGCTTGCCAGAAACAATACATCTGAGAGCTCGGATACCGATTTCGAGGTTCAGCAACCTACCATTGCTGCTCGGCGCTCATTGACTCGACTATCGCAAACAGATTCCAAGTCGCCTGTGCGAGTGCCTGCACCCATCAACACTAGCTTGGCCCCTTCAACCACAACATATATCGACAGCAATGATACAGAGACTGTATGGCCACAGACCGACAGTTCGATGCCACCATTTGAAGATCCTTTCCATGGTAAAGAAGGCCTGTGGTTGCGTTCGCCCACACAAGAGCCTATTGCCAAGCAGGGGCGGAAGTGGAACTTCTTTCAGCGATCAAAGGGCAAAGCGAAGGCTATGGATCCACCAACTATGATCGAAATGCCTCCGCGGTCACCTCAACGGGCAGTAGCGCACTATGCTATGCCGGATTCTCAGGATCCTCTCAATCTCGACGAGGTCCGTCGCCTAGTGCTGGACAACGAGACCTCTCAAGACGAATCAGCGTCTGACTCCAATAGGCTCAGCAAGATTGTGCCTTACGAAGGTCGTCATCTGAGTCTGCTGCCCTCGCCGCCCAGTCCTGGGTTTAGCAGTGACTCGTACTTCAAAGCAAGACCTCTGCTTCCAAGGATTTCCGTGCAACGCCAAGACTCCCCGGATACGCCCGAGGTACTTGATGCGCCACCATACCAAGCAGCACACGCCGTGAACATTGCGCAGTCACCTGGTCAAGGGCATTTGAACAGCCTTGCGGTTCCGTCAGATCCCTCATCCGTCTTGCGTCCTGCCATCGGCACTCCCGAGCCGGATTCGACTTCAAATACTACGCCTGACCTAGGAAATGAGTCGCCAAGACAGCCCCGGCTTTCGCCAATTGGGAGAATACCTGCTGTAGTGTCACGACGAGATCGAGATCGAAAGCTGTCCGACAATTCTTTCTCTCGACCATTTGCTCGTCACCAACCACGTCCGACCGTAAAGCCGCCCGGTTCAGTGTACAGCCAGATTAGGGAAATGGCAAGCCCTATCGAAGTTGGCTCGCAACCTGTTTCCAGCACTAGTACAAGATCTGATTTCAATTCCACTGAAATCAAAAGCAGTGTCAACACCAATCAGGCGAGCACATCGACAAACAGGACAAGTATGGACATCCACAATCACACTGAATTCTTCGTATTTCCTCCTCGAAAGAACTCCGAGCAGTCATACCAGTCCGGATCAACAAGCTCCGGGTACCCTAGCTGGACGAATGCGCTGTATCCGCCACCGCAACAGTACGAGGATGTGTGGGACGAGTATGACGACTTCATGGACGAGCATGTGCCTCTCAAGAAGGCGAAGGCTAAGAGATCACTCGGCGCACCATTTCAGTACCCAGATACGGTTCATGGCGGCAGCATACGATCTCTAGTTCCTCCACCAGCAGGTCAACCTCCAACCTCAGAACTTCCAATCCCACCTGGATCCGAGGTAGCCTCGACCATCCTTTCGGTGCCCCAGCAAATCTCGCGGTTCCTCCAGCCCTCGTTGACGCCAATGACCCCTGACACTATCTCTGCGCTGATCGGAAGCTATGGAGGTCGTAGTACGAGTACACTTTTCATCTCCAACCGGGACAGCAGCCTGACCGAGGCCAGACTTAGCACCCAGCAACCCCTGCGCTCAAGCTTCGGAAGTGTTCAGGGCAGCGTGATGTCCTTGCGACACAGCAAAGGCTCCCGTCATTCGCGCTCTGCATCGCTACCTGAAGCGCGACATTCGCAAGCTAGTACAGCGATCCTCATCCGGCAAGAACAGGATGCGCAGCTACCAGATATTGTTGAGGTTCCTGGAGAGTTGTCGCCCTCAGCACGCTTACGTCAAAGTGCTCTGATGACGAGCAAATGGTTGTCTTTCGGGCGCGTGCTGTTCAGTCCAGCGCACAACGAACTTCAATTCGTCAATGAGCCTCGTGTACTTGTGCTGGACGGTCTCAGCAGTGACTGGTCGTTCTATGTGGCCCTCAACTATCCCGAAGCGACGGTCTATAACATGGGCGCTAGTCTCTCTGCATGTCCTTCACTTTCCTGGCCAGCATCCGATGGTCCTCCGCCGCCAAATCATCGTCAGATACCGCTCACAAGTATTGCCGCGTCTTTCCCCTTCCCGAAAGGTTTCTTCACGGCTGTCGTCTTGCGATATCCTATCGCCACTACCGAAACTTCGTACGCAGCATGTATATCTGAGTGCAAGCGTGTGCTCCGGCCTGGAGGACATCTTGAGGTTACCGTTCTGGACCTTGATCTGATGAACATGGGCAGCAAAACTCGCAAAGCGGTCCGCGGATTGAAGACAAGAATGCAGCAACACGACCGAGAAGTCTGTCTACAGAATCTCAGTGATGTTCTGGTCCGTCTAATTGGACGACGAGGATTTGAATCTGTACAGCGTTGCGTCGTCGGTGTACCAACCGCTGGTCGCATTCCTCGCAGTCAAGACCTCAGCAGCTCCGGCTCCGCATCATCTGCCATATCAAAGCGTCCCATCAATCCTCCCCGTGGTGCTTCAGACAACGACTTCAGCTTCTCAAATCTTCTCGTCGGCAACTACGGCAGCCAGTACGAGCCTGGCAAAAACAACGACGAAAGCATCACAAAAATGGTCGCCAAAGTCGGCCGTTGGTGGTACTCGACATGTTACGAGAAAGCCCTTCTTTCCACTGATCGAAGCATCTGGAACGAATCCGGCCTCGTGCGAGAATGCGAGAAGCAAGGCACTAGCTTTCGACTTCTAATTTGTCACGCACAGAAACCATTGCAGACTCGCAGAAGGACTGTGAGTGTTTGATTCGATCGACCAACATTTTTCTTTCGACATCTATCTATACGACGATACGAATACGATTCATGCCACAGGCTGGACCTAATTGGAATGGAACGGAACAATGGAGAGAGTAATGAATGTGATGGAAAGACATTTGATTTTTCAACTTTTTTCTGCGATTTAGCGAGCGAAATCCTTTTTTTTTGTGACCTTTTTTTGGGCGGCCCCTCACGAACGAGAATCTTTCCGTTTTATGTCTGTCTGATTTTGCATAATGGAATGGACAAAGATGAAGAAAGACGCATTTATGGCCTCACGGCCTACATTAGGCTCGCGCCTGAAGTTTGGTATATAGGAAGGAAGGAAAGAAGGAGATTAACAGATGGCGTTGTGTGTTGTTCGTTAGTAGAGGGTAGGTGGTATTGTGAATCACTGAAATGGAATGAATCTATCTTGTTTCTCTAAATTCTTTTCTTCTTCCTAGAAAGGGTTATAGAATAAATAGTATATTATAGGCCGGGTAGGGTTAATAGCTAATAAGAAAAACAGGTATCGCGGACGTATATACTAGGTACTTATACGATCTGCTATATCTACTAGTAAATATTAAATAGTAGAGTAGATTAGTAGTCTTAAATAGAGAAGAGATTCGATTGCTATTATAATATCTATAGGCTCCGAGATATCTATATATAGTATAGTTATAGTATATCTTTATTATACTAAGAGAGGACTCGGAGAACTAGGTATTTACTATATAAATCTTTACTAGCTCGCGAGTCGTTACTAGTAATAATTTTTAGGTTATATATATATATATATATATATTCGAATATAATTTATTATTAGAGGGTATGTAAAAGGTATATAACCGGCTAAGTAAAGCTAGTAGAGTCTTAGTGCCTTAGATAGGGCTTAGCGCCTAGCGCTACTAGTAACTTCCTAGTCTTCCTCTCTCTCTCTCTCTTTTATAGACTTTATCGAATACTATCCGCTTTTAAATATACGATCTATCTACTTATATAACCTATATTGCATTATATATACTTCACTCTAGAGTCTAAACTATATAAAGTTTATAAACGACTCGGACTTTAGTATAAGTAGAATGTAAGTAAAATCCCGTAGTACTACTAACTACTAATTTATCTACTTCTTACTAATGCTTCGGTCAGGGCCGTTATATATAGTAGGTATATTACTAGCATACAACTTGAAATCTGGGTACTGTCTGTACCTTACCTTTATCTTTACCTTTACTACCTAGAAAAAAATCCTGCTGTACTCCGTCTCGTTTTGAATGTTCCCGGGATACTAGGGATAACAAGACGGAAGTGGAAAAAAGTGTGAGTTTGGGAGATAGAGAGAGAGAGAGAGTAGTTCCAAGGAATGTGAAGACGAAATTGTTGGTGGCGGTGAGAGATTGGTTCTATGCCAAAGCGGCCGGTCCAAGGGCGATTGAGGGAGGGAGTATTGGGTTGAACAAAGTAGAATGGAGAGAGTGAAAGAGAATGGGTTGGTTTGTGATCAAGGATCGTTGATTCGTGGAGAATGTGATAGTTGTGGAGGACTTGTGATTAGCACTGCGTCGATTCACGCTGGAACTGTATCCATCTCCATAACCTGTCCTAGGTCAAAAATCGATACAATCTCGTCGCTCCAACTACATAAAGTCACTCGCTTGACCCCTCCGCCGTGGACCTCCGCCGACAAGGCCTCGTCTACTTGGGTGAATGTTTGATTCATCGTCCTGCTGTGGTGCAGCAGGCTTCTTCGCTGCCTCTCTCTTCACTGCCTCAGGTCTTCTATTACGCGGCGGAGGTGATCTAGAAGATTCTGGACTGCTTGTGTTCCTCCTCCGTTTTGGAGCAGGCCCTCGACGAGGCGGTGAGCGGGATCGAGACCGAGATCGAGAGGGAGAACGAGAACGAGAATCGTAGCTGCTAACACTCCTAGCACGCTTTCGATTTGGAGAGCGAGCGCCGTTGCGTCTGGGTGGGCTAGCAGATCGACTTTGTGTGCGGCCCCGTCTTGGTGGTGAACGAGAGGGAGAGCGGGAAACAGATACTGCCCGACCTTTGCCATTTGTCCGTCGAGGGGGCGACCTTGATCGAGAGATAGAGGGTGAGTCGCGTCGCCGGCGAGGTGGAGTCCGGGATCTTGAGACGGATCTGTCACTATAGCTATCACGTCGTCGTCTGGGAGGTGGTGACCGAGAGTCGTACGAAGGCGATCTGCGGCGGCGAGGCGGAGTCCGTGAGCGTGATAGAGAGCGAGAATCTTCCCTGCCACCATTTCGCTTTGGCGTCAGAGATCGAGAGTAGCTTCTGCCTCTTCCACCCCTGGAAGTGGATCGCTGACGTGATCGCGATCTCGAGTCAGAGCGTGAAGAATAGCTTGAGTAGCTGCTGTAACTGCTGACACTCTCGCTTCGGCCTCTGCTAGATGGCGTAGGGCTTCTCGCGGCAGGCAACGGGGCAGGAGCAGGCTTCGGCATATTCTTCAGCCATTCTCTCATGCCTTCTGTAAGCACACCCATACCAATAGCCGTGAAGAAGTTGATACTGAATCGCGTGTTCTTAGGGTTATCGGTTGGGAACATGCCCGCGAGTGCAGGCTGCAAGTCGTCTGCCTTGAAGCGTTCGGTCAAAGCTTTCATTCCTGCACCTTGAGCGAGCTCTTCCATCAGGATCTTGATGAAGATGCGACTCGAGCTGGTGGTGTCTTCTTCATTGAGCTTGACGGCATGGAAAACATGCCAGCCGATTGCGTCTGATGACAGCAAAAAGCCGAAGAATTGTGCGATGATCCGCAGTCGGTTGGTTTCGTATCGATGAATCGTCTCGTAATACTTCGTGAACATGTCCTGGAATAGATCTTGCCAAAGCCGATTGAGCTTGCAGAAACGTTCACCAATCAAACCGAAGAACTTGTTGAAGGTCCGCTCCTGGCTACAGCATTCAATAATCATGGAGGGTAGCTCTTCTTCACGGCCTGCAGGTAGATTGATCCGCATGAGCTTGTGGCAAGCCTCCTCGAAGGTGCCAGAGGACATGATCGTAAGGTAGATAGACCTTCTGAGGTTGACAAGGTCGGTGTTAGATTGGTCTTTGATCTCCAAGGCCTTCTCTTCGCTGTCTTCCTCCTCCTCGTCACTACTCTCCTCCGAACCATCATCGTCTTCGTCTTCGCTTCCGGAAGCCTCTCCCAAAATTTCCGCTTTCAACTTTTTGTATGCCTCTTCATTGGACTCGAACTCTGGGTCGAATTTGAAAATGTTCAGGCCATCCTCTGTGCTGAGCTGATCGTCCAAACCGGGCCTGTGAGTGATCTGGTCCTCTTCCTCGACAAGGTCCAACTCCTCCTTCACAGCAGGGTGATCCTTGTATTTATCCTTCCTGATTTGAAATAGGACCTCAATCATGTATTGAACTCGCTTGTCGATGTCGGCCTCGTGTAGAATGCTCCTGAACTGGTCATAAACAGCGAGTGCGATCTGTGAGTTCATCTCCTCGATATGTTGTCCCACTTCCTTCATAAGACCAACTGCAATCTCGACACTGTCGTCAGTCGGCTTGTGAAGGAGCAAAAGTAACATCTGTGCGGCGAGCATTTCATGTGCGACTTGCTGGTTGATCAGGTGGGCGATAAATGTCGTGCTGCTGTGGCACACGCTTTTGTCGTTCCGTTTGAATGCCTTGCGAAATTGGATGATCAAGCGATTGACCAACAGCTCTCCCACCTGTGGAAGCTTAGTATTGACGATAGCCGCCATGGCAGCATAGATGGGCGTGAAGGGCAAACTAGCAGCCTGGGCCTTCATGATGCTTCGACAGAACAAGCCTCGACCGCGGACCAAATTCTCGTTGAATAATTCAGGCACAATGTGCTTGATATTGGAGACGTTGACCTTATTGATCAGTCCATTGATAGACTTCTTCAGTGCTTCCCATGCCATGCGCTGGTACTCCTTTGAGGTCTTGTCGGTGATCTGGGCCTGCAGAGCCTTCAGCCGTGCTGGCGGAATATATGTGCCTCCAGAGCGCATATTCAGCAAGCGGTCGTACTCTGCCTTCGCCTTTGCCTGTTTCTCTGCCTCGGTCAGCGGCTTTTCAGCAGCCTCCTCGTCACGGCCCTTCTGCCGCATTTCCAGCTGCCGCGCTCGCTCTCTCGCTCGCTCGCGGTCAACGTCTCGGGGAAGAGGTCCAAGAGGTCCATTTGCGCGGGAGGCCGGCGGCGGCGAGCGCGATCGTGAGTATGAGCGCCGTCGCAGGGAGGGCGCATCTCGTCGAGGCGATGGCGAGCGCGATATTGAGCTGCGTTTCCGCGAGTGTGAAGCGCCTAGGACATCAAGATCTGCGTTGACTGCTTCATCGCCCGGCTCTGGCGTTGGCAGCCGCACCGCCGATTCCACTGCTGCCATACTGAGTGCTTTTCGGACTTCGAGTTGTCTAAGGATGTGGACGTCCGCGTCCGGGCCCAGCGATGGTGGAGTGCGGGTGGAGTGAGCGAGCTCAAAAGTTCGAGATCGCTTTGACTCGCCGCAGAAGTCGCGCGAGTCATGTGCCAAGAACATGGGTTTACATACAGCTCACTGCATAACCACCACTGACTGTGAACGACAATGTGAGCAGTAGATGAATCTTGGACGGTCTGAAATTGTGAGATATCTGTTTCTGCGGCAATATAAAAGCGACATCATCGCCAGGGTATCATATTCTTCATGCAAAAGCGAAAATGCGGACCTCAGTGCTCTGTGCTGCCGCTATGCCATTTCATAAAAGCGTCACTCTCGTTGCCACGTCCTCATATACCCTTGTGATTCTTCATATGATCGTTTCAAGATCTAATTCTCGCTGCCTTGAACTTGCTCACTTTCTTCATCTTGCCACCCCGTTCTTCCATCAGCGGCTCGCCATCATCGTCCTCGTCATTGTTCTTGAACCCTCCCTGCTGACGAATAATGTCGTTACGTCGGCGATAGTACTCTGCGGCAAGCTCGCGACGTTGGGAGATCGGATCTGAGAGCACGCCATCCTCAGACGGAGCGGTGGCGGACTTGCGCCGCGTTGGACGCTCAAGAAGTTGGTCTGCAATAATGCTGGTTGTTGGTGGCGTTGGGATATTCAACCCTTGCTCCTTCGCAGCGCGGCCAGCTTTGAATGCGGACATCTTTGGCGCAGTTGTAACGCGCTCCGAAACTTCTTCTGCCATTGGGGCGACATTCTCCACACTTTCGGCCGCATCAAGCTTTTGCAACTTCTGCGTGGGCTCATCGGCAACATCTAGAGCTTCCGCAAAGCTGACTCGTTTCTTACCGCTAGATTTCTTGTCGCTATCGGAGCTTTCGTCGGCCTGCTTTCCACGAATGACAAGCCTGTGGACGTCTTGAGGATCGACAAAAGAGTCCAGCTCGGCCTCATCTTTGGTGACTGGTGCAGGGCCCAGATTGCCAATCAGACGGCGTGACAGCTCTTGCATCTCCTTGTGGTAATCGTCGCTGATGACCCGTCGCTTTGTACGGCCATATTCGTCCTCGCTTTCAACATCAGAGTCTGACAGTCCACTCGTGTACGGCGTGTCTTCGTCTTGATATTCTGAAGAAGTGAAGTCCGACACCTCGTCCTCGTCCATCTCATAATCTTCAGGATCCAAGTCCATCTGCGCCACAACGTGACCGACTTCGTTCAGATGATATTCCAACATTTCCCGACGAGTCGCAGCATCTTCCTCAGATTCGTCCTCAGGGATAATAACATCGTGAAACTTGGCGACCTCGTCTGTGTCATCATCAAGTTCAGCAACCTTCTGTCCGGGCTTGAACATGAACCCTTTTAGGCTTTTCTGGAAGTCCGAGTCGGCTTTGCTATCGACTGGTGGGGCTGGTTCGGCTGGGATCTCTTCTACTTTGGGCGAGAAAGACACCGATCTTGAGTCCGGCGAAGGGGCGGCTGGCATCACGGCCACCTTGTCGTTGAACGAGACCGATTTGCGCCCATCTTCAGAGTCTTGGCGCTCTGGTTCCGGTGAATTCTTGGTGTCAGCGGTAAAAGAGACCGACTTCTTGCGGATAGGCGGTCGCGATGCGTGCTCTGAGTCATGCGAAGAATGCTCTACAGTGTTGGCTTTTGGCTGATGCTCAGCATTTTTCAACGCGGACGGCGGTAATGTGGCGGCTTTCACAGCTTCATCGTCAAGCTCGTTACTTGCGCTGCCTTTGTCGGCAATATCTTGCTCTGAAAGACCAGCCTTTCGCAATGCATCTACCAGTTTTGTCGTTTGTGCTTCAGGTTGGGACACTCTGCTCGAAACCACATTGCCGTCCTCGTCCAGTTCTTCCTGAATCTCGGTGAGGGGCAAGTTCCCAGATCCATCGCCTCGATTCGCCGAGATGGCCGCAAAGTCTAGCTCTTCCAGCTTCGATTCGCCATCCCAGTATTGCTTTTGGATGGTATCAATATTCTTCTGTACGTATTCCTGGCGTCTCGACACCATTCCCAGAACCTGGGATGCTGAGCGTGGCGAGTCCGCTGACAGACCTGCAAGCTCGCAGATCTCCTTTTCGTTGACGAGCTCACCATCATAGGTCTTGCTGATTCCTTCGAAGTCCAGTGCACTGCCTGCTGTCTGGATTTCTTCTTTTAGGCCCTCAAGTTCTGCGCCATAAGTCTGCCAGTGCTTCAGAGCAGCGCGCAATTTCTGCAAATTCTGCTCTAGCGCCTGACGCTGCTGCTCGAGGCGGAGGAGATCCATGGTGCGCGCACTTGATGTGATGTCTGTCGCCGACCTTGCTGGAACGCTGATGGTCGAAGTCAGGGCTGGAAGTGGAAGTGGCTACGGCACACTTTCTAGGTTGGATGGCGCAGGGCAACCGATAGTAAGATTTGGAAAAGCTTGGCATGAACGGCTGCACGCAGGCAAACAACCACGAACCCTGAACGAAGAATAGCGGCAAGAAATGAAGCCGAACACGTTCACTGAGGATGTGGTTTATAAATGAGGTGGGCGATGCAGATTGATTTCAAGATGCTACGCTAATGCACTGCCTCATGCACGTGTACCAACCACAAAGTCACAAGTACCACAGTGGGCCTCGTGATGCAGATAGACAGAGGTCTTCCTCCCTCCCAATGCCATGTAAGCCACTACTGCAGCAAATGGTCGCGGAAATGCTTCTGAAAGTTGCCCTTCTTGTTCTTGGTCCATTCATATCTCGCTTCCGCTCTCTGTTCGCGCTTCTGAACACGTTTCTCCACTGCCTTCACTTCTCGCTTCTTGGCATCACTAACACCGACCATGCCAAGACCGCCATTCGCACGGCTGACCAGTTGCCTGCCGCGAGAGCCTCCATTCTGTTCGGTAGACTGCGACTCTGCATCTTCATCGTCAGCGTCGGAGTCGTGGCGGCCTTCCTCAATCATGCGTTGCTCGGCACGCTCTGCTGCGGATGGGTAGTTTCGTAAATTCTGTCGGTAATACTGTCTCAAGCTCCGATGGCCAGCTGTACGTCCTGACGGGAGATGTAGCTCGTAATCATCATGGTATGCAGCATGTGTACCGTGATGCGCATGAGAGTGGTAGCCATCTGTATTCTTGTGCGGTCGTGGATCTGTGCGAGAATGATGACGATGCAGACCCAGTCTCTCGAACTTGTGGGTTTGATCCACGGGCACAGACGTTATTTCGTCAGTCGGCACAGAGGACAATGATCCATCGCTCTCCCAGCCATCATCGTCTTCATCCATGTCAACATCTTCACCATTCCCGTTGTCAACAGTGGTCTTGACTGCACGCTTCGCACCAAGACTGACCCCACCATTGGGCTCATCCTCTTCCGTCTCAGACTCTTCGTCAGAATATGTTGATCGAAAGTCGTAGAACTCGCCCACGTCCATCTGCTCCTCTTCTGTGCCGTATGCAATCATGCAGTGGCCTCTGTCTCGCATGTGCGTTTGCACGCCTGAACTTGTGTGCACTTGCTTGTGACAAAACAGACACTGGTGTAGCACATTTACCGTCTCACTTAGATAGTTGATCAGCCCGGCCAGGTCGACCAAGTAGTCCTTCTCGGGAACGAAGAAACTATGCTGTCTGGACATATGGTTCAAATTCAGGTCCATGGTGGGGGAGACGTAGTTGCAGAAGAGACACTGGCTGAGGTCGGCTTTGTGTTCATAGTCGTCATCGTCCATGTTCTCGTGCCCAGCAGTATGGCCATTCTCTTTTGGGGTTGCAGACGGCGTTGGTTCTGCCAGACCTGTGTTACGCAAGTCTTGCACAACTCGATCGAGCTCTGGCTCTTCGGCAGTTTCCGTACCTTCTCCATTGATCGTGCTCGCAGCAGTACTAGCTGTGTCGAGAGTCTCGCCAAGAGTGAAGGTGGAATCGGCCATACTGTCAGTCTCAGCACCGTCGACGCCTCGACCTCGAGTTGCTAACATGCGATGTTTCTGACTTCCCAGATGATTCACATAAGCGCCCTCGCTGAAGTACGTCTTATCACATGTATGGCATCTCTTCTCGAAACTTGCGCGTGCGGCAGTGGCAGCGGCCGAGGCCTTGTTCGCAAGCACCTTCTCCGCGAATATTTCAGAAGTCAGTGGCGGTAGAGAGGCCACGCGACGCTTGAGGTTGTAGCGATGCCAATCCGATTGCATGTGGGTTCGCTGAAGATTGCTGGAGCGGAAGGCGACTTGGCAGGTGTTACAGGTGAAAGGATGAGCCGAGCCTTGTTGGGCAGCGGGTGCTTGGGTTATTGTGGCCATGATCAATGCTCAGGCCTTTGGCTGACCCTAAGACAAAAGAGAAGCACTGATGTGTGCTAACAGAAGAGAGGCACTGGTGAGTGCTAGGTCTAAGGACGGCGGCTGGAATTTTGCCTTTTGAATGACGCCACACGGGAACCCTGCATGCGCCCCACGCATGCTCGCTTTCACCTGCACTTGTTGACTTGCTCGCGCACGCGCTTAACCAGCAACTTCGACTTTCTAATCCGCAGTCCTCTGGCGACGTGCGCACCCTTCGCAAGCAATCGTGGCTCCTTGCGCCTCGGCACTGCTTGAAGGGCCAAAATGCAACACTACCAGCGCTACATCCCGCCTGAGCTTGAGGGCACCACCAGCGCAAATCGACTGCAGAAGAGACGCGCTCCAGGCACGCCCAAGAAAGACGGCTCCCAGACCGTGCGTTTCGAAATGCCTTTTGCTGTTTGGTGCCACACTTGTAAACCACATGCCATCATAGCGCAGGGTGTCCGCTTCAACGCAGAGAAGCGGAAGGTGGGCAACTACTACAGCACGCCAATATGGAGCTTTCGCATGCGACATACTGCTTGTGATGGTGCCATCGAGATCAGAACTGATCCCAAGAACACTGCATATGTCGTCGTCGAAGGCGGCAAAGCGCGTGACTACGGCGACGCCAATGACCAAATCCATGAAGGAGAAGGGGGTGTTCCCATTCTCAGTGCCGCCGAGCGGGAACAACGGCGCGAAGATGCATTTGCTCAGCTTGAAGGGCGGGTCGATGAGAAGGAGCAAGTCAAAGACAATACGAAGCGCATTCAAGAGCTTTACGAATCCCGCGACCGAGATTGGGACGATCCGTGGGTGGCCAACAAGCGCATGCGATCATCTTTCCGACAAAAGCGCAAGGCTGCCGAAGAGGAAGAGCGAGCTGCTGAAGCAATGAAAGAACGCCTAGGCACAGATATCGACTTGCTTCCTGCCTCTGCTGAGGATTCTGCGAGAGCCAAGTTGGTTAGTTTTGGCAATCATTCACAGTCGGAATCTGCAGAACGTGCTGATGGACAACCAATGTTCCGCGACAAACCACACAGAGTATCATCAAAGAGCAAGCCCAGCAGCTCCACGAAAGCCTCCCGGAAAGAGATCCTGCGCCAGCGCTTATTGTCCAGTACTCGCGCTGCTCTCAATCCTTTTGGCTCTTGAATTGGATTGAGAATATCGATTCACCCATAAATGGTCGACTTAGCATCGCTGCTTGTAGAGCTGGCGAAAGCAAGCTTCATGTAACCTGCCGACCTGCTCATCATCACGCAGTCTGAAAGGCAAACGATCGAAGAATCCTTGCAGTAACTACGCGTTTATCTGCAGTACCTACCATGCATCGTGGCAGATTGGACAAACTCTCCGATAAAGAGCCCTGTAAGTGAGACAGGCAACATCCTGGCCGTTCGGCGTGGCGGACCTGGTATTCTGCATCAACTTCTCGTAGATCAATGATCCCCTTATCAATCCGTCTACGCGGACATTATGTCCGTCCAAGGCACGTCCAATGGAGAAACGAAGCGCTCTCAGTTGCGATTGTTGCCGCTCAAAGAAGCTCAGGGTAGGTCTGACTGAGTGCTCGCGCTCGCAGGATGCTACCTCGATAGTGCGTTGACATAATACAGTGTATAAGACTGCGCGATGGCTCGTGCCAGAAATGCGTTAGCTTGGGCATAGAGTGCACGACCAGCAATACCAAGCAAACGCGAGCATACTACCAGGTCAGTCACCGAGGCGGATCATAGCCTTAAGCTCGTGGGTGATTAGGGGCTGAAAGGACATCGCAAGACTTCGAAGAAGCAATATGAACTACTTTCTACCATTGTCCAACACTATTTCCCAGGGACAAGCATGAATACAGAAGACTTGCAGAAGGCGGTGTCAACACTACATGCCCGTGATTCTCAAGCCAACACGCCGCCACGAATTGATGCGCATGTTTCTGTGCCTCGAAATGATGACATCAACGCACTAAAGGAAGGACTAGACTCATCTCCAGCATCCGAGGTGATCGACCAAGAGTTTATCATTCGTGATGCTGCGAATCTACCTCGTACGTTCTCTGAACAGCTCCAGGAAGCTGGAAGCTGATGTTCAGCATAGGCCTTGATGTCGGCTCCGGCTGGGCAGCATTCTTGCGTCGCATATATGCCCGTCATTCAGCAGAACATCCGTCACAACCCATTGGTCGCCCGGAAGATACAACTGATGGCAGCGTGCCCAAAGTCAGAATGCCCGGCATGTTACCTGATGTCAAAAGTCTTGAATGCGCTGCCGCAAAATTCTTCTGCGAGATCAACAGTACACTGTACATCCTTGTCCCAGAAGCGTTCGCCAGCATTGTGGAGGGGTTGTATACTCGCGACTTCGCTGCGAGCAATGCATGCGTGACGACGGTACTTGCCATCTATGCACTCATGGCAGACAGTGCTTCAAGCTGGTTTCACGAAGCTTGCCTCTACCTCGACCTTATCGTTGTCGAAGGGAGCCTCGAAAGCATTCAAGCCATTATGATCTTGGTGGGTGACACATCAGAGACTTCGGTTCACTTGTCTGATGAATACAGGTCCTCTGCCGGCTCGTGCGAGAGGAACGCCACGCTGCCTGGATACTTTTGGGATCCGCTGTGCGGATAGCACGATCACGCGGCTTGGATCGACATCCCGACACTTGGACACCGGAAGACGTGCATAGCAAGGAGATCAGGTCCCGAGTCTATTGGGCTCTGTACACACTCGACACAGATCTGGCATTTAGCATCGGCGCTCCACCGGAGCTAAATCTGCCCGTGGACGAAGCCGTGGCCAAGCAGATACCTGTGGTAAAAAGTCCCTCCGTTCTCGTAAAGTTGTCTTGTCTTACCAGATCGATAGATGGAATCTCCAACACTCTACATCCCGCCAGGGTATCTGTCCGCTTCTGCGGATCTGTCCGTTCTCATTCGCCGAATTGCAAACCGGCTTTACTCTAAACTACCACGGGTTGAAAGCCCTGAAACAGCTATGATTCACGCCCTTGGAGAGCTGACAAAGTAGACATCTCCCTCTGATTTGCACTTACGACATCGTTATTGACTCAGGCACAGATGGTGGGACAATCTTCCAATCAATTTGAGACCCGATAGCTCAATAGCCCCCGAGTACTTCCGTTCGGTCGCCTACCTCCATCGTCGCTACGTTGGCTGCCGCTTCCAGATCACGCGTTCTTGCCTGCTGTCGAAAGAGTCAGAGTCAAGTGATTTCGCGCGAGAGTGCATTCTTGCGCACGACGCCTCGGTTTCAACTATTAAGCAATGCCATGAACGAGGTCTGCTCAGCCCTAGGCACTACTTCGATATGACACATGCGCTAGGGACAGGTATCCTGGTGCACTTGAGGGCATTGAAGTGGCCATCTCAGGAGAGTATGGAGGCTTTGGAGAAATGGATTGGTGTGATTGAGTTCACGAGACATACGAGGATGGGACAGATGGGTTCCTATTCGGCGAAGCGGTTCGTGGAGATACTCAAAAACCATTTGTCCCATCCTGCGACGTCGAGATTAGATCCTGACAATCCGGCGTTGTATCTTCAGACAGGCTGGGATCCGCGTGACGCGGATACGAATTTTGAGGACTTGTTGCAGTCGTTTTTGAAGGACAGTAAGCCGCTTGAAAATATACCTGAGTCGGACACGACATCTTTGGAGCCATCGTAGCGTAGCGTAGATAGAAAGCGGCCAGAACTGTGATTTGTCCTGATTGACAGATCACTCTCCTTCCGAAGGGAATTCAGAAGCTAGGGGGAGGGCTTTGAGTACGCTCGTCTCTATTGTATAGGTCTCGTTATCTAGATGCTACTTTATCTACGTCTACAACGATCCCTTACAGTAAATATCTTAAGTCTAGTCTCTCATCTGAGTTGAGGAAGTTCTCAATGTTTTGCGTCACGTGTTCTGGTGTGAAGAAGGCGCCATGCGCCACCTCCCTGCACGCCACCCATCAACCCTGCCAAACGCGTATCATTAACTTCAACTCTTCTTTCATCTTTTGGCTTTCGTTTGTTTACATACTCCGACAACGCCTCTGGTCGGCGGCCATCAAATCTCATTTCGATGCCTCCTTTGAAGGAGAAGGACAGTAACGTCAGCATGGCTGGCAACAAGCACCCCCGAGTGGAATCTGATCCTACGAACAGTAACAGCGACGCAAGGAAAGCCCGGAAAGTCAGTGACACTGCAACTGCAGATTCAAGACAGCAGCCAACGCCTCCTCAAAGCAGCGTCCCTAGCAGCAGCGCTCGCTCAGCTTGCTACAACAGCTCGTATGGACTGCCCAACACTCACAGCCAGGCAGAGCGCAATTCCTGGCTCGCTGATGAGGATGCAAACGAAGTGATCGCGTCTACACAATTTGCTACAAACGGATCGGACGAGTACCAACACTATGGCGACATATCTACCAAAGTCGTCGGTGTACGGTACTACTCCGGCTATGCCAACCCGGGAGAGCACATCCTCATTCGAAGAGAGCCTGGTAATCAATACGACTCGAATGCAATCAGAATCGACAATGTTGCAGGCACTCAGATCGGTCATATACCGCGCGGTGTCGCTGCCAAGCTTGCAAGATACATCGATAGTCGCATGTGCCATTTCGAAGGACAGCTTGCTGGCGAAATGGGATCATTCGATTGCCCGCTGACTGTGCATGTCTATGGCCCAGATCCCAGCACTGGAATTGGCAGAGCACTAATCAATCGCATGCGAACTGAAAACCTCGGCGTCAAAGGCCTGCAGGATGCTGAACGAGTGGCTAAACGACTCGAGAAAGAACAGCAAGAAGCCGAGAAGAGACGTCTGGCTGAGGCTCGACGTGCGGCTGCAAGTGGTGCAGGTGCTCCCTCATCGTCACAATGGACCAATCAAGCAAGCAGCAGTCAAGCCAACATGTCAAGCATCTTAGAAACTTCTCACCGTATCGATCCTCGGGCCATCGGTCGTGATGCCGAAAAGCTGGGTGCTTCTGAAGATGAGCTCAAAGCCATGCCAATGGCAGCAAAGCCTCATTGCATTAAAACGGAAATGCTGCCATATCAGCTTCAAGCGTTGCAATGGCTCCTCGACCAAGAATCTCCAAAGTTACCGGATCTTGGTTCGCAACAATTGATCCAGCTTTGGAAAGCCGATAGGAAGTACTACACCAATCTAGCATCCGGCATCTCCACGCAGACGCCGGGCCTTGCTTCAGGTGGCATTCTCGCCGATGACATGGGATTAGGCAAGACGCTTCAGATGATCGCCCTTGTCGCTTCTGAGTCAGAAGGGCAAGCGCGTGCACCGACACTCGTTGTGGCTCCTGTCAGTGTACTCAGTAACTGGAGTGGCCAAGCTCAATTCCACACGCATGATGATCGGAAGCTATCGGTCTATACATATCATGCTAGCGGTCGTGTCAAGATGAAAGCCGAGGACTTCAGTCAGTACGATATTGTGTTGACCACTTATGGCACTTTAGCCAGCGACTTCGGAGTCAAGAAAGGCTCAGTCATACCGGAGCGAAAGCTGAGGAGCAGCGGGCTCTACAGCGTAGAGTGGCGACGAATCATTCTCGATGAAGGACACTCGATCCGGAACCCAGCCACGAAAGCCGCAGCAGCAGCTATGGGCTTGATAGCCAGAAGCAGGTGGGTCTTGACAGGAACACCAATCGTCAATTCGCTGAAGGACTTGTTCTCTCTGCTTCGTTTCGTTGGAATTACAGGTGGTCTTGATCAGCTTGAGACCTTCAACGCTGTGCTCGTGCGACCTCTCAAGTCCGGCAGCAGCAGCGCCAACAATCTCCTCCAGGCCATCATGAGGTCCTTCACTCTGCGAAGACGCAAAGACATGGCTTTCGTCGACTTGCGGCTGCCGAAGCTTGACGAATACGTGCATGGCATTGATTTTACACGCAAAGAGCAGGAGCGGTACGATGCGCTCACGGCAGAAGCGAAGGGGCTCATGAGGAGCTATGACAAGAAGAAAGCGGCGGCTGGACAGAGCACGAGCGGGGCGTATAACCATTTACTTGAGGTGCTACTTCGCATGCGGCAGTGCTGCAACCACTGGCAGCTCTGTGGCGAACGAGTCACCAATCTCCTGGCTCGGCTGGAGGTTTCCAAGAACGTCGAGCTGACAGCAGAGAACAAGAAAGCATTACAGGACGTGCTCAGAGTGCAGATGGAAAGCTCGGAGGACTGTGCAATCTGCCTTGACACCCTTCACCAACCAGTCATCACCACTTGCGGTCATGCGTTCGGCAGGTCGTGTATCGAGAAGGTGATTGAAACACAAGCAAAATGTCCCATGTGCCGAGCGCCACTCAAGGATGATGGCAGCCTTGTCGAGCCTGCGAATGAGTATGGAGACGAGAGAGGCGACGACAATGTCGACTTGACACAGTCTAGCAGCAAGGTGGATGCATTGGTCACGATTCTTGCTGCTAATCAGAGCAGCGGTAACAAGACCATTGTGTTCTCGCAATGGACCAGATTCCTAGACATGGTCAAGAGCAGACTCGACCAAGAAGGCTACAAGTGCTGTCGGCTCGACGGCACCATGAATGTGCAGCAACGCGACAAGGGCATGCATGCATTGGAGAATGACGCGGAGACTGGAATCATGCTTGCATCGTTGGGTGCGTCTGCCGTGGGCCTCAACTTGACGGCGGCAAACATTGTGGTGTTGTGCGACACGTGGTGGGCTCCTGCTATAGAGGATCAGGCCGTCGATCGCGTGCATCGTCTCGGACAAAAGAAAGCGGTCAAGGTGTTCCGACTGGTGATGAACAATACGATCGAGCAGCACACACTCGATGTGCAGAAGGACAAGCGGAAGCTGATGATGATGGCCTTTTCGGAACAGCAGAACAAGAGGCTCAACGCTCGAGCTGGCAGAATCGACGATATCAGAAGACTGCTGGCATGAGTTGATGGTGATCACAAGCAGCATAGCTGTCATAGCAACAACCATAGTGGTCGCAAACCGAGGCGTACGGTTGTAACATGGACATCTCCGTTGGAGGTGAGTTCAAGCATTGCAGCCAGTGCCTTGGTGCGCTTCTGTTCTGCGGTACCATTGGGCGCCGGCCAAATGTTGCAAGCCTTGGTGACGACATGGCGGCGTTGCGCAAAGGTTGAGCTTAAGCTGGTTCAGGTTCGGAGGATAAGTTATTATTATGTAGGTGTATGTGGTGGCGGATGTGGAGGCATTATTGTCACCGCTCTTCTGCTACGCGGCAGGCACGCAGCATCCTTGTCATGCGACCGGCACCACACCAGGCATTATTATTAAATAATTGGGCTCTGCGTGCATGTCACAGAGAAATAAGCATACCGCGACGCGTGTCTATTTAAGTGCCTCATTACGGACTGAAGGAAGGCAAGGCGCATGATGTCCCGTGCTACGGTAGTGAATATTGAAGAGCTGCGCCAACTAGCGCAACACCGTTGTCGCATGGTTTGGTGGGAGGTGTTGGCGGCAAGTGTGGTGCGGAGTGTTGCCTTTGCCTTTCCAGGTGTGGAGTAGTAGTGTGGCAGAGAGAGTACAGGCACAGGCACAGGCCAGGAAAGCGTTATTCTAGTGCTAGCCTGTCGATTGCCGTCACGTGTGCCTCCGAAAGCTGCCAAGGCATTTCCCTCTCTCCGCCCTCACGCCAGACACATATGCCTCCTCTTCTCCGCCAGAGAAGCCCAGCGGTCCATTTTGAGCGGTCATCCTTTGGAGAAGCCCGGCCACTGTACGGCCACCTCGTCGTGAGGTGCGCCAGGCCTCTGAACGCGACACGCCACACGACACCCGACACCCTTCCGCCGCCGCCCAGTGGTGAGCGCGTACAGACGACGAACGGCGGTCCTTCATCGCAGCACCGCACAGCACAGCACAGCACAGCACAGAACAGAGGAGTTCCGGATGGACGATTCCTAGAGATACCCACGAGAGCATTTCCCATGACCGCGCACCCGCATTCTGTCTAGTATTCATTCTATTGCATTTCTGCCCCTTGTTTCTCCCTTCCAACAATCGCCCTCGCAAAGCCCGTCGCCGCCGTCGCCGTCGCACGCCGATTCTTGCAGCATAAATCCCTCACCCAACCCACCTTCCGGAATGGTATACTACGCGCCACACCAAACACATGACATGTGCTGATCTGCAGCAAAGGTTGTCAGAGCCGATGGCACTAAGTGGGCATGCCAGTCATGTCTGAAGGGCCACCGAGTGAGTGGCTGCACTCATACGGGTGAGTGCCTGCCGTTGACGCCGTGTGCTCCCAGCCGCGCATACCACACACATACATGCCCTGTTCGCTACTGACCCCCGTGCGCCCAGACCGTGAACTGACGCTGGTCCCCAAGAAGGGTCGTCCGGTCACCCAATGCCAGCACTGTCGTCTCGAACGCAAGAAGCGATCCGCCCACAATAAGTGCGACTGCGCCGACGAACAAAAGCTGCATCACTCCAAGGAGAAATGCATCCACCTGCGCGAAGCCGAGGAGCGCGCCAGAGCTGGCTTGAGCGATGCCGACCATAATAAGCTGGAGGAAGACTCGATCCACCTCGCCGCTGTCGCGGAGGAACAAGGCTGCTGCTGCGGACACGGTGGGAAATGCTCGTGCTCGCTTGTCAAGAAGGAGGCTCAGAAGCAAGGCACTACTCCACCTCACGGGCCTGCTGTCCACAAGCCGCGCCTCGAGACAACCAAGTCGGACGGTTCCATCACCGTCTTCGCCAACGGTCACCACAAGCCTGTGCACCGCAAGAACCATGCAGCTCACGAATGTGGCATGCCCTACAAGATGCCCATGAACAGGTCGCACACCGAGCACAGCCTTTCTCCAGTCGCTCGACGATCTGTTGACAGCCTTCCGCTGAGCATGAGCACCAATTTCAACACGCCGCCCGTCTACCACCCACAGCCTCTGGCACCGCTGAACACGGGAAGAAGGCTCTCGAAATCGGAACAGCCATCGCCTAAGCTCAACGCCATGAGTGCATGCAGTGGAGGCCTGAACGATGAAAAGATGTCTGCTATCGACTTCAGCACTCTTGAGCCCATTCAGACCAACCGAAGCATGAATTCGGCGGCCAGCGATTCCATGCAATTCCCTTCCTTCGACCCCATGTCAGGCGTGGCCGACAACTCTTTCGATCCTTGGTCGCTCATGCCCTCATCTGAATCCATCCCAAATAACAATCCCTTCGGTGCATGGCCCACCAGCTTCGACACGAGTAGCATCACACAGCCTGCCTTGACTGCCGCTTCTTCCGGAACGCAGTCCGAGATTGATGAGATCCCTGCTATGGAGGACCTGTACGGCTTTCCCATGCCAAGCATCCAGGAAGATGCCGCCGCCGCCGCTGCTACTGCTGCCTTCAATGCGCTGCCTACAGACAGTGACGCCAGCTCCATCAATCGACGTAGCTTGCCACCAAACTTTTTCGGAAACGCCGACTTCAACTTGGCCAATCTTCCGAACGAATGGCAATCGCCAAGTGGAAGCGTGCATGGGTCTGACGAAGGTAAAAGCAAGCAGAATGGTACCGACCAGGCACTTGGACTCCCCGACGTCTGGTCCACACCGACCATGCCGATGATGTCAGGTATAGCGCGGCGACCATCTCCCGTGACTTCTCACCCAAGCCGTCCTCAATCGCATTCTGTCGGTCCAGGAAGTGCTCCGAACGACGAGCTGATCAGATCACTGTTCCCCGACATCGAAATCAGCAACGCCACTTTCGCCTCGACCACCAGCAGTCCAACAGCGATGGACTCGATTACTTCCAAACGGCTCGGCGGCTTACCAAACGTGACTTCGGCCCCCGTGCCTATGGATGAAGATATTGGCTTTACCACCACCCAGCCCTGGAGCGACGGTTCCCTCAGCGTTCCCAACGACGATTATCCCAGCCCTTTTGATCAGAACTTTGCGAGTCAAAGCTACAGCAACGAAAGCTGGCCTTTTCAATAACAGTAAGAGGGCGGCATCGCATGCCGTCCGCCCTTCATGATTGTGTGTGCGTGCGTAGAACATGACCTTTTTTCTTCGTCACTTGTGGGGACCATCATGATCTGTACGACTTCCTTCATGTCGGCGTCTTTCAAAAGGTGTGCGAGTTGGGCATTTTTTTCGGATGGTTGTGGATCTGGATTGGGGAAGGTATAGATAGTGTGTGTGAGTGATGAATGAAAGATGATTGTGAGAATTCTTCCGCTCAATTTTCCTTCCCTTGCTTGTTAATGTGGAATGAGCACTTGATTGGCTCAATCCTCTTTGCCTGGCAATGTGGAACGAGCACTCGATCGTGTGGGTGATTTCGAGAATCCTTCCGCTCACTTCGCCTTGATCAACGCGAAGTTCGCACAGGATTGTGTACACAAGTAACGAATGAAATATGGATTGCGAGACTCCTTCCACGCAATTCACCTTGCTTGATCAACGCGAAATGAGTCCTCGATTGTGTCTGTAATTGCGAGAACCCCTTTCCCTCAAATTCGCCTCAATCGATATAATAAAATGAGAGGAAGATGATTCACTCGATTATCAGCAGTTCTGAATGTACATGGATGGCGATATATGTATAATGAATGCTTTTTGTAGATTAGACGTCTTGTCATGTCACCCAAAGTCCAAACCTCTAAAAATCCCTATACCCCCTCCCCAACCCTTTCAATTTTCCTTCATCATCAATCATCCTCGCCCCCCTCCCCACACTCCCCGTATCCCTCATCGCTCCAAAAAACGCATACCGTTCCACCCACTCCAAAGAATCCAAATACTTGACACTCTCCCGCAAAAAAGACTCGACCTCTTCCGTCTGCAAAGGTTTTGTTTCCTTCCAATTCGTCGGCGCGAATTCCGTAATCCAGACTTTTTTCGAAGGGTCGAGGGAGTGGTGTCTTAGTACGGAATTGATGAGCGTTAGCGAAAAAAAAAAAAAAAGTAAACCAACGATTTTTTTTTTTGAGGGACGGAAAGGGACGGACATACGTCGCCCAAATATAATCATAAAATTGCCCCAACGTCTCGCCGTACCAATGCAGACATAAAAAATCTATGTCGCTTTTTAATTTTTCCCCGGGCTCGGAGGGGGGCGGGGTTCGGATGTATTGCAGGAATGTGGAGAGCCATTGGGCACCGTCGGGGGAGTTGGAGATTGAGGGACTTCCGATGCGGTAGCCCTGGGAAGGAAAAGAAAGAAAGATGCAGTCAGTAAGGGGAGGAGATGGTGGATGGAAAAAAACGAACTGCTTTTCGAAGAGGTTCGATATGTTTGATCCACACGTCCGCCGCGAGTTCAGGGGACATGTTTGCTTGGGAGGGGAGGTCGGGTTCGTTGAAGGTTAAGACGTAAGGGGATGGAGAAGATTCGAGGATTTTGGGGAGGTGTTCGATGTTGATGTGGTTCCATTGCATGGGGATGAATTCGAGACTGGAAGGGTTGGGGCTTGGGGTGGGAGTGGGGGACCAGTTGTCTAGATAGATAGATAGAGAGGGGATTTGTTAGTCTTTTCTTTTCTTTTTTTTTTCTTTTCTGAAGGAATTTTGTAATTGAGGGGAGGGAGGTGTGCGTACAGATCCAGGAAATTTTAGAGCCGGGTTTTGTGAAGATGTGGATTGGATCTTGGTTTTCGACTGGCCAGCAGAGACCGCGTTTGGATTTGGAGAGTGGAGGAGGAGGAAGAGGAGCTGATGGTGATGATTGGTGGTTTTGGACTTTTTTTAGTAGCTTGTCTGCTTGTTTTTGGAAAACCGCCGACATGGTGAGTGTTGTGGATATTGTTGCTGTCTCGAGACAGCTTGCGTGAAGTGAGGTAGGTTGAAATTTTGCCAAGACATACGACACGCGGCCGCGTCAAACAGTCAAGGCCAAGAAGGGATGGTTGATGAGATATGAGGAACACACATTACAACTTCTGAGTTATCTATCCGAAAAGCAAATGGCACAGCCACATCCACTCACGCTGCAAGATCGTTCGACGTCGGGGCGGCCTCTTGCTCTATACATTAGAACCTCATAGACCATCTCTCCCAAAGGCACCCTGCGCCAGCGAATTCAAATACCCATACCTCGTGATCATGGTGGGATCAAAGTTGCCCTCATCAGTCCCAACAGCAGCATCAGCAAGGTTGTGAAGTCCATTACCCTGCTGTATCATCTTCTCCTTCTTTCGCGTTACCAACTCCCGCACCGCACCATCCCAACCCTCGCTTTCTTGCTTGCCAGCTAGACCTCGTCCCTGACCAAGAGCTTCAATCATCTGATCAAGCCCCTTCATGGCCTCGGCGCGAGTCTTACCCAGGTCACACAGCTCGCACAGAGTCATGGCGGCCAAAGCGCCAAAGTGGTGGTTGAGCGGTGTGACAGGTGTCATCCGGCTATTAAGCATGGTCGCCACCTTCACAGCATGACCCACCAGATCTGTCGGCTCGCTCATCGGATTGAGACGCTTGATGAGGAGGTGGCAATGATGATAGCTCAAATGCACCAGGTTCAAAGAGCCCCACACTGACTCCACCGACTCTCGAAAGCGGTCGATCTCACCCGCCAACGTAAGACCAAGCAAAGAAGATGCCGGGTTGGAAGGCGCCATCACATCTGTAGAGGGTGTCTTGGTTGTTGTCAAAATCGCAGCAAGATGCCCTATGATGAATGATAGCCTGGCCAGATTGTATGTCGATTCTCCCAGCAAGATCTGATCTTCAGGCAATAGCACAATACTATTCTCGGGAAGTTTGAGCAGATCCGCTGTTGAAGAAGCATGCCACCGATCAAGGATGAATAGCACCCACCAGACGCGCCGAGCCAGTCTTTCCTCCGAGTCTCGGTCGCCTTGTATCAGTGATTGACTTGACGTGCGGATCACGTGGATCTCGAGCTGACCAGCTACACCAGCAGCACGTCCAAGCCATTCTGCTCTACTTGGACCTGCTTGGCCTCGTATAGTTGCTGGACCGTGGTTGTCGCTTTCTAACGCCATCATGATCAGCGTCTGCAGGTACACGAGATTCGTTGCGTTGTTATGTGAGCTTGGGTTGTCAAACGGATACTTTGCGAGCAATTCCGCAGTCTTCTTCAATGCCTGAGCGTAATTAGGATTAGGCTCAAGATTGGTCGTAGGGAAGGTACGCATCAGACAGTCGAGTGCGGCCAAAAACGCTTCTCGCAATGATGCCGGGCATTCGCTCAACCGCTGCTGCAAACGGTTTTTGTTGTTTGGCAGTAGCGGAAATGTCTGGTGTATAATACGATAGTACTCGTCGATAACTGATTCATCCCAGTCAAACGTCTCAGGTGCAGGAACGTTGCTCTCGGCATCAAACGCCAGACCGATAGCCTCTCCACGGTTGTCGTTGGATGCTCCATGCCGCCAGAATGGTTGCATAGCTCCTGCCTGTGGCACTGGCGCCTGAGCGGGTACGTATTGGGGCGAATACTGAGATGCTGTCATGGGTGCTGCCGATGCAGGAGGTTGACCAACATGCAGCGCTTCTGCGGTATCGTGCGTGCGCTTGTCGCCAGCCCTCGGATCTTGCACCAGGAGAGGATCGTGATTGCCATATTGCTGCAGACCTTCCATGGCTTGATGAAGCTGCTGGACCTCATAGCGGTGCTGCTGTTGCATGTGGCCCGGATGCACCGACTGCTCCAAACTGTTCAATCGCTCAGCCAGCTCCTTGATGTATCCTTTGCTCGGCCCTCGCTTCATAGGCTGTCGACTAAACGCACATCTGGCACCTGTCCGGGCGCAGTTGGTGCACGGTACAGCACCCGTTTCGTCCACGGCGTCGCAGCGAATCTTCTTCCGCCTGCACTCATCGCACGCCCGACTGACCTTGCTCCGTTTGTTTGGGTTCTTGTCTGGTATAGGTGGCGCTGAGTCTGGTGTGCCATTGTGCTGTGCGTATGCGACTGAGCCTTGTGGCATGGCAGCCGATGCTGCCTCGCCGGGTTGAAGCATATGCGCGGGCGGTGCGCCGAATCTACCGAAACTCCCCATCGCATTGCCTTTACTCGAAGGGAAGTTTGAATTCTCATCCTGCGCATGTTCTCTTCGATCGGCATAGCGGTAGTCTGGAGACTGCTGTGCGCTCTCTGTCGCGGAAGCAGTTACATTCGCTGTGGCTCCTTCGGAGGTCCCGGACGGACCTTGCTCGTGCCGTTCTCCTTCTCCTTGTGCGCCGTGTTCATATTGCGCTGAAGCTGGATTCGGACCTGGACGCGCGGCCTGCTGCAATGGCTGGTAGAAAGGCAAGCCGTTGATTGCGTTGGCGGGGGATGGATAGCGCTCTGTCTGCTGCGCCTGCTCACCGGACTCGGCCATGTGTGAGTGACTCCGAATGCGATCCAAGAGTTCTAGTCAGTATGATCGCGTTTCGCGCCTGCCAGCCTACCGTGTGTGGTTGCTGGTGTGGATTGTTCTGGCGTGACTTGCGACTCCGCCCTCTCTCTCTCACAGCCAAGCAATGTGGCTAGCGTGTCGAGAAGCATCTTTATCGATGGCTTCGAACGCGAGCTATTGCCTACTTTTGCTGGTGCTAGTACACTCGGCCAAAGTCCTTGACGTTGACAGGTGCTTCCAGGAGGAATCTATCTAATCGGAATCTCGACCTCGCGAAGTCATGCTGGATGATTATTCCGCCGATCCGTTTCATCCTATCTCCATCCATTTCCAGCGGCAGCGGAGGTCTGCCTCACACTTCAGTGCCATGTCGCTACTGCAGAAGGTCGGCATTGTAACTGAATGAATACACGTTCGTTGGGCAGACAGCCGTTGGAAGGATGTCCATTCTAGGCCAGCCTGCACGTTGCCTCACAGTCGTGTTACACGAATATCTAGGTCGCTGGCAAGGATATACACTGTGAAATCGTCTATACTCACGCCGCAACCTCTCTTCATCATTCCATCAGTCAACGGCACTCCTCTCGAAAAAGAGATAAACAGCCCAACTACTGCAATCTCGGCGGATACAACAACCTCCCCTCCATCCCCCCATCAACCTGCAAATTCACACCACTCAAATGTCCAGATAGTGTCTGACTCGCCATAACAGCAATCTGATTCGCAACATCCCTCGGTCTCCCAACTTTCTGCAACGGAGTCGTAGCCAAAGCCCTCTCAACAAACTTTTCGTCGTTCAAAACCTCCTCAACAAGCGGCGTAGCCACCCATCCAGGATTCACACTATTGACCCTGCCTTTGGGCGCAACATGTACGATTTCGTTCTTGAGCGTGGGAGTCAGCCCGTACATGAGTGCAGACTTGGAAGCAGCGTAATCGCCGTGGGCGGCTTCTCCGAATTTTCCAGCTGTGGAACCCACTGTCACATATCAGTATATCAGTAAAACATCCGAAGGAGGGATATGGGATGTTCACCGAAAATAATATTCGCTTTCTCCTTAACCTCCTCACCAGCACCTCTAAGCGCCCTCAAAAACTCCCTACACAACAAAAACGGCCCCGTCAAATCCACATCAATCGTATTCTTCCATTGCTTAAGATCCATATCCGCGACATGCCTGTTGGAAAAAAAAAATCAGCACACATCCAATCAAAACCACCACCTCACTCATATATCACTTAACGCACGCATCCTTCTCCGGCCAAACCCCATGATTCACAACCAAAACACTGACAGCTTGTCCAGAATTCTTCTCAGCAGCTTGGACAAAAAGTTTCTGAACGGCGTCCTCGTTTCGAACGTCTGCTTGCACTGCAGTAATCTTTCCGGAAAGATGGGCGAGGTCTCCGAGTTTGGAATTGTAGTGTGCTGTCACTCGTGCTCCGAGTTGGAGGAAGACTTTGGCTGTTTCGAGACCGATGCCGCCTGCCGCTCCACTGATATGGGTTATTAGCTGGTGGTTCTTATGATTGGTATTGGGAGGCGTGACGTACGTGATTAGGACGTGGACGTCATTGAGACCGAAATCTAGGGACATGATTGGGACGATGTTGTTGATGGTACTGCGAGTCGATTAGCTGTTATGTTGTAATTGATTCTGATTGTGATGATGGATAAATGGCATTGGAGTGTCTCCGCTTCGTTCTTCTCCAAAGGCGGGGCTGTTCCTGGCCGATTCAACTGTATTGGCCTGTACACAAGAGCTGTGCATGAAAACTCGGATCGTGGAACGTCGCCCTGTGAATATGTTCCTGCTTTGTTGTAGGGCGTGGAAACAGCATTTAACATGATGGAGATGTGGTTGCCAGTTCCCAGAATTTCATGTATTTGCAATTCTTAGCAGTATCGAGTAATGCCCCAGTCTCATACTCCCTATCCTGAGAACTGCGCGTGATTGCGTGCCCTGCGGAATGACAATCGTTGACCTGACTTTTCGTGCTCTCGAGCTGTGTACGTCCATCGTTATTGAGCCGAAGATTCCATCTGCTCCGCCCAAGACCCCCCAGAAGGCCCACGGGTATCTGGCAATGTCTTCGATTGATCTAGCTTCTCAACCTTCGATGCTGGCAGTGCGGGAAACTCTTCCGGTCGAGGGGCGTGCTGTTCCTGTAGTCGTCCTCCTCTCCCTCCTCTCCCACTACCTCTCCCTCTTCCACCACCCCTCGGCTCTTGGTAAAGATATTCCCTCCCATCGTCATAATCCTCACGATCTCCAGCAAAGCCACCCTTCTTATCAAATCTCCCTCCCTTCCCAAAGTCATCCTCGCGCTTTTCCGCGTCCCATTCACGACCCTCCATAGCCTTAAGTTTTCGTTGTCGATTCTTCTCCCTTTCACCCATCATCTGCTGTCGATCTCTTCTTTCCTCTTTCTTGCGTTGGTCAGCAATCTGCTTGGCTTGCTGTTCTCTCTCAGCGAACGACGCAGCATCAGCTTCTGCGCGCGCATGAGCGGCTGTGAGTGAGGCATTCTTTATCTGAATACGGGCCATCTTCTCTGCCAGTTCCTCTTCCGTCAGCTTGGGTTTTGGAAGTCCACCGGCTGCTGATCTGTCGCCGCGAACAGCTTGTGGTGTCTCCTTCCGTGGTCCAGAGGGTGCATTTTCAGGAGGAGCGCTTTGAGGTTGTGCCTGTTGTTGAGGACGCGCATTTCGTGACTTCTGAGGCTGTCTACCTTGACCCGTGGTCTCGATCCTTTCTGTGGTGTCTCTAGCTTCATTCACGTTCCTGCCTCGGCCACGACCCCTTCCACGACCTCTTGCTGAATCAGGAGCCGTCCGAGGTGGCTGCGCATGCGTAGGTTGTGTTTGTGGTACTACTACGGGCTGAGCGGCTGGAGTGAAGTCCTCGCTGAAAAGGTCGTCATCGCAACGTATTCGCATAGACTCTTCTGCCGGAATGACTTCGCTGAAGAGGTCATCTTCTTGTGGGCCAGTTTGGCTGAAATCTTCGACTGAGAAAGCATCGGGCGGCGCTTCTGTGGTCTCTGGCTTAAATGCAGAGGCTGCACCAGACAGATCAGATGCTGCGGACTGGGTGGTGTTAGACTGGCGATTGTTAGCAGTATTGCGGACTTGAATTGGAAGGTCTCGTGCCTGATCAGGCTCTTCAGGCGCCGTGGCCCATATCGAGTTGTTCATGCCGATGTATTATACTGTATGATTTTATGCAAGCCGCACTCATCCAATGCACAGAAGATTACCGTAGGCTCAATAGTGAGGAACTAGAAATGCAAGGAGAGGAGAAGTCCAATTTGAAGAGGCGGGTACGAGCTGGGATATGTAGTCAATGCTGAAGGACGGTCTGACAGCTGCTATCAGCAGCGTGCTGTACAACAATATCGCTATGGAGTATCCAAGCCGTGTACTCATTTCTCAGTGAACTCACAGAGTAGCCGGCTAGCTCTCATGTCAATGGGTTGTAGAGCACACTGAAACGCGAATCGGTCAAACTGTGGCGCAGCTATTGCTGTGGCGTTTGCTCTTGCTCGCTCTCGCTCTCGATGTTGCGTCACTGGCACGCACCAAGACCATAAGATCTTGTTCGTATGGTGTGTTCGCAACTTCTCCCACCATTCTCCTCCAAGAAACAATGCGAAATGTCGAAACAATCTTCCTCCACCTTCTCGACTTCCAGCTACAGCTACTCAAGCTCAAGCAGTAGCAGCACCTCGGAAGGGGTCACTACGGGTTCGCGCTCGGCGCAACATGTCTATACCGACTCTGAAGGCAACACAACTGTAAAGACGGCCAATCAAAATCTCGGAGAACCAGTGATCCAAGACACTCGTCACTTCGATTCCAGTGGACAAGAGAGAGTCGGTGCTTTGGGAAGTTCTGGTGCAACTACTAGTCGCAGGATCGAAGACGTCAGCGATGAGGATCAGGCCAGGAGAGATCGAGAGTACGAAGAGCGTATGGAGGATGAGTGAGTGTAGCCTGAGCCGGAATACAATTCTCCATGCTGACTTCGATCAGGTACGCCAAGCGTGAAGGTGGTGCGTGAGCAAAGCAGCAGAGGTTGCCAAGTCAGTGCGACCTTTGTAGATCGATGTGTGGTTTCTTTAGTGTGACAAGAGGATGTAATGCTGTACAGTAGCGCAGGATTGCAACACTAGCTAGCAACCTCGTTCTTGTCTTCGAAGTCCAACAGATATGGGTCCTTATAGTGCTTGACATAGGCAGGTCTGCTCAGACTGTTCCCAGCGACTGTGATATCCGTTTTGATGTCGTCAATCAGGCTCTGCATATCCACGTAGTCAAGCTCTGGGCGTATAAACCCAAGTATTGAGACGTTCATATGGCTACCATAAAAGTCCTTCTCGAAGTGATGCATGATATGCACTTCGACACTGCGCACAGTATTCTTGTAAAATGGATTCCATCCGATGGACATAACCATGGGGTATACGGCGCCCTTGTCAGCGCCCTTCTGGCTACCCTCATCCTTTCTATTTTGCTCCAATATCACAGCATTCAGCCTCTTGTACGTCTCTTCGGCCGCAAGATCGTATTTGGTATCGGTGCCGGGCGTGTGCTGAGATGTGACCTGAGAAGGCGAGAGGCCGGCCCAACCAAAGTAAACACCAGACTCTACATCTTCGTGTCCACCAACGGAAAGCCCGGAGAGAGGGATATTGGCAGTTGGTATACCGAGCTATTGGGAGCGCAACGTCAGCTTCAACATGCAGAATATGTGAAACAAAGGAGCGCGTGCTGCTGCGCGGCGGCAGTGTATTGGTATGACGGCGGCAAAGTGCAGATGACACGCTGACTGCTGCACCGAATACTCCCAGGATGACGGCCACACGGTGCTGGAAAAGCACCTGCGCATAGCCTGTGAGACCAACGTGACAAACACGCGCTGGCTTTCAGGTCCCAGCGGTAGGGTGCGGCATGACAGCGGCTGATAGCTCGAACATCAGCCAAACCTCCTGCGAACACCCTTGCGCTGGTCGACTGGCAGCAGTCGTATAGTGTTGTGATGTTGTGGTATGGAAGGATGCGCGGCGAAGCAGCAAGCACGTAACCTCGAAAGCCGGTACTCACATCTTTGCTGCCACGTCCAAATCCTTTGATTACTTTGCCGTCAAGCTTCAATGGAAATGGAGGTTCTGGTCCACTTGAAGGGCCAGCAACTGTTGGGCGAGGACCGTCTGGACGCATCGCGATTGTTGAGCTCGTAAGGGTGAGTGGTGTATCGTTCGTTGCATTGTTCAAAAAAAAAAAAGATTCATTACATCTTCGACAGTGGAAGAGAGGTGCACCCGACGGTCCCGACCTCGGCGCGCGAGCTTCACACTTATTTTATCACTCAGTCGCACGTGATAGACACACATTCGAGACACAAGTCTCTGTATTATTAAAGAGTTCTCTCATGTATTATTAAGGAGTTCTCTCGTGACAACGTATTATGTCTCTGGCTGACTCTAATCAAGACGCTCGCCATGCACTACGTATCGTGCAGCATGCAGTCGTCAATGCCGTTAAACCTTTCTAGACTCCGTAATCCAGGGTTACCGCCTTGTTGCAACCGTTCCAGACGGTAGTCGATATGCATATATAGTGGTCAACGACCCAACACCTTCGCAATATCAATCGCATGTACCACAAACACGCTCTCATATGACAGGGAGGAACTATCATGTGTCAGTCTCGTATAGTTCAGAAAGTGGCCGGGATTAGCAAACTTACATTCATGACAATCAGCATAGGAATGTCGAAGACATCGCGTTTCACGGTCCAGCACATTTGACATTCGACACGGCCATCGCGCTCTCCAAGCGCGTGCATGCCGGCCTCGCCTCTGATCAATGGCTCGGTCTTTTGCTCTCCATATTTTCTGGCGCGTTTGCCATCGTCAGCGACATGGTCGTTGGGTCCCCAGCCAGGGTCTTCCTTGGTGCGATACTTCAGTAGTGAACATGGAGCGTCCATAATCGAGGTCCGAGATGCGCCGAATGCCAGCACCGAAAAATCTTCGTAGAACTGGACCACGCTGTCCTCGTCCATGACCTCAGCCAAGAACACGGGTTGAGGCCGTCCTGGATCCGCCTCGATGTTCGTTATCCTGGGCGTCACCGCTCCTCTAGAGCTAGTGCCTGTCTGCGTACCAGGGGAGGATCCGCTAGTGTTGACGTTCAGGTTGGGTTCCTTTCCAAGCAGAACATCTCGTCTCCAACCGGTGACGAGACAGAACTCCTTGCTCACTGCTGCGATTTCGCCAGTCCTTCGGCATATGACGGTGGGAGTGCCGTAGTGGTTCACGAAAGTTTCGTATTCGCAAAGTGTTCGCTGGAAGCACTTCTCCATAAATATTAGATCGTCGCGGTTGAGGTGCTGATTGCATGAGATGAAAGAAGGCCGAATCATGCCCAAAGCTTTGGCAATGCGCAAGACCTTCTTCTGTGGGAATCGCTTCTGTAAGAGAGCCGTGAGTGCGTGAAATCCCTGGGTATATGAATATGGTTCTGTAACAGTTGTGTAGACCTCCGAAGTATTGCGCCGCCGTTTTCGATCCATTTCAATATGAGGGTCACCAGGAAAAGGCGGTTGCTTCCGCGAAAACTGTTGCGCCTGAGAAAGGCTCTGGCGTAGCAACTGGTCAGACTGATTGTTTTGATCTGGTTGGGCAAATTGTGTCTCTGGGGACTGGGTTGCGGATTGATAACCCGTGAAATCTTGATTTTGTGAATGTGGACTCGCACCTGTGAGCGACGAAGCTTGTTCGCCGATAGCATAAGCCTCTAGGCCATTGTTCTGGTTCCCCCAGATATTGGTCGCACTGCTTTGCCGCGAGCCTGCGTTTGGAACGTTCTGCCATGACGGAAAGCCTTGACTGTAGCCGCCGCCAAAGCCTGCATAGTGTGAGCCGTCATATGAAACGCTGCCCTGGTTTGAGTGGCCGCCCATCTGATTCATCGAGTCCATGTCAGGTGTGTTCACGGCGCCCGAAGAAATATGACCCAGCATGCCAAACTCAAGCGCACCATAGTGGTTGCCAAAGTTGAGGTCTGATATGTTGAAGTTGAATAGAGATGGGTCGTTGGCATCAAAATAGGCAGTGTCAAATGATTGAGCTGTGCCTATCGATGGAGTCTGGTCAAGATTGCTGTTGAGCTCCTGGTTTGGAGATACCTGCTGGCTCGGCGTTGATTGGTATTGTGTGGGCGTCTCAACGGTCGGGGCTGAGCTGAAGTCAGGTACCATACTGGTGCTTTCCATCATTGGCGGGCCCATCGAGCCCTGCTGTTGAGCGTGTGTATATTGTGGGAATGCACCAGCCGCGCTCGGTGGGAAGTATGCTCCAGACTGAGTGGCAGACAATCCATGGGGACTGATGTTGGCTGGTCCAGGTACAGCAGTCAGGCTTTGTGGGCCATTGATGGCATAGTTGTTGGCGGCGTAACCAGGAACAAGGGCTTCTGGGGGCGCATCATGAAGGTACTTGGCCTTCTTGCGCACTCCGTCATGGCATTGGTCCTGGAGGCCTCGCTTGATGCATCTCAGACACGGACGTTCATCACCTAGTAGTTATCAGCTGGATGCCCATATTGATCTACGCCTGGTTGGGGCTCGCTCGCCAATGTGGAGGACTTACCGCATGTGAGATGGGCTCGTTGGCAGGCGAAGCAGGCTCGCCTAGCTTTCTTTCGTCGAGGGCGCGAAGGGTCCTTTGCGTTGGTTTTGGCAGTCTGGCTGGAGTTGGCACTGCCATTACCTGCTTGGGCGTTGGGTGACTTCTCCTCGGTCGAGGCACGCTCTTGCTTAGTCTCTTCTGCCATGATGCCGGAGGGGTCTTGCTCGGTGCCAGGTTCTGGAGAAGGCGAGGCATCTTCGGCGTCGGCGTCGGGCGACATATTAACCCTCCCGCACTTGGACAGCCAGCACCAGCACGAGGGCCCCTAGGATGATGGCGTGGATACGCAGGTTGCGTTGCGCACAGGCCTCGTGCAAAGCTCGCGACCCACGTTGCTGCTGTGCTGTGCTGTGCGTATCCGTCCGTTGGTGTTGGCTCGAAAGGGCAGAACCGCCACGCTGGACAACGACGGATCACGCGTGCGCGAAGATTACACTGTCTGTGCTCGCTGCTTGTACCACGCTGCGCTGCACTGCGCTGCACTGCACTGCTGCAAATAACTTCAGTCTGCGATGGCGAGACAGCTCTTGCGCTGGCCGTCTTGCCAAACGTCGTGTCGCCCTGCTTCGAGACAGCCGGACTCACGCAGCAGCCTGCGCGCACTCCCAGCACACCCCCAAGACACTCGTTCGTGAGGCGCTCTCACAGCGCTCGCGAATGGCGGCCGCGCGGTGTCACGTCCGTTGCCAATAAGCAGCAAGCAGCGCACGCATGCGGCGGATCAGTCCGGCACGAGGGAATGGGACGCTGCTGCTGTGATCAGTCGCAAAGGCGTGTGCGATTGGCAGCGCAGCGCAGCGCAGCGCATCAGGCCCGAGGAAGCGTCTCGGTCTGGCGTCGTGTAACTTCGCTTCTATTCACGCAGCGCAGCGCAGCGCAGCGCGCAAAGGCACGGCGTGTGCGATTCCCAGCGCGAGGGACCTGACGGCCACGAGGCGATCAAGATCAGGTGCTGCGTACTGTCCTGCACCGTACGGCGCTGCCCTGCCCTGCCCTGCCCTGCACGGTATTATTGTCTGTGGCCTCAGGGCCTCACTGCTGTAGCACGCAGCGAGCTCGTATCTCGCTCTTGTCGCGGACTGAGACAATCGTGTCGGCCCGCCGTGGCCTGCGATGCGATGATGCGCGCGAGAATAATAATCTCTCTCGGAGGAGCAGTGACCGTGACTCGACTCGACTCGACCCGTCCTGATCGGCAGCAATATACTGCACGGCACGGCACTGCACTGTACCTGATCCCAGCGCATGCTCTCCGCGCAGCCTGCGACCGCCGCCGTCTACTGGTGCGAGCTCAGCCAAGGCCCAAAAGGTGGAGTAGTCAGCTTGGTCCGAGTTTCGCTGCAGGTCAGGTCAATCAAGCCTCAAGGTTCCCTCCCGCCGCCGCTCCACAGTCCACAGTCCACACTCCACACAACGGCATCTGCCATCGCCATCATATCACTCTCCCTGCGCGAGACTCGTCTCCTTCGAGCCGCCCGCAGACGTAAACTGTCCGCCCCCTTCTCGAGATTCGCAGCCGCCGCTGTCACCGCCTTTCTGGGGCCGAGCGCAGCGGTATAGTAGAAGCGCCTGCGCGCCGAGGCAAGGGCATCGGCATCGGCGCCGTGTGATCGTGAGTGGCAGACATCTGGCCATGCTCCTGTGTTGCTCCGCAGTGTCACGTGGCAGCTCTGACGCAGCGAGTCTGCCGCCAAGGCGCCGACCTGCGAGCACGACAGCATCGATCCCAATCTCCAACCTCTACCCTGTGTTCTACAATGTCGCCGCAAGATACGAGCCATGTGCTATCTACAGCCACGAGTCTTCTGCCTCTCTCTTCTGTGCTGGGACAACCGTGAATGCACTGCGGTGGAGCCTCTGGAATGCTGGCACGCTGAGATGCAGTACTACCACTCCTATCCGCTATTTGTAGTATCGACTATCGACCTACCATTGCCAACCATCTACGCTTTCCTGATCCGGCTACCGTGCCAGCGCAAAGCGCGATTCGCCCCTGTACTTCTTCCCACAGTAGAAAAATAGGACGGCTTCAAACGTCAGTATCAACGCTTTACCATGGCGCTGGAGAGTCGTCGACACTTACGGAACGGCGTCATCGCCAGGGCCAGGAACCTAGTTCGGCGATTAGCACACGTTCGTTTACCCGTCCCTCGAACATGCTCACCCAAGGAGCGTCGTCGCCCATTGGTACCCGAGTCCTGTTTGCAAATCAGTTGACCGCTCTTTTGACGAAACGCCTGGAATGGCAACTTGCCTTCAAACATTTGCACTCCGAATAATGGCCAGCCTATTGCAGCACGTCAGTCAGGCCCAGGCACACCCGTCTAGGCGCAGGATCTTCCGGGGCTGTGGAGCACGCCCTGGATCTTCTTCAAGCACCGACTGTTAAGTGGCACTCAATAATGAGCCCGAGCGCAGGAACAAGACAGCCTCCAGTCAATCCTGAGGCCGAACCGACCCAGCCTCCACAGCCCTTGCTCCCACATTAGTGACTTACCTGCGGCAAAACTCGACCTTGCGAATGAGTTGGCCGCCAAAGCAGATGCGGCGTAAAGAGGATAGCTGGCGTTTGTGAGCCAACAGCACACATAGAATTCGCCTCAGAAGTGGCTTGATGGGTGAACTTACGCCTCAACCAGGAACGTGAAAATGCCACTAAAGCAGCTACAGTAGTGATCCCCCATCATTAGCAAGCTTCTGGAAGAAGCCCTGCGAGAATCACTCAACCACTTACAAAATGTTGCCTAGCCCAAAGAAGATGGAAAAGACGATCGGCACTGTGCGTGTTCCTCAGCATATGCAAGAATCTTATCGATCGCGCGAAGGCGAGGACCCACCTATCCAATGGACGAAGGAAAATGTCCTGCATTGAAATCAGCACGGCCGCGTGGTCATACGAGGCGGAGAAGTGTACTCACGTCCAACCAAAGCCTTTCGAAAGCACGTGTTAGTCCTGGCATCTGTATGTTGTGACAAATGATGAACACCACGTGAACCTACCGAATAGGCTGACCGGAACAATCATGGCACCTCTGATGTTTGGAAACTGCATGTCAGCACATCGAACTCGTGTCCGGTAGTTTCAGTGAGTGAGCACACAGACATACAGAATTGTGGGAGGTAACCGAAACTCGGGCTCGCTGACACCGTCGTTGTTCTCCACGAGTCGAATGTAATTTTTCCGCCACAATGGATCGCAGGAGACACCTGCAAGCATCCCGATAAACAGCCCTGTCGTTGTCGTTAGTGCGTCGCAATAGGTAACTAATTCGGTTCGTTTTCAATACCAAGAAACGTCAATCCCGTCTGCCCTGATGGTGTGTGTATGTGTCAGCTGTCATCGTTCTCGCAATGAGGGTACGGTAACATCGAAGCACAGTCCATACATTCATCGAAACCATGATTGTTTTGGAACACGACCGCGAATGCCTGCATCATACGTATTAGCCGCCTGGCTCGTTCTCAATCAAAGCACGATGATGCAAACATACTCCAAAGAACCTGAAACGCGCGATCGCCGAAAAAATTAGCACGTGGTCATCCAAAACCCATTCCGCTGGGTGTCTTGAAGAACGAACAGATAGAGGATTCCTGTTTTCCAATTCTGGTACTCAGTCTACGAGCATGTCAACATTCATGCAGGGAAGTCCAGAACTTACCTAGTAGGATTGCGGATAGAAGACACAGATTTAGACACATCTGTTCGAAGAATAGTAATTGGAATGGACGGATGCAAGACCATAGGACGGTTCTAAGAACAGATCTGTTCAGGATTTCGATTGGAGCTTTCCACTGATTGTTGAGGTTTTTTTTTAGTGCTGGTCGTTGAGGAAGACGCATGAGCTGACGACTTACGCGCTGGTCTCCCGTTTCTTGACGGAGCTTGATGGCTTTTCGCCGGAGGAGGACTGGAGCATCTGGATGGTGGGAGTCGAGTGTTAGCACACCTCGCATTTCGATCTTGAGGGGCTGGACATGGACTTGCACGTCTCTGGAACAAAGACCACGAGTAGAAGCCATTGGACACCGGCCCATATGATTAGAACATACTACGCAAGAATCAGCCTACGATGTTACTTGTGGTAATGTACACGGGACGGGAACAGAAATATTCGCTGCTCATCTGGAACTATTCTTGCTGGTTCGCAGACACAAGCATCGAGAATCGCAATCGAAGCAGAGTGCACATCACTCCCATGCGAGCCATCCGTTTGAGGAAAATAATCGCAATATCGACTTCATCCGTGTTCCAGCTCTTCGGCCTCCGCATCTCGTCGTGAACGTAGTAACTTTGCTCAAGCAGTATGCCGGACATGACTTTAATGATCACCGACAGTGAATTGCTGCCCAGGTATGTATTGTTCATGCTACCACTCAAGCAACATTCGTTCCATCGATGCCAGAGGATCGATTCTCGACTCGTCTGGTACATCACTCGCTGGTGGCAACAAAACAGAAGAGGAGAGACAACTTACAAATGTCCATCGCCAATCAGCATACTGATTGATAAAGCCTGAACTCCCAGTCAGCAATCGCACAAGCATACAAACCTTCACCAAACCGAGTCTGTGACAGAAACCAGCATCTTCGCAAAGCCGTGAAGCCAACACTAACCTCCCATCACAGGACCTGCAACAACACCAACATCAGCTCATCAAACCACTTCCCAAATTCCCTTCCACACCTCAACCATTCACTCACCCAACTCCGGCCCCACAAACGGACTAGCCGTATAAACCATCATCGGCGCACTCAACCTCTCCTTGCCAAACAAATCCCCCACCGTTCCCCCGGCGACACTCAAAAACGCCGAACCCGCCAACCCATCCAAAAACCGAACAAAAAGCATACACGTAACATTATTCGCCACCGCGCACGGCACCAACCATACCAAGAACATCCCAAAAGCACAGATATACACGATCCTCCTCCCGTAGAATTCCGAGAGGGGGCTTAAAATCATGGGACCGAGACCGAGGCCGCAGACGAAGGTTGTGAGGCCGAGTGTGGCGACTTCGCGAGATATGTGGAAGTCGCGTTCGAGTTGTTTGTAAGTTGATGTGTAGGCGGCACTTGTGCAGGTGACGCAGAGGGATGATATGGAGATTATGATGACGATGAGCCATTTTCTGGGGGTTGGGAGGTTTTTTGGGTTGTAGGGGTCGTCTTCGCCTGAGAATGAGACTTCGTAGGCTTTGTCTGGTGGGTCGAGGTCTTTGCTATGGGTGCCTTGTTCGATTGGAGGTTCTGGGTCGATTTGATCGATTGTGTAGCCGTCTTGGAGGTGGTAGGAGCGTTGGGATGGAGCTGAGGAATGTGAGCGGGAGGGTTGGAGGGGAGGAGGGGAGAGGTGATTTTGGTGGTTGGGGGTTGAGCTTTGTTGGGTGTGTTGTCGTGTATTGCTTCGTAGATCTCGTTCGTCTTCGTCTTGGGATTCGGTGTCTTCTCCACGTTCATCTACTTCTTCTTTGCTCCTGCTTTCTTGGCTTGGAGATGTTTGCTGCTCTTGCTCCAATGCTTGTTTCTCTAAATCCATGTCGATTGGAATCTTTTCTGGAGCCATCGTGATTTTGTCCGAGAGCTCGCGCGCAGTTGTCGGCTATCGTGAGTGAATCGAGAGTTCAGAAAAATGCTGGCTATGCCATTCGACGCGCTGAAGGCGTTGTCGAGGCAATGGCGAACTGGTGACAAGAAACAATGACAAGGAGAATGAATTGATGGACGCGTCAAGATGTTCTTGATTGGATGGAAATGCAGAATAAGAGCTCTCCGACAACCTACCACACCTCCCATGAGTGCAAATTTGTTGATTGGACATGTGCGGCACCACTTGCGGTACGTCACAGAGTGGAAGAGTGGATGTGCGCTACCTTAGTCTGACTAGTGCGAATGATGTGCAGACATCCTCTTATCCCTTAGCCGCACGTACCGGTCGGCGCTGATGCTCGAGATTGGAGGTCATCAAACATGATATAGGGCGCGGGGCAGCGCGAACCCTCTCGACTGATTCGAAAGCGGATCTACGAAATCCGTAAACTCGGCCTCGCCCATTACAGTACAGCAACGCGAGTGTGGGCCAGTGTCAGATAGCCTCGGCCGATAGCGAACAAACACCAGGGGCATCCATACTGCTTCGCTTTGTCGGCCAAGTTGATAGGGTAAGCCAAGGACGCCAGTCTCCGGCAGCAAGTGCATGCGGCATTGTAGTCTATCACACCGCAAATATTGTTTACGTAATCGGCCTCCAAGTCGCGATGTAATAGTCTGTCAGCAGGCCCTTGATGACTGGGACTCAGTCTTTCCCTGTAAGCTTTATTAGAGACACGTCAGAGATGGCATGGATCTCTAAGAGCGCTTCTTGATGGAACGCGTCATGGTAACTACAAGGTAGGTGGTGAATTGGCCTGACATCGAGACACCACTTATGGCCATAACTTACGGCAGCACACTCTAGAGCAACTCTGTTTGACGCCAGTTGAGCGTGAAGATGCTTTTCTTGGGCTCATCCGCTCCACGCGTCTTGGTAGGACTGCCATGGTCTGCTCACGAGATATGTGCCTGGAGACCTCGATTGCCCACAGCCATGGCTCGTTGCAGCTCGCGCTCTTCCTCGCGGAGATTCCGCTTCGCTCGAGCTTCATCTTTTTGACTTTGTTGTCGCTCCTCTTCGACTTTACGCTCCCGCTCTGCCATGGCTTTTTCGCGACGTTTTCGCTCCTCGCGCTTCTTTTCATCTTCCGCTCGCTGCTCGTCACTCCTGTCACAATCATCAGGCGCAGGAGGCAGCTTCTTGATGAACAATTCGATGACGGAGTCTCGGACAACCGGCGGAAGACTTATAAAGTGAAGATGAGAGAGCAGTTGCTGCGGCAAGGAGTCAAGCCTTGTGTCCCGGTTCAAGGCCTTCAAAGGCAAGCTCTTCAAAAGCACTTGCAGATCCGCTTTGCGTGTGCTTTCGGGTAGCTTTAGTCTACTGATGTGGTCGCGATAAAGCTTTTCTCGATCTTTGTCGCTGAGCTTGCGGTCGTTCATTTCTCCTTCGCGCTTGTACTTGCGTTTGAACTCTGGCCAGTATAGCTTCGGGGTCGCCTTTGCCTGTAGGAACGCCAAGTAGGGAATTTTAGGATCAAGCTTCTCCATAGCTGCCCTTTCAGCCTTGAGCTCCGCTGCCCGGTCTCTGGCCCACGCATCGAAGACTTCTCGTCGTGCTTTCATATTTGGCAATACTGTATATCGATCATCGTTTAGGATGCTGGTATCCGACTCGTCCGCAATGATCTTCTCCCAAGGAGTGAAAGGGCTGATCTGGTAGTCGTATAGCAAGTCTCGGAATAGGTTGACAGCATCCTCACCACTCAAGTCGAGGCCTTCTGCGCCTTCTTCCCAACCAGCTTCAGGTTCTTCGCCATACTCGCCTGGATCAAGTCCGTACTCTTGACCCATCTGTGCCAATTGCCACTCAATGTCGTCTTCGCCAAATTCAACTGGAGCGTCTTCTTGTGCCTCGTCGCCTTGTTCTGGCTGCGATCCTTTTTCTGTAGATTGCTGTGCCTCGTCATCGTCGCCTTCTTCGCCTTCGGAGTCGGTCACCTCAACAACCTCATACTCGCTGTCACTTTCCAAATCATGACCCTGAGGCTGTAGTGGCTGAACAGCTTTGACCGCAGATTTTGCATCCTCTTCCTCGGCATGCTCGGCTTGTGCTGCCAGCTCGGCCATCATAGCTTCTTCATCTTCACGCTGAAGGCTTTCGCTCCTTCTCCTGCGACTCCTTCCCTCTTGATTTGCAGCATCGTTCACCTCGACTGCCTTGCTCTGCTTTCGCATCTGCGTGAGCTGCTCCTCTGCCCACTTGGCATTGTCGCTCTTTTCTTTTTGCTCCTTCTCCCACCTCTCAAAGTCTCGTACAGCAGGCCAGACATCATCCGGAATGCGCCAGAAGCTCTCTCTCGTCTGCATATTGTGTACAAAGCGCCTACGAAATTTTGTCTTCACTAATATCCATGGTTCATGGCCAGGTAGAACATGCTTAGACTTTGGCTTGTCTTTCTCATTGCGTGGATCATATGGCCGCCGTCGCTGCTGCTGAGAGTGCGCTTTGGGCCCTCGAGGCGGCCGGAAGGGTGTGTATTGGTCCTCTGTGCTGCCATTTGCGGCTTGCCAAGTCTCATCTGCCTCGTCGTCGCCGCCCAGAGGCACAAAATCGTCGTTGGCAGCAAGGGTCGGCGACGATGTCCGCTGTCGCTTCTGCGGCGACTCCATTGCTGGAGGCGACAGTGGCAATCGTCAGTGTCGTGAATGTGTTGTGGAGGCTGGAAATGTTGGAGCTCGGGAAAGCTGCGGGCGATTCCACGACGATGTCAGTGCGCGACGCGCTTGCCTCGTTTGCCTGGAGAGCTTCAAGTCCAAGCATGTGAACATCGACCAAGAAACATCTGCACCATCGACAAACCTCCCGCGCACCTACTCACTCAACGTCAACTTTGGAACAAAATAGCACAAAGTCACCAAGTGCGAGAAGACTGCACAGAACACCGCAATCATGTCAAGACGCTACGACAGGTATGCGCTGCCTCAATCCACAACCATACTTTATCTAACCACATTTCTTTAGTCGCACGACCATCTTCTCGCCTGAAGGCCGCCTCTATCAAGTCGAATACGCCCTTGAAGCCATCTCACATGCCGGTACAGCGCTCGGAATCCTCGCCACAGATGGAATCGTCCTCGCAGCAGAGCGCAAAGTCACCAGCAAGCTCCTGGAGCAAGATACAAGCGCCGAGAAGCTGTACATCTTGAACGAGTGTGTACCCTCAATCCTTACATCTGGTTACGCTATGCTGACTGTCTTTCTAGCAACATGATCTGCGCCGTTGCAGGCATGACCGCAGACGCCAACATCCTCATCAACTACGCCCGACAAGCCGCCCAGCGATACCTCCTCACATATAACGCCGACATCCCATGCGAACAGCTCGTACGGCGGCTGTGCGATTTGAAGCAAGGATACACACAGCACGGTGGTCTGCGACCTTTCGGAGTGTCCTTCATCTACGCAGGATGGGACAACCAGCGGCAGTTCCAGCTGTACCAGTCGAATCCATCAGGCAACTACACTGGCTGGAAGGCCACCAGCGTCGGCGCAAACAACGCAAGCGCTCAGTCATTACTCAAGCAGGACTACAATGAGGAATGCACCCTCAAGCAGGCATGCGAGTTGGCTGTGAAGGTGTTGAGCAAGACGATGGACAGCACGAAGCTGTCGAGTGAGAAGATTGAGTTTGCCACAGTCGGCCGGACAGAGAAGGGCACCATCTATCACAAACTCTGGGCAGCTGAGGAGATTGACGCGCTGCTTAAGGAGCATGGTCTTGGCAAGGCCAGTGAGGAGGAGCCAGCTGCATAGACGTTGGAAGACGGTAATGAGAAATATGTACAATATCAGGCATGAGCAAGGCGTACGGCAGTATCGCATGGCCCGCGATGCTTGAGACTACTGACCATCAAGGCTACTACTAAGGCCAACGGTGAGCATGTGAAAACGTGTGGTTCATTTGAATTGACTCACCATCTCACTTCCTCACTTTGGAGGCGCGTCTAACAAATGAAGTGCATGCGAACTGCTGCTGCTACGACGTTATTTGTTTACTTTTCATCAACAACCAACTGAACATGACTACAGTCACATATCACTGACGCGCAGCACTAACACCAACACTGCTCACCATGTCGCGCGTCATCAGAGCCAAAGGCTGTTCAGCCAAAGACCTCGACCTACACTCCAAAGAAGCGCTCCGCTGGCCAACCTTCCAATTCGAGCCCCTTCAAAACGTCCAAGTCCCCATCGCCATCTTCCGCTCCTCAAACCCCTTAGGCCTCTGTCTAGCAATCAAAGAATGGCTCTTCCAATCTTTCGACAGTCGCCTTTACGGCCACCCAGACATGCTGCGGATGGAAAGCCAGGAGCTAGACACTCTCCAACTCAAAACAGAAGGTAAGTTAGTTCTCCTCGAAGGCGCAACAACCCTCGACAGCAACGGCGGCAGCGGGCGAAAAGACAGTGGAGTCGGAATATCAGCATCAGCAGCAGGGGCACAAATCGGAATTCTAGGAGTCTTCATGCCAGGAGACTCGAAAGTGAGATGGTATTATTCCGCAGGTAAGTCTTTTCCACGTCCCTCAAAACCACACCCTCTTCTTGTTACAACACCCACTAACAAAACCCCGCCCCCTTCTCATCATGACCACAGTCCCATACAAATACCTCCTCCTGCACCTAACCTCAAAAAACCTCCTAACTCTCACCAAAATCTTGGAACCGGGAACAACTCACCATTCCCGCCTCTACACATTCCTCCAAACTTCTTTCTCCCAAGCAACCCACATCCCCGAAGCCCCAGATTACCTCAACGCCATCTCAATCACAGACTACGCCCCGGAAATCCAAAACCCGGAAACGGCCCTGGACCGTTTGCTGCGAATGGAGAGCGTGCAATCTGGGAAAGAGTACCGCGATGGGAGTGAGGATCGATATCTTCTGGACTTGGAAGAAGCTGGGGAACGAGAAATAGCTGCGGTCGTAAGTATAATAATCCACCCCATCCATCCATCCATCCCTTAAGACTCCTCTAACCTCTAATCTTCTAGCTCGGACTCCACTGCGCCGAATACCTCTTGATCAAACGAACATTTTTCAAGGAATTCTATACAGAAGTGTATCGATCGGCCGAGACGAAGAGGGGAGGGAGAGTTAGGACTGATCATGCGCATCATCAGTGGTTGGAAGAGGTTTATGGGTGGAAGAGTACGAAGTCGAGGAGGTTGGTGGCTGCTTGGAAGGAATTGGGGATGTTGGATGAGGAGAGGTTTGGGCCGTGGATTAAGGCGGGTGGGATGTTGGGGCAAACGATGAAGAGGGAGATGGAGGGTGAGGATTGAAATATCAATCGTGAGAAGATGAGGAGGTAGTGGTTGATTCTCGAATGGGCTGATCGAATGTGGAGCCTGGAATCAAAGCACTCAATACAATCACGGAATATTCGAGTTGAATGTTCATATTCAAGCAGGGGGAAGCAGGGATTGATACTATAGTCTGGAGTGCCTACGTCTATAGTAACTATCGTCGACCTTTCCCCAGGTAAACATGACGATTCATAAGAATTCAAGATCTTGAAACTCAATCATGAATATTCTGAACATGAATATGCAATCCAAGAATCAAGCTCTATGTATGCGAAGGAAGCTCGAGGGCATCGCAGCTGCAATTTTGTCCCCTCAGATGCGTATCTCGTAATTCAAATCCTGCTCATATCCAACACTCAATTGAGGAACCTGCTGATATCGTCCTCTCAATATCTGCCGAGTGTTTTGCAAGACTTGGACGTAACTCTGCCTTGGGCCGAATTGCTTCATGCATTCGAGAAAAGCCCAGGACATTGCTCCCACGTGACTACCAGCGATCGACGCATCCGCTGATGTCTGATCGTCTCGGCATCCAGAGTACATCCAGATTTGTTTTTGTTGTTCATCGGCGTATTCTTGTGCGAAGTCTTGCGTTCCGAGACCGTATTGGTCAGTCTCCTCGTGCCGGTGGGTAAGGCCTCGGAAGAAAGAAGTTGCTCCGGCGAAGAGTTGTTGTGCTTCCCCGATATTGTCGAATGTGAAGCCTCCTTGGATTAGATGAGACGCAGCGCCGACGAGACGCATGCCTATAATCAATCAGAAGAGCTCGATCGTGAGTCAGAAGCCCTGGGCAGTGACATATTTACCTGCTTGGACGTTGTCCAGCATTGACACGTTGCCTTCCTCGTCGCTTCGATAGATATAAGGAAGCTCGATTGCAGAACCACTGTGACAGCAGTCGAAGATGACGAATAGAGTACTGTTGGGCGGCAAGCAGGTCACAAGCGTCTTATGCAATATGCCACTTGGAATCTGTCCATTTCTCTCAAAGTCGTAAGGCACCTGTGCATAGGTTAGAAAAGAAGTTGGTGAGTGGTGGAGGAAGAGTTACGATGGTGTCGTCAAATCCACTGGTTCTATAACCGCCTGTGTCTTCGACTTGGCCTCCGTGCCCGCTGTAATGTCTGTGGGAATGTGCCATTAGCATGGATATTGCATGAAGAATTGCATGTTGAGAGTGAAGCGGAGGAGTGATACAAAAAGTTGACTGTTCCTGGATCTCGAACAAGCCATTGCATAGCGGCAAGCATGTTATGGCCATTTGGCCACATGGGCTGTTCACAGAATCAGTCATGCGTTATGTGTGTGTGAAAGAGGCAGAGACCAACTCCACTTGGATCTGTATGTTGGTCGTCTGAAAAAAAGAAGTCAGTGTAAGCACTTGAGAGCGTGTGGGCCTGAAAATTGCTTCAACACCTACCTCGTAGTATTACTTGCGAACTGCGATCTGTTGGATAGTCCATTGCCGCGAGGAATTCTCGCATGTTCTCGACGTCTTGGTGGCAGCCCTGAAGCTCATGGTCGCTGCCGACATAGTTGATGCCTATGAGTAGGGACTTCTTTCGCGGTCTTCCGCCACCTTGGCGGTACATGGTCAAGATGTGGTAAGGAGAGCTTGGTCGAGGTAGACGTTGATGGGTCGCGCGAAGAGATTCGATTCGGTCTTCGGCAATTGATCAAGTAGTTGAGGAAAACGCTGAGCGTGATATCGAGGAGGGTTTCTGTATGTCCTCAATGCTATGGAGGCTGTTTCTTGGCTGTTGATATGTGCCTGAAGATCAGCTCCAGCGACCCGGTAGCGCGCACACGCAATCGCGGCTCTGCGGGATCGGTGCTGATGTATCATGTACTGATGTACTAATGTACTAATGTACTGATGTCACTGAAGAGAGCACGTGGACTGGCGTACTGAGCGTGTACAATAGTACCGTACACTACACAATGGAGATGAGTGGTATGGCAATCGCGGTAAGCGTGGACAAGGTCTCATAGCGGCTGGGAAGGAGAGGTGCTCGTGAGGATGACTTAGGCAGGCGCCAGTCGGTAGCAGATTAAGCAGGGCAATCATAGTTCTTAGCTATAAGAGTAGTAGTATGGAGCAGTCATGATGTTACATGTTCGCTTCTTCCTTGTAGGCCAGCCATCGTTGTCCAGGGCCACATGGCTGAGCGATGGCCCAAGGCGTGGTTGGAAGCCATGCAGCTATCGAAATAGTGCACGGTGGCCAGGCGATGTGCCCAGTGAGGAATATTGTAACTATGCATGACTAGTGTTGTGCCTCCCATTCCACACACAATGTCCATAAGCTTACAACCACGGTAATCACCGTAGAGCTAATATAGGCCTGTTATGTCTACCTATTATTATGCTTATATAATATCTGAGTGATGGCTTAGCTCTATAACAAGGGGTTGGCTTTTATAAGGTCGGCCTCTAGTAAGGCGCCTTTAGTAAGGCGCCTTTAGTAAGGCGCCTTTAGCAAGGCTAGCAAGGCGCCTTTAGCAAGGCCTCGTATGCTAACATATAGAAGAATAGACAACTATCGATTATAGAGTTTAACTGCTATATAGAAAGTATATAAAGAGACCTTATTACTACTAAATTTATATAGTATCCTACTTATTCGATCTACCTCTTTTATTAACTAAGAACTAGCTAATCTTCTACCTCTTATCGCTATATCTTAAGACACTTCTAGCGGCTCTTAGCCTACAATCTTCGGTACTAGTACCTCTTCTCGAGTCGGCGGTAATAAGTAGAAGCGTATAAAAGACGAGTATTAGTAGTAAGTCGATCGTAACCGCTCGAGTAGTAAGAACTATCTATATATAACTTACTACTATTATAGCGATAGCTAGACCTCGAATAAGCGCTCTCGAGTGTTTAACTACCTTACGAAGTGTCTATTATTGCCGGAGTGTCTCTAGACGAAGTATTAGTCGTACCGAGTAGTTAATATCGACGTTAAGTTACTAGAAGGTCTTAGGTAATCAGATTAGTAAGGAGGCTTCTAGTACTAGTACTAAGGTTAGTTAAACTATCCTTCTTAGAAAGCACGGCTTTATCGACACTATAACTCTAAAGTAGTATAAGGAAGCTAGTAAGCGTATTGCTAAGTAGATATTCGCTACTAGATTGCTACTATATACGACTAAACACCCTACCTTTAAAGTATAGCTAAAATTACTACGTCTAGCCTTCTCGCTACCTAGTCGTAAGGTTCTAACCTAATACTAGCTTCTAAGGATATATAAGGACCTTCGAGGCGAGATAGACCGTAATATTGCTAAAAGCAATCGGATTACGCTTATAACGGATAGTTAGAGTAATCGGAAGGGTAGAGGCTATATTAACTACCTAGCGGTTATACCTCGAGTAGTATACTTCCTTAGCAGTTAGGCTACTAGCGCGACTCGTAGGTCCGCTATACTAGGCATATAGTTATAGTACGAAGGTATCGTAACGGTTGTGCGGTACAAAAGTTAATACATTCTCTAAGGTACCGCAAGGCAAGCTATCTATATAATAGTCCTACTATTAGTAGTAATAGCGACTATAGCGGTCGATAGTAACCGCTGCCTACTATCGTATATATAATAGTATTATATCGTAACAGCCTCCCTCCCTATAAAAAAGGTCGGCACTGTCTATAGTATCCTAAAACAAAGGTCCTTAGTAGGCCGCACCGTAGGAAGGTTTAAGGCAAAAGAGCGTAATAGCGTCGTATAAAGGCTAAGCCTAAATAGTATACTAGAACGGTAATACTAGGTATAGAATCGTGTCTCTCTAGTAATAACTGCGTCGGTTTTATACCTGCTTGTTACGACGGTTACGAAGGGCGTCGCGTAAGCTAGTCGGTATAGTCTAAACCGCCTTTAGCTACAGCTAAGGCGCGACGGTCTTTATAGTCTTATTATCGGACAGCGAGGTATTAACTACGTCCGCTATAGCAGTAGCGCGGTCTAACTAATCGATAGGGATATTAGGGAAGTCGGCACCTAGTAATAGTAGCGTATCGGCGTCGCGTATAGTACTATATAGCTTAAAGTAGTCGGCTATCTATACGTTAAGCTTCGCGATCTTATCCTTAGTAGTATTGCCTTATACGCCGCCGAGTAGCTTAAAAGCGTCCTCGTAGATTAGGTATAGTATAGGGATTACCTATTATAGCGCGACGCGTAAGAAATCGTAGTAAAGATAGGTTAGCGATAGCGTAAGCGACTCCTTTAAGACTATAGCAGAAAGACGATACTACTAGGCTATCTAGCGCTTAGTTGCTTCGCGGATCTGTACCTTAGCTAGCATCTATTAAAGCTAGTATACCTCGGCTGCTACTAACTCGGACTAGCGCATATAGTAGAGAGCTTGTAAGTTAAGCGTACGTATACTAATTGCCGTTATATTATATTAGTATTGTCCGTAGGTACCTATAGTATTCTCTTATAGGGCGGGCAAAGGTAGTAAGCGTATTAGAAGCGATAGGAGCTTATACTATAGCTACGTAACCGTATTGTTAGGCGGTAGTAGCTATACCGCAACTAGAGCCTTCGTAGGCGTAGAGAATAGGTTAGACGGTAGTAGCATCTTCGACGGTAGGCGAGGCGCTAAGAACGGGCTAGCGGTTAGCTTCTAGCGAGTATTTAACTTAGTCGATAGTAATACGCGCAAGGAATTTAGCTAGATCGCCTTAGTTAGCGGGGTAACGGCTAGAGGTTGCGGCTTAGCCCGAGTCGCGAGTTTAGAAGGGATAATTTTGCTAAAAAGGCGCGTATTAGTAAGGTCGGTCTCGTCTAGCAAGTAGTTAGGTAACGGCACTAGGAATGCGCCTATAGAATCCTAAGTATAGTCGATATTATACTACTAGTAATTCTTATTCGTTACTATCTTATTATACTTAAAAATAGTATTACCCTATATAATACGCTCCTAGACGCCTAAAGGATCGAAGACTAGATCGGTAGCGGCCGTCTACGGCAAATTATAGAACTATAGCGTTAGCGCGGGCTGCAATCTATTAGGGATAGCGCTGTCCTTAAGCGTCTAGATATAGGCGATAAAGGTAGATAAGGCGTATACCGGATCGATCTACGTTAGCTAGCAGACTAGGCTAAAGTCTACTAGGTACTAATAGTTAAGGAGCAGTAGAGGTATACCTTTGCCCTTGTTAGCGATATAGGTACCGTTCTAGTAGCGACCGCTACTTATAAGCTAAGCGTACTATTTTATACGCGACGCATTAGTAGCCTTCGTATCCGTAAGCGCCTTATTAGTATAGAGAGCGGATATATAGCCCTCGCCGCGAAGCGTATAGGCGTTACAGACTGTAATATACCGCTAGGTATAAGCGACGACGTCCTAGGTAATAGCTAGGCGACCTAGGTTGCGACGGTATAGGTAGGGCAGACTACTAGAGTTTAGGAAGGACTTATACTACTTATAGAGCTATATAGCCGACTAGGCACTAAGCTCTATACCGATTAGTAGCAGCTAAACGGTATAGTCCTTAAGCTAGGAGTCTAGTAGAGGCAGGCGCACTATTAAGAGTCGTCCGGTAGCTACTATCTATAAGAATTAGACTTCGCCGTAAGTAGTTAGGTCGATCTTATAATACTTAGTCGCTTCGACGTATTTACTAATAGATCGCTCGCCCGTCTTTTAGTATTCCTTACCGTAATCGCGGTAGGAGACATCCTTACCGTTCTCGCTACGCTTATATAGGACTAGGTAACCGCCTACTATAATACTATTGCGATATTCTTTTAGGACGAAGCGGTAGAACTACTCTTATACGAGGTCGACCGTCTATAGGAAGTATAAGATAGCGCGTACTATAAGACCGACAGCTCTATTACGGATTAGAGATAGTACTAGCTAGAATCGTAAGTCGCCGGTATAGGTACTTAAGCCGAGGAAGTTCTCGCGTAAGTAGGTAATATTTACTAGGAGTCGGTGCTATAACTTCGCGTAGTAGAAAGTAATAGTTAGTAGAAAATTCGTATCGAGGTTAGCTAGGTTAGGAAGCTCCTTTAATTCGCCCGCCGTTATAAGCGCTACGTACTTGCTAAAGCGTATCGCGTAAATCTCCTACTACGTATCGTAACCGTCCGAGTAGAGGTCGGTCCTAAAGATAGAGTATTTACGAGCGAGATCGTTGTTTACGATTTAGAAGGAGTATAGTTACGTAAAGAGTAGGTTTTTAAAATCGGTAACTAGCTTGCCTATATACTAATACAATTCGCGTAGAATCTAGAAGCGCCGATCGCTAGCTATAAGGTATAGATAATATAGGTAATACTAAAGCCTTACTAAATAGTGTTCGACTATTCGCTTATATAGGCATAGGCGAAAGAGATTAGGCAGCCGACCGTTAGCGTCCTTAGCGTACGCGTTATATACGAGCTTCGCGGCCTAGATAAAGCGTACGTCTCTATTCTTATTACGCTCTATAGGATTAGCGGCGATTAGCGTATCGACTTTCTTATTATAGTCCTTATACTCTACGTACTACTAGATTGTAGCTTGTTCGGGCGTCTCGTTAGCGCGAAGGAGATACTTATTAATTAAAGTCTAGCGCGCCCGCTAGCCTCGAAGCCGCTACCGCTCGAACTTAAGTTCTTTAGGGGATAGGACCGGAGGTTCCTTAAAAACCGACTCGATCGGAGTAGCTAGGAGCTTAGGAGGAGCTAGTACGGGCGCTTATAGCGAGCTGTTACTCGGCGCCTACGTTAGGGAGGCAGGTACCTATAGTAGCGGTAAATTAGGAAGTATACGCGCTAGCGGAGATAGTAATTCTAGTAAAGCCGGTCGATTTGCGGGTATTATTAATAGTAGTGCCGATTCTAAAGCCGAAGGCGCGTTAAGAGGCTACGCGCTAACGGGATTAATTAGGCCGCTTTCCGCACTGTTAACTAGGCTACTAGACGCGTAGGCAGCGGCGTCTCGGTAAAGGGGTCAAGAAGCCCGGCACAATATCCTATAGCTTCTCGGCCTCTAGAATCTCGACCTATAACGCTTTGCCCTTCTAAACAAACTCCTATTTACCTAAATAGTATAGTAGAGAGTCGTCCTTATCGATAAAGTAGTCGGCTATAGCCTTATAGAGCGCTCGGCCTATCTATCGGCCCTCGCCTAGCAATGCCTTCGCTAGCTCTATTAACTATTTCTTCTTCGTAGTAAGCGCCGTAACCGCCTATATAAACGACTTCCTATCGAAAACGTAATCTAGATTAACCGCCGCGATAACCGCCGGTACGCAATATTTTAGAAAGGAGAACTGTCTAATATTAGAGAGCGGATAGTCTAGATTCGGAAGTACTATCGATAGGCTAGCAATAGTCTAACGCTATATAGTACTAAACTCGCTACCTAGCGTCCTCTACGATTGTAGGCGAGCTATTACCTCGAGTAATTCTAAATCGGATTTGTTTATATTATTAGCCGAGGGCAATAGTGCTAAGCTCGCTATTAGTATATCGTTAATGCGACTACGGCCTAAGAACAACGGTACGTATTGCTATAATAGTTATCGACTAGAGTCCGTTAATACGTAGTATAGTTCTATATCTAATCTGTCCTCGGTAAATATTAGGAAAGGCTATATATATCTATTCTTAGTAGCGTAGCTTAATACCGCCTAAACCTCGCTAGTACTTAAACTACCGTCGGTAGAAATAAGCGATAGCGCCTTACGAAAGGTCTATCGAAGATTGCCTTCCGCTATAGCGAGGATCGTAAAGCCCTTTAGCGTCTACGCTAGGTTAGTACCGTATTCCTCTAAACGCGTTTATTGTAGGTTAAGCGTAGCGTTATCTATCTCTCTACGATGCTCGCCGATCTAATCTGCTATTACGTCTTCTCTACCTACCGAATCCTTTACCGGGCTCTCTAAATTCTCTAGCTTAGGCGTAGCTGTACGTTCCTCGACTATAGTATTAAACGTTATATCCTTCTCGTTCGTTATATATTCTAGCTTAGACGCGAGCGTAGGAGCCTCGATCGAAGGGTCCTAGAGTATATCCTCTCTACTCGTTACGTCCTTAGGCTCCGACGTAGCTATACGATTCTCGACTATTTCGTCTAATACCGTATTTTCTTTATCCGTTATATTATCTGCCTCTAGCGCGGCTATACGACTTTCGACCGTAGTATCTAATACTATAACCTCCTTGTCCGTTATATCCTCTAGCTTAGGCGCGGCCGTATACCTCTCGACCGTAGTATCTAATACTATATCCTTATTACTTGCCCTACTCTTTAGCTTAGGTATAGGCGTTAAGCCGGTAACAAATAAGGACTGTCCGGCCGATCCTAGACCGTCTAATAGTAGCGGTTCTCCGCGAGGAGCGTTAACCTTACTATTCCCTATCGCGGTGTCTTAGGGTTCTCGATCCTCGCTTCTACGGTATTCCTTAGCTATCGCTTCTTAGAGGAGGTCGAACGTATTAGCCTTACGGTATAGGTAAGACGCGTGCTATAAATCCGCCTCGAATAATATAACATTTAGGCGCTTATATCGCGATCGGTACTATAGAAATTTTTTCTATAAAGCTACTAGTTTACGTTCCTTGCGACGGACGCAGTTATCGCGCTTAAGGGCCGTATCTATTCGTCGTCGGTAATTAATAGAAAGCTCTCTTATTATCCGGAAAGATCGATACTAAATAAGGGATAGCCCGCGCCTACGTATAACAATTGCCTAAGTAACGTAGTTACGATAACGATATAAGGGCACGCCTAGGCAGATTACGACTCCGAAGGAGGAGTCGCGCTATAGAGTTATATCGATTTGCGACGAACCGCGAGGGATTATCCGGCCTCGCCTTTATCGGCGGAGCTAGCAACCTCTAAAAAAGGCTAGCGAGCTCTCGTCCGCTTTACTACCCTACGGAGGGTACGGGATAGCGGTACCTCCTTTAGAGGGTATACGTTATCGTAGATTTTGCGTAGATCGTCTACGCTTATTAAGTCGTCGATATTATACTATATATTATAGGCGCTCCTATACCCTTTCTACTTTACTAGGTATTAGAGAATAGGCTAGCCTCTTTAGACGACGGTCCGTCGCCTAAGAAAGCGCTTAATTTCGTAAGAATCGCCCTTATCGCTAGAACCTAGACCATCCTTAGCTACGATAGGCGGAGGCTCGTAATTAATAGTTCTCTTAAAAGGATCTAGGTCTTTAGGTGCTTTTTCTAACTGCGAAACCGATATTACCGGATAGATACGCATTAATAGGGGCAACTTAAGATAGTAGGCTAGTCGTCCGACCTTTTCGAGAACTATAAAAGGCCCTTTAAAATAGTAGCTAAACTTGTACGACTAACCTAGTACTTCGTAACTATAGTATAGGCGAAGTATAATATAGTTACCTAGCTTAAGGAATAGGGGCTTATACTTGCTATTATACCGTTCTTTTATTTTTATATTCGCCTAAGCAATCGCGTCCTAGACTTCCTTCTAGATACAGCTACGCGCTACCGCCCTATTATACGGATAGTCGTATAGTATATCGAGCGAGTCGAGGTTCGTCCTTACGCCCGTAGTAACCTCGTTTAGCGACTAACCGGTAGTCGTATTGCGAGAGTTGTTAAGCGTAGCCTATAGCTATAGGATAAACGTCGTCTAATCCTCGCTAGAATAATCCGCTAACTAGTAACGGATTGCCGTTTCGACCGTTTAGTTAGTTCGCTTAGATTAACTATCGGTTTAAGGGTAGTAGGCTATAGACGTAGCTAGCTTCGTACGTAGGCGCGAGAAAACGCCCTTAAAGAAGTCGCTTAGCTAGCGAGGATTACGATTAGCGATAAGCACTACTAGTATACTTATATCTATTAAGCAAAGCCTATCGATTAGAGCGATGCCCTAGTCGTAGGCCTTCTAGTCCTCTTTGCCTAGGACGACTACTACCCGCTTAGACGTCTTATAAGTAATTGTATATAGTATATTAAATCTATCGGTCGTAACCGGTAGGGCGGTTACGAGATCTATCGTTATAGTATAGTATAGGCCCTCTGCATTCTAGATCGGGTAAAGTTCGCTATAAGGAGCGTATCGGGAGGTACGTAAAAGGAGATACTAGTAATAATAATCTAAATAAAGGCGAAGGTAGCGAGCGAGTCGATATATAAAGAAGGAAGCTTAAATGCGGTCGAAGACGCGCTAAAAGCCCTAGTAGTAACGGTTATCGTAAGCCTACTCGAAGATCTCGCCTATTAAGGCTCGAGGGATATAGAGTCGCTTGCGCCCTAAAGATTAGTTATAGAAATATAAGAGGCCGTCCCTCTCGAAGAATCGAATACCTAGCGGACTATTAAACTTATTACCTACGAATAGGTCCGGATTTTTGCTACCCTTATACCGAACTAGCGTTTTTGTTACTAAAGGCATATTAGCTCCCTCCGAATAGAGATACTCTAAAGCATTCTACGCCTACGTTTATCGAACTAGTCGTAAAACCCTAGACTAATGTTCGTTGTTATCGTACGCTCGGTTTAACCGACGTCGGAAATCCGGATCTAGCTCTACTAATATCGTATAGAAGTAGGCTACTTCCTCTAGATCGGCCGAAGAGGGCGTAGCGTCGGTATAGTAAGAGAGCGGGTCTAGGTTCTCCTCGTCCGGCGTTAACTTAGGCGACTCCGTATTCCCTAGAAGTCGACTAAGGGCGTCTAGAACTAGGTATATCCGCCCTAGGCGGTAAACTATATCGACTCGATATTAGGAAAGGAATATCGATACTCTTACTAATTTTAGGTTCTACTTGCCTATATTAGTAGTCGTAGTTATCGATACCGAGTTAGTAAGACCGACCGTAGTATAGTAGTCTATAAAGATAGTCGTCGGCCTCGATAAAGTATATATTAAATAGCCTACCTTCTTTACTATCTATACGATTCCCGAGTATTCGAGCTCTATCGGCTAATATTATATCTCTGCCTAAGTTAGGCCTCGGCTTAAGAACAAAATAGGCTAAACCTTATAATAAGGAAACAACTGCGCCTTTCCCTTAGATAGAATAGGGTCTAGGTCCCTATTAATATAGTAGAGTACCGCGCTATAGCTAAACTCTTTAGAGGAATCTATATTAGCGTATAAGTAATAGTTAGGGTCGAAATAGTATAAGAAGGAGGGCTCGTAGAACATCGATTACAACAAGCGAAACGCTTTTACTAGCTCGTCGTAGTGCTAATTATTCTTACCTAGCGTCGTAACGGCGACGTACCGGCGACGACTATTACTAGTAACTAGCGCCCCTTTTAATAAGCGTATTTTCTCCGCCTATAGAGGCGCCGCTATCTATACGTAGTATAGGATGTGTTGCCGCAACTAATTAGTTAGACCGAGATAATGCTCTAGCTTCTATACGTTCTTCGGGAACTAAAGTAAGGTAATCGCTGCGATTTTCTCTTTACTCGTAGCTAGACCGAGGCCGCTAACGTACTAACCTAAAAGAATCGCAGAGGGGAAGCCTAAGAAAGTCTTCTTCGGACTAATGCTAATCCTTACGGCGTCTAATCTCTAAAAGACCGCTTCTAGATAATCGAGATGCTTAGGTAACGTCTTCGAAAATACTACGATATCGTCGATATAAGCTCGCGTAAAGCTACGATAGTTGCGAAGGATCTAATCTAGCTTCCGCTATACGAATTAGATACTATTCGAATATCCTATAATAGCGACCTTATACTATTCCTAGCTACGATAAGTATTAATTGTCAATTTATAATAATCCTCTAGCTTTACGCCCTATTAGTAGAAGAAGGTTAGACAGTCTATAGTGCTAATATACTAGCACCCTACTAACTATATAAAGAGGTCCGCCTAGAGCGGTATCTAATAGCTGTCGGGGATCGTTACCTTATTTAAGGCGCGTATATCGACTACTGCCTATAGCTTATTAATTATACTACCTTTACCGTTAGTAACGCGCTTCTATACGACAAATACTAGGAAGCCGAAGGGCGTAGGCTCGGTTATATACTATATCTTCCCCTAGTAGTATAGGTCGTTATATATCTTGTCTACTACTTTACGATCCCTCTTATCTAGATTAATTATACGAAGGGGCGGTAACAGATCTAGGTAATTTGGCACGGTTAGGATAGGCATATAATCGTGCTCGGGAATATTAACGACCGTCTAGCGATTAGTAAAGAGCTCTAGGTACCGCTCGACTGCTATAGCAATTTAGTCTGCTTAGTTATTATTACTATAGATCGTTACGCCTAACGTATACTAGTATTCCCGCTATGTATTTAGCATATCCCGCGTAGCCGTAAAAGCGTTAGGACTCAATCCTACTAGTCTATAGTCGGCTACGTCGATATAGTAGGCCCTAGTAATAGTCCTATTACTTAACGAACTAAGTAGCTATCCGGCTCGAATTGTTACTAGAGTAGTCGCATTATTACGAATGTACGTATAAGAAAAATTAGCGTCTACGACCTAATTATACGCCGTTACTAAAGGCGGAGCTTATAACGACAATCCCTATATATTGCTAGTTAGCTAGACTAAGAAACCGGCGTTAAGAATAAAATCCCGGCCCTTAGGGAGATTACTACTATACTTAACTAGCGCGAGGGCGACCGTGCGCAGCGCTAATGTTACGTCCTCCGCTAGCCTTATAGAGCGCTAAACCGACTTCCCTTTCTTACGCTTAACGGCTACTTTAAAGTAGGCGTTATTCTAACTAGCTACGGTAACTATCCGTACGGGAACATCGATCTTTATTCCCTTTAGAGCAATCGTGTCTATACCGACTAGGATTTTTGCCTTTAGTTTAGGAACTAGGTAAACCTTACGAGTTATTCGCACTAGAGAAACTATACCGTCTGTTTTCGCTACTAGGACGAATATGTCTAATACAATGTATTTCCTAAAGTAATACGCGCCGGCGATGCCGCCGATTTCGATCGGTTCGCATAGCTTGCGTACCTCTACGTCCGGGCGATAGCTTAAAACGAAGTCTTTTTCCGTAATAGTAAGCGTATAGCTAGTATCTAGGCAGACCTATATAGATATACCGGATAGTAATAACCGAAGAGGGAAAGTTATATATTGCTAATTCCGGAATACGTAACTTTACTAAGCTAACGGAGGCGCCTTCGACTAAATTACTTCCGGGTTTGCCGATATGCGTTCGATAATAGTAGAAGGCGTCGTCGCCCCTATATACTTCTTACAAACATACTAGTATAGAAGGTTGTCTAACTTAAATCGCTGCCTATAGACCTTATAAGTATACTTCGTAGAGGCAAATAGTTAGATCGCCGCTAGTAGAGACGCTTTAGCCTATAGCACCGAGTTTAACGCTAATAGCGAGCGATCGCTTATACTTATAAAGTAAGCTCCTAAGCCCGGATCGGAGTCGTAAGGATTAGTAAAGTAGTCGGCGTCTTCTCCGGCGTTACTAAAATAGCTATAATTATCTGCGTCGGTTCTCCTATTATCCTCCTAACTATCTTTCTAATAGCCGTCGTCGGCTTAGTTAGTATTATTTATAATATCGCCTACTCTCTTACTATTATCGGCAAAGTTAGCCTACTTACGAGCTCGATCGTTACGCTTTCTATCCTATCGATTAAATAGGCGCGAATCGACTCGCTTTAGGTCTTTCGGAAGGAAGGTAGGGCTACTACCCTTCGACGGTCTTTTACTATTTCCTACTAGCGGCAGGCGATTCTACTAAGGGGTATTAGGCAGGCGATTCTGCTAATAGGCGTTAGTAAGGCGTAGTAGGTTTAGTCGGTCGATATCGCAGTTCTAGTAGTTAAGGGACGCTCTTACTAGAGCGAAGCTCGCTAGGGTATAAGAGGCGTTCCCTTTATATTAGTTCTACTAGGTAGCCTTACTAGCGCGGCTATTGTTCCTAGTTGTAGCGTCTAGGCGACGATTAGACAAGGACGAAAGCATATACTCCTAGATTAATACCTACTTTCTATAGTACATAACCTACTTATCGACCTTTATATAATAATTTAGCTCGTCTATATTTAATTAGAGGCGCGGATCTATTCGACGATAAGCTTCTAAGAGCCGGTTCGATTTCCGTATACCGGCATCCTTAGCGAGTCGTATCGTCTTAATAATAAAGTCTGTTACTAAATGCCCTAAAGCGATATCCTACTAGTCGTAGCGTTACTTATCGAAGAGATCTATCGCCTTTATCGGAGGGACCTTCTATTTCTTACTAAGACAACGTTCCTAGCGCTTTAGACCGTATCCGCCGCAGAGCTTTACTCGGTTGCGGCTAGAAAGGTAACTATAATACTAACTAAGCGCTATCCCTCGAAAGTAAAAAGAAAGGTTAAGACGAACTGTCTCTCGCCCTACGATATAAGTATAATCCTTAGCCGCTTCGATAAAAGTATATACCGAACGGTATATTATCTTGTTCCCGACTAAGGCGTAGTCTCCCTCGCTATAATCCGTAACGCTAAGTAGAGGATCGAAGAACCTAAGATACGCTAGATCGAACCGTAGCTACTAAGGGCGGGCGTAGTGCCCCTAGATATAACTCGCTTTAGAAACTAGCGCTTCTGCGACGTAGTCCCGATAATACTAATAGTATCTGCGATAGCGGGCGTATCTATAATAACTAGTATCTAAGGAGCTATCGTTATCCGACGAGGATTAATCGGAGTCGTCCGAATTCTTACTATTAGATAAAGATCTATCCTTACTCGGATTATCCCTATACCGACGGTATTTCCGGCGTTACTTCTTGCCTTCCCGTAGTAGACCCTATAAGTCTAATAGCGGAAAGGGCAAAGGCTAACCCTACGTCGGCTTACGAGAGGAATTACCTAGATCGAAGTTACTAGGTAGCGGTAGTAGAGGATCGTTAGGAGGATTTCCGGATAGATTGCTAGAAGGATTACTAGGCGGATTACTAGGCAGATCGCCTAGTACAAACCCGCCCCGACGTAAGTAGCTATATCTACGGGCATTTATATATGCGTCTGCCCTCTACTAGTAATCGTATTAACTTAGGTTTAGCTAGGGCGGACTTAGCTTACGCGTAGCTAATAGCGGTAAAATCGCCTATTCTATTAGAAAGTCTAATACAACTTCGTTAAGATAGACTCCTCTCTATCTAGCTAATTCGCGAAAATAATTACGACGCTAACGGTTTTGCTATATAGCGATATTCGCCCTATCGATCTCCTCGGTTGTCTACGAGGTATCTACTAGGGTACGATATTAGAAACGACTACGCGGCTCGTTAGCCTACGGGTCGGCGAGGCCGTCGTTTATTAGAGGCAATTAGCCGCGACCGATATCCTAGAACGGCGACGTCGATAGATCGGAAGGCCCGGTTAACGGTTCCTTAGAGGAAGTCTTAGGCAGAGGCCCCCCTAGCTTCTAAGGATTCTCGTCCGCCGGGTATCGTAGCTTAAGTAGCCTCCGTAAGGGCTAGTAGGCGCTGCTCTACTATAGGTAGTAGATAGATCTCCGGGTAGAATTAACGGTAATAGCGTAAATCGCGCACCGTTAGGAGCGCGGCTTTAAGCTCCTTAACCGATTTAGTTAGGATTCCTTTATCTACTACCTACTATCCTAGGAAGTTGTAACCGTTAAGGGCGTCTAGGTAGAGTTCCTCGATTTTAGCCTATAGAGGCGGCGGATTTCCTACGAGCAGGTAATAATATAGAACGTATAAGGTAAGCAAGTCGATTTAGCTATACTTTGCCCTAAGCTAGGTCGCGAAGTTCTCGCTATAATCGACGTAGTTCTAAATATAGGAACAGATACGTAGGATATAGGGCTCTATATCCGGCAATCCGAGATTATAGTACTAGGGTAGCGGTTAAACCGCTAGCTTAGCTAATTTCGAGGCTTCTACCGGAGTTAGAAGCGAGTCCGAAGGAGCTACGGCAAGCGGGTAAACTATTAGTAAGAGGGTAGAGGCGAGATAGTCTCTAGACGGAGGACAATAATAGAGAACCGACTAAAGGTAGAGGAGCGTAGCTTATCGGGTAGGTCCTCTTAGGGAAAGCGGCTGCCCCTAGACCTAGGTATAGTAGGCAATTGCTACTAAAGGTAGAAACTACTACTACTATCTCCTCGGGGTACTAATAGGATCGCCGATAAGGCGCTCGCGCGTCGGTAGGGTATAGTGTAGAAGGGTAGTAAATTAAATAGGTACCGTCGTAACGGATAGAAGTTAAATCGTAGTAATTAGCGGAAGATCGGTAGGACCCGTAGCTAATCGCGTCGATTCTCGTCGTAGCCGTAACGACCGGGGTCGATTCGGATAGAGGACTAGTAGTTAGTATAGAAGCTAACTAAGTATTAAGCGAAGCTACTAAGTTGCTAGGTATACGGTTATAGTACGAAGGTATCGTAACGGTTATGCGGTGCAAAAGTTAATGCATTCTCTAAGGTACCGCGAGGCAAGCTATCTATATAATAGTCCTACTATTAGTAGCAATAGCGACCGTAGCGGTCGATAGTAACCGCTACCTGCTATCGTATATGCAATAGTGTTATATCGTAACACGCTAAGTACTATACTAATAGCTTATTAGAGGTTATAAAGCTATTTAGTAATAAGGTCGTCGCTATAACTACTAACAATGCGAGTATTATAAGCAAAGCAAGAGATATTATAAGTATTTTCGAAGTGTAAGCGCTCCTACCTAATCGGGCGCGGTAGCGCGGGCGGCACGGCTAGCTACGGGTACTAGACCTATTCCGGCTAATATAATATTAGATTACTCTATACTTTCTAAAAGTTATCTTAGTTAGTTATTGTTCTTACTATACTAAGCTTCTTTACGACGACCTATATAAAGAATAGAGCGTTTAGAAGGTGTTTAGCGACGTATAGTATGTTTCTAACTACTTTAAGAATATACACCTTCTATTCGAACTGCTTATAGAATTTTCCGACGGCAAATACGTAGCATTTTAGTCCCTAGGTGCTATATGCTAGCAAGGCAAGCTGTATTATATAAAGGCGGTCTAGACTAACCGACAATAGATCGAGGCTCTTAGAGAGAGTAAATACCGACTCCTCGATAGTGCGAGCGCTGCTTAGAAGGAAGAATAGCATTATATTATCCGTATCTTCGAGGCAGACCAGTTCTAGACTAATTTGTCGAAATACATTAAATTAATAATACCCTTCCTATAGGTAACTATTGCCCTCGAAGCCGACAAGCCTCTACTATCGTACGTATATAGCAATTTTAAGTAGCTCTATAACTAGTCCTAGAATAACGGCCTTCTTATAAATAACGAGATTAAGGTTATAATCGATAAGCGCTACGAAGACCTCTATATTCCCCTTATATTAATCGCCTATCTTAGTAATATTCGAGAGCGTAAGGACCCTCGGAAGCTTATTATTATTAGTAAAGAGGAGATTTATAGTATAGCCGACTTCCTTATATAATACTACGAGCGATAATAACAATAAGAGTTACGCGTTAAACTCGAGATAAGAGCCGGTTAATTAATAAGCGACCTCTTCCTTCTACGTAATAGGCAAGGTCTATTTACTAATAAGGTCGTATAGCTATCCGGCTTGTCTTAGTCGCCTATATAATAGTAGTATAATAATATTAAATCTATATACCCTAACCTCTCGGAATTAATAATACTAGCGCTATTAATAGTACTAACAACTAGTACTACCGAGCGTAACTAGTTAGCTTATAGCTTTATTATAAGCCTCCGCCGTAATCGCCTATCTTACGCTACTATCGAGAAGCTAGTCTATCTATATTAGAACCTTCGTATTAAGTATCGGATTAACGATAACTAGCTTATAGACGACGACTTCTACGATTCGGAAGAAGTGCTTAAAGCCGTACTAGATAGCGAGGTCGATAATAGCGCTATTGCTAACCTTAATAGCACTTATAGGGCGAGTCTATAGATATTTCCCGGTATTTACTTACTCTTAGCATATAACGCATCGCTTCTTATCTACTTTTATATAGTAGCTTAGCAGCTAGCCCCGATACGATAAGACCCTCCGTATGTCTACTCGTACGTACGTAGCGGGTTTATTGGTGGACACTGCCCCTATTTTATAACCACGGTGGAAGCACAACACTATGCATGACCGCCAACCTGCGAGCCAGCCATTGGATTGTTGTTGTTTTGTTTTGTTGTGAGCGCTTGGTAGGTGCGGAGGCGCACTCAGCCGAAGACTCGGCAAGCAAGCAGGCATCCCAGCCCAGCACAACACGGTGACAGCCACCTGAACCTGAACTTCTATAGAATACAGTACTACATTCGCTGGCACCACTACTCCGTACCTCACTCACCTGCGCGGTGCACGTCCTCGACCGTTTCTGATTCCGCCTGCCTGCCTCTCCTTCACTTCCTCCACCGCTGCCGACCATACCATGCTGCCGGCCTTCACCTGCTGAGAATTAATTGTTCACGGCGCGCGCGTGTTGGCTTTGGGCGCGTCGGTCGTCGGTCTCTCGGTCGCTGCCCCGCGCAACGGCTGAACACTGCACACGGACGGCTGGCTGGCTGGCTTGCTTTGCTTGCAACCAGAACAGACGCGCATGGCAACAGCAGTATCAATACCACCACTCCCGGACGCGACACTCGACATGGCCAGCAGACGCCTGCCACTGGCCACCGTGCCCAACGCCGTCAACTCGCCCGTCCGCAATGTTGCTGCTGCTGTTGCTGCTGCTGTGAGCGGCAAGCGCACGCGAGCCCAAGCCGGCGATACTCGAGAAAGCACATACGGCCAGCCACCAACCAAGAAGCAAGCTCTGGCTATAGCCTACCCAAACGAAGATGAAGAGAACGTCGATCCCAGGCCGAGGCGCGGTGTGTCTGCCACTGCCCACGACAAATTCGACCCGGTCTTTTCCAAGCGCTCCAACATTTCGCAGCCCACCGCTTTCGAGCGGAAGCTCGCATCTGCTCGTGAGAAGAAGACCACACCGCAATTGCAACCGCAACCGCAACCGCAATCGCGTACTCTCGATCGCACGCTAAAGCAACAAGCCGACAATCTTGAATCTGTTCGACAATGGCAGAAACACTACCGCCGCCAGTTTCCACAATTTGTCTTCTACTTCGACAATGTCTCCGACGATGTCCGCCACAAGGCTATGCAGTCTATCCGCCTGCTTGGAGCACGCGAAGAGAAGTTCTTCTCCAAATCCGTTACCCATGTGGTCACGACGCGTGCTGTACCTGCCGAGACCAACAGCACTAGTCCAGATGACGAAGGCAAGTACGATGGCAAGCAGGATGCTGCTCAGCTAGAGTCCGCGCAACCAACGGCCCCAGGCCAGCGGCGCACTGCCACTCTTCTTGATGCTGCATCACGTCGAGCTCAGCAACAATCTTCATACGCCCACCAAAGCATTGACGCCCGCAGACCACAAGGCTCAGGCGCCGACATCATCGCGAAAGCTCGTGCCCTCAGTATCAAGATATGGGCATTGGAAAAGCTTCATCGTGTCCTCGACACGATCCTCGACAAGGAAACTGGCGAACCGGTGGTGGATACGCGTGCCTCCACCAGGCCTTCCAACAGAGCCACTACCCAAGATGTCGACTTGGAACAGTTGCTTCGTCATGAGAAGGTCAGAGGTCCTGCTGACCGAGACATGAATGTCGTAGCGCAGGATATGGTCTCCCTCCGTGGCCCTTACATTTACATACACGACATGGATGAGAAGACCAAGCCAGTCATGGTTCGTGAGTATCAGAAACCGCAGTCTAAGGAGCAAGGCAAGTGGCCTCAATTCCGGCTATCAGGTCCGGGAAGATGTCCGTTCATTGAAGATCCCAACCACGCAAAGAAGGCAGCCCGAGATCGAGAAGCTCGCACATCCAAGGCTCAAGATCTTGCTCACCGTACCACTCGTCAAAACGCAGCGAACCAAGCCCTCGTAGAGCGTGAAATCAATCTCAGACGATCACCTCGAAAGCTTGCTCAGCCTACCAACCTTCCCATGAAGCAATCACAGTCGGTCATCCAACCTCCTCCCACGCGACGTCAGTCCTCTACCGAAGTCACTCCAGCTTTCTTCAACAGCACAGCTGCCAATATGCGAGGCCTTCCACGTATGGTTCGCGGGGAGCCAGTCGCGTCTGGTGTTCAGCCATCCAACGTGACGTCTGCCATTCGGTCCCAAGCCATTTCATCGACTGCCATCTCCTCGACCGCTCCAGGTCTTCAACGCCGTTTCGGTGATTCCAAGGAAGTCTCACTGTTGAAGCGGAAGGTCTTAGCATCAAATCACAGTGTTCCGTCGTCTTATGCAACCGATGTGAGGGCCGCGATCAACGATGATCAGTGTCCACCTCCTCGAGCAGCGAAGCGTAAAGCCCAGGAAACCCTGGGCGTGGTACAGGAAGATGAGGATGCTGCAGAACAGTCCCGCGGTCGTGTCAATACCACGAAGCGCAAGAAGATGCCCGAAAAGGATCCAAAGCCGGGTTACTGCGAGAATTGTCGCGACAAGTTTGACGACTTTGAAGAGGTAATCAGCCCTGCTTCAAGACGCTTTTCATCATTGCTAATCTAATGCAGCATATTGCATCTCGCAAGCACCGAAAGTTCGCAATGACTCTCGACAATTGGCGTGACTTGGATGCGCTTCTTCAGCAACTAAAGCGTCCACACAAGGAGAAGACAATCCATGAGCACTGACACTTTCCCCCAACTCTACACGTTGATTGACATGACGACAACGACAGCTGATGGTTCAGCCTAATTGTTATACTTTTGTTTCTGCAAGGCAGCGTTGACGCGGCATTTCTTGTTGATTGCTGTCAGTGTATACAGCATTGCATTTCGTACTCAAGCGGCAAAGCGAGGGCGGTGTATGGGCGGATAATGTTGTCTTTTTGAGGTCAAGCATGAAGGCAAGGTCGGTGCATGCTTACTTACGAGCTTTGGGACTAGCATGTGATACGGAGCATCTATTGAATCATGTGGTAGAAAGCATAGCACGACCGTGATGCATCAGGTTGTGTGTAATAAAGAATTCAGCTATAACCATGCAAGTCTCTTCTTGAACCATCCTTGTCCTGCTTGTATCGTCAGACGTAGGGTTTGTGTAGTAAAGACTCTTGTGCCTGCCTTCCGTATGCTGACTTCACTCTGATCTGCGAAAGCTAAACTTTAAACTTGCACCTTCCATCATCAATCAACCCATAACAGTCATCATCGTTCAAAAAAACACCACCACCACCACAACGAAATCCATCTCATCCAACCCAACAACCATGTCTTCCCCCTCCCCAAGCCCCGACTCTACAGACCCAGAACAAGAAGACCCCACAACAGCCTCCATCCCCCTCCCCCTCTCCGCCTCCCTCATCCTCGACCACCTCCCCAAATCCGCCTCCCAAGCCCTCACAACCGCCGGCCAACTCGACCAAGAGAAAGGTATAGCCTCCCAAATCTTTCTATCTATCCATCCCCTCTTTTACTAACTTGACTGGATTTTATTTCCTTCAGTCACGATCCGCCTCACCCCGCTCCCCAACACGCCGGCCCTCAAAGTCCCTCGATTCAAATGTTCGAGTCATCAACGATTCGAATACATTGTGAAATTTTTGCGTCGGAAGTTGGGGGTGAAGGATTTTGAGAGTGTTTTTTGTTATGTCAATTCGGTGTTTGCGCCGGGGCTTGATGAGGGGGTGGGGAATTTGTGGAGGGTGAGTATTGTTGAGGGGGAAAAATATGTGAGGTGTTTGGGGTGCTGATGAGGTTTTTTTTTCATAGTGTTTTAAGGTTGGGGAGGATTTGGTTGTTAGTTATAGTGTTACGCAGGCGTTTGGGTGATGATGTGGGAGGTGGTCTATATGGACAAGGTCCTTCTATCTGATCTAATTACTCGAAACAGTATCATCAGCAGCAGCCTTCTTAAACTCAACAACATCCTCCGCCTTCATGGGATAAGTATGTTCCGGCGCAGGATAACTCCTCTCCTTCACCTCACTCCGATACCTCTCCAGCGCCCTCGAACTCTCCCCCCAAAGATCCCCAAACCTCTTGACAAATTTCGGCAAAAACCTCCCAGGAGGAAAATACCCAGCCATATCCACCTGCACCAAAACCTGTCCACTCGTCGCATTCCCCGCCCCAATCCCAATAGTAGGTATGCTCAACTTCCCCGTCACAACCTCCGCAACCTCCGCAGGAATCGCTTCCAAAACCACCCCAAACGCACCCGCCTCTTCCACCGCTTTCGCATCAGCCAGCACTCCCAGCGCCCCACTCACACTCCTCCCCTGCACGCGAAAACCTCCCAAAGAATTCTGCCTCTGCGGCGTCAACCCCACATGCCCCAAAACCGGAATTCCCGCGCCCGTAATCTTTGAAATCTGAGCCCCCATCCCCCTCCCCCCCTCAAGTTTCACCGCATGAACACCCCCCTCCTTAACCAACCTCATCGCCGACATCAGCGCCTGTTCCGCAGAAATCTCATAAGACCCCATCGGCAGATCCCCAACGATGAACGCGGCCTTCGCCCCGCGAGAGACGCTTCGACAGTGCAGTAACATGTCGTCCAGCGTGACTTGGGATGTGTCTTCGTAGCCCATGGCTACCATGGCCAGACTGTCTCCGACGAGAATCATGTCCATGCCCGCGTGCTCTGCGACGTGGGCTGAAGGGAAGTCGTGGGCTGTGATCATGGTGATGGGGTCGTGGTTTCGGTACATGGATTTGAGGGTTTGGAGGGAAGTTTTTTTGCGGTTGGAGGAGGTTCCTGAGGCGCTGTGGGAGGAGTTTCGGGTGTTGGTGAGGAGGGCGAGGGGAGTAGGTTGACGTGACGTTAGGATGCGTCTTCTAATGAGAGCACGCGACATGCTTGCTTGTTGGGTGAGTGGTTTGTCTCTCAAGGGGGTTTTGTGTTTTGTGCTTTTTGATGGGTCGAGTCTGATAGAGGTGGTGGAATTTGGGGCAGATCCATTTCTCGCAGACGGGGAGGGATGAGGGATGAGGGAATGGACTGGTTTGAAGCTGTTCACAAGTTTACAGTGCAGACCTGAACACGACCACAAAGAAAGTCCTCGGCTTTCAGATCTAGACCCCTGCTTACACCGATAACCGAGCGCCATGCAGCAGCATCGATCAACAACAATGGCCGCTCAACTATGCACAGGCTTTGAAGCACCGATTTATCGCATGGACGACGTGAAAAGATGCGAGACAAGCAAGACAGCATACGCATTGACGCATTGCGATCTACAAGAGTCTCAGACGGCCCAATATTGCATCCATCCATCCATTATGTTCTTCCATCCGCCGTAGAGCTTGGCCTTGGCGTCCATGCTCGGTCCCTTTCACACAACTACTACTACTACTATACAGTCTATCATCAACCATGAGATCTCAAACAAAAAAGAACACGAAGAGTCGTGTTTGTTGCTTCCTTCCTGCGCCACGCCATGCTCCCAAACTTTCAAAATCCAAATCACCGCGCATCCCATATGTGCGAGCTACCAGTGAGCCATCTCTGCAGTTCAATCAATATGGATAGCTGGACAACACAACATATTATGCCCACATCCAAAGTGAACTCGATCAATGCACGCCGACCCTTCTAGCCATGGGAGATGATAACGCGAGCACCTTCTTTGCCGAGGACTCCTCGCTCCTTTTCTTTGGCCTTCGGGCTCCGGTCACGACCTTTGGACTTTCGCAAAAATCCTAGCATGCCAGATGGTCGTTCGTTGCGTCCTTGATCGTTTTGTCCTACCATACCTTGACTCTGGTTGGCCATGTCACTCCAGCTTCCCTGCTCGTTGAGCACAACCTGCACACCTCCTCCCTGTGAGGTGCTTCTCATAGCTCCTCGCGGCCTCGATGTCTTCGGCGTGACTTGAGCTATTGTGTCCTCATATCTGATCACCCTCGTCGGCCCGTTCATAGGCTCTGACGTCGACGGCAGCTTGGTCGATGGGTCTGATGTGCGCGGCGGAAAGTACTCGGTCGATACCGGTCCGGTGACCGTGGCGCCCATCTCGAGAGCAGCTGCTGGCAGAGGTGGTGAGCCATCAGGTGAACGTGTGGCAGAACGATTTCGTGACGCACTACCCGGTGGTGTTTGTGACTGTGGTGTCGGAATCGACTTGGTCTTCTCCAGATGTTTGGCCAAGGCAGGGTCTATTTGTGAAGGTGCATCCCTGTCTCTCGTGTTTTGACGAGATACGGACCTGGATGAGCTTGTAGTCGGCTCCGCAGTCGACGTCGACAGGATAGGGCTTCGATCTTGTGGGACCGTCGTATAGTTGAAGGGCTCGAACATGGTCTCGATCATGCGATGCAGCTCATCAGCTCGGATTTCTTGTTGCGTTGCATCTTCCCTCAACTCGGCTCTCGGCTTCTGCTTTCTAGCGCGAGCTTCTAGCGGCGCTTCCTCCAACAGCAGCTCTTCCAGATCGTAGGTGGCATCGAAGTTGGTCTTTTCGCTGGATGGGCAGAACACTGGTTCATATTCTTTTCTCTCCAAAGCTTCGAAATCGATCTCGCGGAAGAAGGGGTTGTCAGTAAAGGTCTCCCATGATGCAGCACCTATCCTCAAGCTTTTATTCTTTTCCAATAGCGAGCTGATGGCGTGAAGACATGGCATTGACACAGGTGGCGAGGTGACCGGGAATGGCGGATCCGCCTTCACAATGGCTTGCGCTAAGGCATCGTGATGGTTCGCCTCGAACGGTCGTTTGTTGTATATGCATTCGTAGAAGAGGACTCCCAATGACCACCAGTCCACTTCCGAGTAGTAGCCTTTGCCAACGTAGACCTCAGGAGCCAGATAAGCCAAAGTGCCGGACTTGCTCGTCAATGGCTTCCCAGGAGTAAAGTCCGAGGCGACGTTGAAGTCTGCAAGATGGACATGGCCTTCGGAATCCAGCAATACGTTATCCGGCTTCACATCTCGATGCACTATGCCCTGCTTGTGAACGTATCGTAGAGCACATCCGAGCTCTGCTATCCAGAAACGCACAGCTTCTTCTGTGAAAGTCTTTCTGGAAATGTGAAATCTGAGGTCGCCGCCATTCATCAGATCCACAACAAGATATCTGCAAGACGCAAAGTCAGCACTTGCCGCATTTCGTTTTGACTCTCACAGCCAAACCTACAAATACTCCATATCTTGGAAACTGTAGCGCAAGTTCACCAAGAACGGGTGGTTCAGGTGCTCGAGCATCCTGCGCTCGCGTATGATGTTCCGCACACTTTCTGACCGTACCACCTCATCCTTCCGTATGTACTTGAGGGCGAACGTCAAACCGGTATCCTTCCGCTCCACAATCCTGACTTTTCCAAACGCTCCTTTCCCGACCACGCGCAGCAAGCGAAAATGATTGAGGTTCACCTCGTCGGTGAGGACGAGGGGCTTGCCATTGGAGTTGCCCATTTGCAGCGGTGGGCGCGAGGGTCGACGGTAAAGACTGGGGCGACTGCGACTTTCACGACTACCTCAAAAGGATGGTGTCGTTGTGAGCAAGAGGTCCTAGCGATGCTACCTCCACAGCGTCATCCTCCTGCAAGCCGCTCGTGATTAATTTCCAGCAGTACCCGTACTCCTCGCGGCCTCTCCGTCAGAGCAGGCGCAGGCACTGAGCTCACCACACGCTTGTGATGCTGGCCGCCACGCACGAGTTGGAGAACGCCAGGCCGTTTCACCAAGAAGCTGTTGACTGCACAGTACGTTGCACAGCAGCAGCACCCCGTCCCAGAGCGTTTCCAGGCGTTCGGTCGGGTAGGGCAAGGCTGGTGGGCTTGTGGACAGTGACTGGGGTGTGGTCGCTGGTCAATTGCAGATGCGATGCGCAATATGCAGTGCAGTGAATAGTGATTTGGCTGTTGGGGGATGGCCGGGTGCCTCAGGTGCCAGGTAGGCAGGTGCTAGGTGGGCCTCTGATGCGGAAGCACTCCAGCGCCCGATCAAGCAGCGTCGTCCAGATGGGCGCGACTGGCTCGTTGGACAGCAGGACAGCTCGCTGCACGCACCAAAGCACGCATACGACTCGCTGAAGATTATTGTCGAGAGTAGTCGGCTGCTGTTCGCGGCTGTCGCCAGGACTCACAGGAGAGGGGAACGTGGGAAGGGAAGGGCCAGGAAAGCCAAGACAGTGCACAGAAAGTCTTGAGATAATGGCGGTTGATGACCACACAATCATTCACCAGCAGACCGTCAGACTCGGAGGGTGAGGCTCGCTTCAAAGGAGCAAGGCAGGTAGGTAGGTAGGTAGTCGTAGTTTATCTAGCTGGGCTGGGCTGCGCTGCGCTCCGCTACGAGTTCCTGGGCTCCTGTCTCACAGCTCACGCAAGAACCAGAATCACGCATCGCCTTGTGATCACACGGCACAATCGTAGAATACCTTACCGACGCACGTTTTTCAGCACTAGCTTATGCTATCACTAGTCTCCGTCCATCGTCCATTCCTCCTCGACACCACCCGCCGCAAGGCGCAACGACAAGCTGAGACTGCGTACCACAACCGTGCTCGCACCTCTCCTGACTGGATGGATTGTCACTCAACAAACTGCCGGCCATCTCGCCTTCCCATCCCAGTTAACTCTGCGCTTAAACAAAAATTCGTTGATGACCGCCGCCGCAATACATAAGCAAACAGCAAGCAATGCATAATAATCAAAACCAACTCCTTCCCATCCTTCCTCCTCTTCCTCGGTTTGTTTCATCTGCATCCCCCTCCGCCCTACCAACCGCTTGCCACGTGGTCCATGAAAAAAAAGGCATAGCAAATGCAAGCCACCACCAAAAGGCGTCGAATGAGCGTCTCGGAACCTGCTTCTAGAACATTTCCTTAATAGCTTCTCGGGAAAGCTACAATCCTTCGCGCATTTCTTTGAGATTGTAATGAAACAGCAAAGGAGTTAATCAACCGCTATTTTTATGGAGAAGCTTCTTTGCCAAGTGCTTGGCGGCCGCTCTTTCTGCGTTGGATTGCTACAGCTGGCACTGCCTGGCAGTCATCTTTGTTGGAGGGGAGGAATGTTGTCCGGCTCTGATTTGTCGATGATAAGGGATGCCCCTTTCGATAGATCACGTGACCAATACCTCTGAGCTTGCCTAATCGTAACATATTGCCTGATCGAGCCAGCCTGGTACACATTTGGGCTTGGCTTGGGTGCATGCGAGGAGCCAGATTGGAGTCATAAGTTCGATAATAAATGCGTGGCAAATGGAGCTGAGGATCATGCTATATAATTTGCTTCCATTCTCAGCGCCTTCGCTTCATCCAAACAAGGCCATAAGTATCTCGCGTTCCCGGATCCAACTCCCCGACACCTTCACTTTGATGATATCAAGATTCATAAAATTCCGTGATCCAACGCCACCCCGCAGAAGCAAGCATGTGGAGCCGCACCAAACCCCTTGCTGGCTAATAAATATATGGGTTGTCGTGTCCGCTCATACTTCATCCATGGTGCCTGCCGGTTCATCGTCATCATCGCTGTCGAAGCTACCAACACTGCTCATCTCGTCGCTGTCATTGGACTCGCCTCCAGCTTCGTCGACGCTCTCTTTGGTAGCATATTTGGTGACGTACTCTGCAGATGTCAGCGTGGAACGTACACCAAGAAGACAAGACCCGTGTTCTCACCTTTCACCTTGGCATCGTAGCTTTTTGGCTCCCGCATCATGAGAGCAGCTGCCTCACCATTCAACGGATCTGTAGGATTGGGGTATCGAAGTAGTTGGGGGAGAAAGACCTCGAAGATGTTGACCATGTCGTACATCGGTGACCAGGTCTGGTTGATGACATCCAGGCAAACGCTTCCTGATCTGCTGCTGTCAGTCCTGTTTGTCCAGTGATGCATGCAGATGTACGTACAGCTCATCAATGTTGGGGTGAAATATCCTGTTGACAAAGCCTATACTTGGGCTCTTGTAGGGATACTGATCAGGTAGCTCTACGTGAATCTTCCATAGACCGCCCTCGAATGGAGCTGCTCAAGAATCAGGAATATGCTCATTTATCAAAGTTGAGTTGGACTTACTTTCTGAAGGGCCCTTGAAGCGGACATAGAACTCTTGCCTAGAAGAAAAGTCAGCTTATGGTCGTGAATGGTTGAAATCGCAGCGGTTGGTCGCATGGCTCTGACGAACACTGTCGAAAGAGGTCAGTCATCATGCTCCATCTCAGTGAAGCATAGTGCTAGGAGGAAGGGATGAGCAACATACTGTTATCATTGACCAGTGTCACCTCGTAGTCGCTCATGAGCATCTTCATGACCTGTTGCCCACGTTGTCAGCCTCGTATTCATGCCTTTTTTGATCCACAACTTCGTACGTCCGTCTCGATTCTGCGCTTCGGGCTGCTCATCTTGCCGCCTTCTCCCTCCGATCTTCAAGGTGACTCCTCAGCCCAAGCTCTTTAGAGCGGTACGCAGTCGCTTATAATGGATGATGTTTGCCGATGTGGTTGCTGCTACAGATCGCGGGAGTTTTGGATTGGATTCGCAGAAGCAATTGACTTGGCTGCTTTCACGACGGATGGGCGACTTCTTGAGGTAGAGTCGTGCTTGCTCGGGTGATTGGGATCACAAGATGGCGTAGCTTCCTATGCTTCTTTGTCGGTAGTCGTTCGTTTCAGGCTTCGTATGACGTCTCAGCTCAATGCTTAAATGGAAGATTTGCAGAAAGTCCGTAGGCGGTAGAGTGGCATGCGGTGTAGTTTGGCAGGTGCCGAGGAAGGGAGAGTCGTCAGAGGATGGCGAGCGACAGTGGGACGGTTTGGAGACGACGTGACTGGCAACTGGAGGTGGAGCGTGACCACCCAGGTCCTGAACCCGTGACAGCCCGAAAGCCGGCGATTGCTCAAAGCCGCGGGTGATCCCTGGAAAGCTGATATCAGAGACACGACCTTGCTGGTCGATTATCCTGAAACCAATATCCACGCAATCAATCACATCGCAGGCTTTCCGTGTCAGTGTTCTGATCAGCATCACCTGTTGGGCCTTCTCCAATTCGAGCTACATCATAAGCAATAAGCATGGGCATCAGAGCTGAAACAGAAACAGGGCACATCAGTTCACGACAGTCCTCGAATTAGAATTAGAACACGGTCTTGCCAACAGAGTCCTACCACAGACTTTGCTAAGCAGTGGTGCCAGGAATGGTTAAAGCATTCTTCAGACCGGCGGTCATCGCCTCAATGCCTCTATTGCATCAGCCTCCTTCATGGCTGTCCGTGTCAGCACCTCTGGCGAAGTTTCCCCAATCACAACGGAGTCCTCTATTCTAATGCCCAGTCCTCTGAAATGCGCCGGCCATCTCTCCTCGTTCGACACGTAAACTCCAGGTTCGATCGTGATGCAGTGATTCTGCCGTAATCGTTCGCTCCTGGAATGACCTGGAGCGTCATGGACGTCCAGTCCAATGTAGTGCCCGACATGATGCGGAAACAGCTTATCCATAGCATCGCCAGTCACATCGAAACCCAACGACTTTAGACCATCTCGAAGCCCGTTCTCAGATATCCGATGTAGTTTGTCCAGAGTCATATTCGCATCCTCATGACAGAGCGCAACGCAGCTCTTCTGCACGTTCAAGATCATGTTATACATGTCTTTTTGCGCGTCCGTGAAACGACCGTTGACAGGCCACGTCCTCGTAATGTCCGTGATATATCCACCATACTCTCCGCCAGCATCGACAAGCACAACCTCACCCTCCTGCAGCAGAGCATCATTCCTAACATAATGTATACTTAACGCATTCTTCCCTCCCGCGATCACAGGAACATACGCCTCCCCATCAAGTCCATTACTCCTGAATCCATACGCGAGATCCGCCCAAAGCTGTTTCTCACTCGCCGGCACCCCTTTCATTGCCTCAGTAATCACACTCCCAGAAACACTGCCCGCCCTCCTCATACAATCCAGCTCCGCCTCACTCTTCTTCAACCTCAACGCATTCAGCACAGGTCTCAAAGGCCTGACACTCGCAGCCTGCAACAACTTCGCCAACCCATCAACCTTGGGCAGCGAATTCCCTGCGACGAACCGACTAAACGCACCACCTTTCATCACACTCCCGCCTATATCCGTAAACACCTCCTTAGCACTCGCGAGAATCTCAGGCATCACGTTCCCAATATTCTCAACATCCCCTGCTTCATCCGCATTAAACACATCTTGCGCCGCTTGAACTCCCGACCTCGCTCCATCCCATAATTCTGCTCTTTCGTCTTTCGGTCGCACGTACAGGTGAAACGTGTATTCTACATCGCTTTGTCCCTTTTCGATGACTGCGACGGCTTCGGGCTCATTGAAGCCTGTGAGGTAGAAGAAGTTGGGATCTTGGTGGAATTCGTAGAAGACTGCGCCGGAACGGAATTTCGTGTTGGCGGAGGCGAGGATGGCGACGCTGTTTCGTGGGAGTTTGCGGGCGAGAGCTGCGCGACGGTGATGGTATTCTAGAGCTGAGATTCCTGGGGTGAGGTGGCCGGGTGCGATTATGTGCGGGTGTGTTTCGTGGAGTGGCTGGCCGAATTGGATTTCTGAGGCGGAGACGATTTCGTGAGGCTTTCGTGAGGATGTGCTGAAGAAGGAAGGTCTGCTGCGGAATGTGGGTGATGGTCGTTGTATTACCCGTAATCGCGGCACGAGTGTCCTCTTCATTCTGGATGGTAGAGGGGTGTGATGTGAATGGGATCGGCAGAGAAGATGTGGAGTGATATATAGTGTATGGGCCGGAGCATCGGCACGCGACTGAGTCTAACTTTTGTGTCTTCTTGGTGTACTGTAGTCGCCTGCTCACACTGCAACGCTATTATTGAAAATATCTACGTCGCATATGAGAGTGCAGCGACTTGATATTATGGAGTGTTCGCGTGATCTCTCAACAGATCTCGGACGACCCACTCTTTTAGAGTGCCGTACATAACCGCTGCCGCCCGGCCTTCTCACCTTCAAGGAAACCATGCCGATCGGACGCCAATCCATCAACCTTCTGACGCTCTCAAACGATCAATATTGTCTCTTCTTGTCTGTCCTCGAGGTTATGCCTTCGCGCTCGGCATCTTGACATCTCCAATGATTGGACGTAATAGCTCTGGCACAATTGTTCCAGCATCGCCTTTGAAGAACCAGTCACCAGGCTCCCAGCCGCCGGCTGGAGCATCATTCTCGTCCATGTTCACAACACAGACTCTGGCCCCCGTCATTCTCGCACGTGAGATGTTGCCTGCTGCCGGATATACCTTAGCTGAGGTACCAATAACCATAATCAAATCCACATCTCCCGCATCGAAGTAATCATCAACATTCGCGAGGACTTGAGTAGGAAGCTGTTCTCCAAACCAGACAACACCAGGTCTGAGCAAGTCATTGCATCTAGGGCACTGGGGAAGATCTTCAAGTGGGATGTCGGCAATTTTGATAGAAGCATCGCTAATATCAAGCTCTTTGCCTTTCTTGCCTTTGCCCAATGCTTTGTTTGTCGTTGGGTCATGACCATCATGTGGGATGTCGAGAGCAGGCACAATTGGGTCCACGAAGTTCTCTTCCTGGTATTCACAGGCTTTGTTGTTGCACTTGACTTCAAAAAGCGTGCCGTGGAGGAGTTGTAATTGTTCTCTGGGATGATTCGCTCGTTGACTCAGTCCATCAACATTCTGGCTGAGGTGTTGAAAGCCCGGTAGTCGACGAGCGAGCTGGGCGAGAGCGTAGTGGGCAGCATTTGGATCTGCTTGCATGGCCTTGTGGCGACGGTAGCTGTAGAATCTCCAGACTAATGCCGGGTCCCGATTGAAGGCACCGGGAGTAGCGAGGGAGGTGGCATCGTGCGAGCGCCAAAGACCGCCAGCGCCACGAAAAGTAGCCAGACCAGATGCTGCTGACAGTCCTGCTCCTGACAGAGCAATCACTCGCTGGGTGTCCGTCAGTCCTCATGACTGTGCGGCATTCTGAATTGCCTGACAAACCTTGCACCCGACCAGGTACTCGTGGAACTGAGCGACAGCTCTGTCGCCTTTAGCAGAGCCATCTGATGCCATGATTGGTGCTGTGAAGCTGTGGTTGAGTCGTTTCCAGCTCTCAGAAAGTGAGACAAAAGGTAGAAGTTTGGAAATGCTACCTCTATATGGCGGGGAGGGGGAAAACAGCACATTCTGTCGCTCCAGTGACCGCGTCCATGACCAATGCGCCGAGTGCATGGACGATGGAGCTCCCAGGTGTGTTACACTGTCTGCGAAGCTTCAAAGCCAACGTCGGAGCCCGGGCCGATCCACAACGCAGCGTGCTTGTTGCATCTCGACTTCGTTTCTTGACGCGACGTTGATGCGGCGTATCCGTTTGCTGCGCCCCAACATTGCTAATTTGCTATCCGTATGCTGTGCCGGCCAGGAAAGCATGTGGTTGGGCTGGGGTGATTCACCGCGATGGAGGCTGACTGGAACGAGGCGGCCAGGCTGAGGCTCCCCGGACCTGCTCCCAATGCACCACCTTCGCAGCTGACAACGCTTGCTTTCGATCCCGTCCAGGAGCTGCTGTGGACCGGCAACGAATATGTGAGTCTCGAGACTACTCTGAAATTCCTTCAACTGTGTCGAGAGTCCATTTCCTAACTACGCAAACACGAGCGCTGCGCCATTCTGATCGTCCTACAGGGACGCATTACTTCATTCTACGGCGCCGAGTTGCAGCGATATACATCGTATCGCGGACATGTCAGCACGGCGCCACGCGGTGCTCCCGGCAATGCCCACGTCCAGCAATTTCTATTCTGCGAGAAGGGCGTGGTGTCCGTTTCGGCCCGGAGCATTCATTTATCCTCCCGGAGAGGATTGGCGCAATGGCATGTTGCTCAGCCTGCCATGAGCGACTTGCAATGCATGAGTTTCACGACCCGTGATGCTACAGAGTTGATCGTGGCCGGCTGTCAAGCTCAACTGTATCGCATTGACGTGGAAAAGGGGACGATCCTGGACACGCTCACTCCACAACCCCCGGCCATGTACAAAATGATGAAGCTCGCAGGTCAATACATATGCGCTGCGACTGCTGATGGCGCTATTCATCTTCTCGACTCCAAGACTCTGGCTCTCCTTCACAGCTGGAAGGCCTACGCTGGCTCGGTCAACAGCATGGACGCCAGAGGCGACTATCTCTTGACTTGTGGCTGGGCCCAAATGCAATACCAAGGACTATCGCTTGAACGCTTAGTTCGAGTCTACGACTTGAAAGCACAGAGACCTGCGCCACCAGTGCCATTCCCGCTCGGCGCTGCTTTCGTGCGCATGCATCCTAAGTTGACTTCCACGTGTATCGTCGTATCCCAGAATGGACTCATACATTCGATCGATATCCAAAATCCAGACATGCCGACCATGCGCTATGTGCAGTCTTTCGAAGACAAGTTCCTCGGAGTGGAACTTATGCCCTCTGGCAAGGGCTTTGCTTTGCAAGACAGTAATGACCAAGTGGTGCTGTATGGCTCACCTTCCAAGTTACATTTCACTGAGTATAGCCAATCGACAGAGTTCGCCGACCCGATGGACAGCCACAAATCACTGGATTGGTCAGACCAGATACCTCTCAACACCATTGGAATGCCGTACTATCGCGAAGCCCTCCTATCCAGCTGGCCTAACAGTCTACTGCATCAGGTGGGTATGCCACCTCCTCGAATCGAGATGGATGCATCTTTTCGCCCATTCGAGTACGGCAGAGTTGGCTTGAATTCGAAGACTGGGCGCCGATACGAGGCGCCTGATATCAAGGCCCAGCAGAAGAGTGCAGATGTCATGGTCGGTCCCAAGTTCCTGAGTGAGAAGCCGAGAGACGAAGGTGCGAACGGCGACGCCCGTCGACGCATGAGTGAAGACCTTCTCAACGCCATGACGAAAATGAAGCTCGATGGTAAAGCAGGCACTGACACGAGACTCCTGTATCGTGTAGTGGAGATCAAATACAGCCGATTCGGGGTTGAGGATTTCGACTTCCGCTATTTCAACAAGACGAGTTTTGCTGGACTGGAAACTCATATTGTCAATTCTTACGCCAATCCTCTTCTGCAAATTCTTCGCTTCACCAACACAACTCGAAATCTAGCGCTTCTGCACACAGCCCGGAACTGCAGCGCAGAAGATTGCTTGTTCTGCGAACTCGGTTTCTTAATCGACATGCTCGAGAAAGCACAAGGGCTGAATTGCCAAGCAACAAACTTTCTCAAATCCATCAGCAGGCAACCGGACGCTCAGGCACAAAACGTGCTGGAATCGTCTGTGTCGAATGTCCCATTGACTATGATGGTGCAGAACTTGAACCGGTATCTCCTGCAGAAGTTGGAGGATAATTTCAAGTTCGCAACGCCTTCCCATTTGAACCACTTCCATTACGCATTCGGCACCACCGGTCTCGATTTCACACGCTGTGCACACTGCAGCTATGAGAGCCGAAACGACAGAGTCTGGTTCACGCACGACCTCGTGTATCCACCAAGAAATGCAAAGCATCGCGGCTCGAACAACATGCGAACATTCTTCTCGCAGGTACTCAAGGCGTCCATCGAGAGACAGAATCAGCATCGGGGCTGGTGTTTGAGATGTAATGGTTACAAGGCCATGACTTCTCATCGTGCGATACATGCGCTTCCCGCAGTCCTTATGCTAAACGCCGCAGCCAACACCTCTGACGCTAAACAGCTTTGGGACACACCCGGCTTTCTCCCTAGGGAAATTGGAGTGATTGTCAACAACGGCAGATTCTTTTGCTATGAGGGACAGGATTTGCAGCTTCACCTCCAACGAGGACAGTATAACATCACAGTCTACCAACTGGTGGGAGTTATCAACGACGTGAAGCCTGAAGAGTCAGAGAAACCTCATCTGGTAGCTTCCATCGACGTCGGCATGGCAGATCCTGATCCAACGCAAAGCGGCAACTGGCATCTGTTCAACGACTTCTTGGTCCACAAGCTGCCGACGGATGAAGCGTTACGTTTCAATTCACAGTGGAAACTTCCGTCGGTAATCACATATCAGATCAAGTTGATGTCCCATCAGATCGACGACAGCTGGAAGCACGAGATGGACACCCGCATCTTGTACGACAGCCCGACACAACCAGCGCTCTCCCCAGACTACTGCTTCCGAGCACTATCTGACAATGAGCCACTGCCAAACGAGAGCTCCCACGTCGCGATTGATGCCGAATTTGTGCGGCTGCTGCGGGAAGAGATTGACGTCGGCGCTGATGGAACACGAACGATGACAAGACCCGCGCGACTGGGCTTGGCAAGAGTATCGGTTCTGCGAGGCGATGGCCTTGACCAAGAATTGCCATTTATCGACGACTACATCGCGGTCGACGAGCCGATCGATGACTATCTGACGCAATACTCAGGTCTGCGTACAGGCGACTTGAATCCTGAAACCACACACTTCCAGCTTGTCAGTCTAAAGCAGACCTACAAAAAGCTCTGGATCCTTCTGAACTTGGGCTGCAAATTCATCGGCCATGGCTTATCATCAGACTTCCGGTAAGGACATATCGCCTCTCGAAGATCGAAAGCTTACTGACCATCTATCTAGCACGATCAACATCCACGTCCCCGAATCCCAAGTCATCGACACCCAAGACCTCTTCTCCCTCAAATCTCGCACCCGACGAAAACTCTCCCTACGCTTCCTGGCCTGGGTGATCCTCAAATCCGACATTCAAGCCAATTCAGGCATGGGACATGACAGTATTGAAGATGCCCGAACGGCGTTGAGACTCTGGCGGAAATACTTGGAGTACGACAGTGCCGGGGTCCTTGAGCAGATGATGGATGAGGTGTACAACACAGGAAGGAGTCTAGATTTCAAGCCACCGAGTGATCGTAAACAGCCTGATACGCCTACGCCTACGGCTAGTGCGCCTGGGACGCCGTCTAGAGTGGCAGTGAGACTGGCGACACCTGCGCGGAGTGATTTTGGAAGTCCGCAGAAGCGGTTGAGTTGACTGATGCGAATGAAAGAAGGGCCGGGCAGGATCAAATGAAGCTGGAAGGACAGACAGCAACAGTTCGTTTGGTCATCGTGGAAGTGACAACAAATTCTAGTCCTAGGGGGAAAAAGTGGCAGCAACAGACACTTACTCATTGATCTCTGACGGCATTCGTATCATATGTCCCTCAAGCAGCCGTTAATCAACAATTACAAGTGTATGACAACTTCCTCTTCTTCTTCAAGACAGCTATCACGATCGAGTTATATTTGAACATCGAAAGATACTGCCACTATACCGGTTACGCACCACCAAAGCAGCCAGTCACTGAACTGTACATGTATCATGTCAAGAGAATAAGATAAGGTAAAGTCCTCTTGAGATCCAGCAGATGCGCATCTCGCTCTGAATTCCACTAACATCTTTCTATTATAAATAGGGAGGACAGCGAGCCGGGCACTTACTAATACCTTCTGAAACCATCGAAAGTCATACAATAGCTAGCAATCGACCCGGAAAAATCATGAAATATCACTCACTTCAACAAGACGCAACAAAACCCTTGAACCGTGATTTCTTGATTTCATCATCTCTCTCCATCGACCGAAAAAAAATATTTTCCCCAAGTCTTTCTCTTTCATTCTCTTATCATCTCTCTCTCTCTAATGCCTTGCCTAACTTAGCACTGATCGCTTCCATTCATTCATCCTTCATCCAAGAAAAAAAAAAAATCGTGCATGCGGCGCACGTCCAATGCCATGCATGGTATATCAAAAAAAAAATCACCTCTTTCATCAAGTACCACACCTCAAAAACGTCAATGATCTGTCTGTCTATTGCACAACCGGCCCAGCCTGAATCGTCTCCGGCGTAGCCTCATCTTGATATTTCTTGAAATTCTCTTGGAAAAGTTCCGCAAGCTTGGTAACTCTAAAGCAAAAGAAAAAGTGACCATGTCAGTAAATGCAGTTGAAAGTATGAAAAGGCGTAGAAAAGAGGAACTTACTCGTCTCCAAAATCCGCAGTTCCAGTCCAACCCTTCTTTGGATTGAGGAGTTCGTCGGGGACATTGGAACATTGCTTTGGTACGGAAAGGTTGAAAACGTCATATGTTTCGTACTCGGCTTTTGCGAGTTCGCCGCTGTGGATGGCGTCGAGGATGGCACGGGTGTATTTGAGTGGGCAACGTTTGCCGCCGGTGGTGGCACCCGCGCCAGTCCAGCCGGTGTTGAGGAGCCAGGCGTTGGCGTTGTGGTGTTCGATCTTGTCTGCCAACATCTTTGCGTAGCGCATTGGGTGGAGGGCGAGGAAGGGTTGTGCGAAGCAGGAGGAGAAGGTTGCTTGTGGTTCTGTGACGCCTTGTTCGGTGCCTGCCATCTTGGAAGTGTAGCCGGAAATGAAATGGTACATGGTTTGGGCCGAGTTGAGTTTTGAGATTGGTGGGAGGACACCGCGAGCGTCGCAAGTGAGGAGGATGATGTTTGATGGGTGGTTGGTGGAGATGCAAGGGATCTTGGTGTTCTCGATGTACTCGATTGGGTAGGCGCAGCGGGTGTTCTCGGTAAGAGTGGTGTCGTCGTAGTCTACAACACGAGATACTGGGTCAAAGACGACGTTCTCGAGGATCGAACCGAATTTGATGGCGTTGAAGATGTCGGGCTCCTTCTCGGCGGACAGACCAATGCACTTGGCGTAGCATCCACCTTCGATGTTGAAGACACCTCGATCACTCCAGCAGTGCTCATCATCACCGATCAAGGCACGCTTGGGATCTGCGGATAGCGTGGTCTTTCCCGTTCCCGAGAGGCCGAAAAAGACAGTCACATCGCCGTCCTTGCCTTCGTTTGCGGAAGAGTGCAGAGTCAGGACGTTGTGCTTGACTGGCATCTCGTAGAAGAGGACGGTGAAGATTCCTTTTTTCATCTCACCTAGCGGAAGAATCAGCATCGAGAATTAGACAATGCCTCATGAGAATGATACTCACCAGCATACTCAGTACCAAGAATAACCATCTCCTTCTCCTGAAAGTTGATAGAAACCGAAGTATTCGACGTCATCGAAGTCGTATATCGATTAGCCGGGAAAGCCCCAGCATTGTAAATAACATAATCCGGATGAAAGTGCTCGAGCTCTTTGCGTGACGGGCGGATAAGCATGTTGTACATGAAGAGCGCATGGTAAGCACGAGCACAGACGACTCGCACATTGATGCGGTAGCGCTCATCCCAGCCAGCATATCCGTCGATAACGTAGATGCGGTTTCGCGTGTTGAGATAGTCGACGGCGCGTTCGCGGTTGATTCTCCAGACCTGTGCCAATGCCAATGTCAGTCACGTGCATGTCAACCATTCACTCGGGACTGGCGCCACGCGACTCGTGCCCGGTCTGGTCCGACAATGCGGGGCTCCAGAGCCGAGATCAGAGTTCGCAGGGCCCAGGAGGCGGCTAACAGCTCGGCTATGCGAGGGCCATGACGTTACAGCACAACCCCGCCAAAGCAACCCACGAAACGCGTTTGCGTGCATCTTTCTGTTTCATTGCGTGGAGCGAGGCAACGTGCGCGGGTGTAGACGCAGACAGGAGGCGAGGTGTAGCAGATACTGACCTCTGGCGTCATGGGCTTGTTGACTGGTCCCCACCAGACCTCGCTCTCTGACCCTTCCTCCTTCACGATTCGCTTGTCCGAGGGCGAACGGCCGGTCTTGGCTCCGGAGTATGCAGACAGGGCACCGGTCGATGTGATGGCGGAGCCGGTCTCGTAGACCAAGGCATCTTCGTAGAGGGCGGCGACCGAGGGGTTGGCAATCTGTCGGACGTTTGGTCAGCAATGGAGGCGTCGACTTGCCGAGGAAGTGCTGCACTCCGGGTCGCGACTTACAATGGCCACGCGATCGTAGTCGATGTGCGCTCGGTCGTGCAGTTCTTCTTCCAATTCGGTGTGCTCGTGCTTGGGCCTGTGAGGGAGTGAGACGTTGGTATTGCTGCAATCATGTGTTCAGGGCCAACCTACTCGACACCACCAGGGTGCAGAGCCGTCTTGTTGACTCGTTCAGCGACCATTGTGCGTGTGGACCTCTTCAATGAGGGCGAGTGAAAGTTGCTCTGTTGCTGCTTGGGGATGCTCTCTTGGACAAAGGCGTTGGAGGCGTCTGGAAGAGCAGGAGAGATGTCTCGAACAGGAGCGGCTGCTCTGCCACTTATAGTGCCTGGGTTAGATTGGAACATTATTTGCGTCGGAACACTTCCTTGCGAGCTATACGGCAGTCGAGCTATCCTCATCCTAGCATTACCCCATTGAAAGCCGTGATTGGGCGCTGCTCCGGTCGCAAGGCGTGGTTTTGCTCGTTCGGGAACTTTCGGAGACGCCTGGGGAACAATGTCTGGAGAACGGCTAACGAACCAACGATGCGGGCATCAGTCGCTTTGCGAACGACAACTCGCTCTCTGCATGCCGATAGAAGTTGCCCTCGTTTCGAGCTTCTTAGTCAACGGACGTCATTCCACATTCAGCAGCCGAGGGCAAAGAGACGAGACGTATCCTTACAAAACCTAGCCTAGAGCTTCTCTGCCAAACGTCATGCTCGAGCGAAGAGCAGGACGTGGACGAGTGCACGCATCTCAGATCAGACTACAGCTGACGTCTCTGCCACTTAGTGTAAGAAGAGTCGCACCAGATGCAGATGGATGCTGTGATCAAGAGACGCAGGAACATCAAGAACACAGCCAGATCTGGCTCAGACTAATATTACGTAAGGACTGTGAAAAGAAGGAAGTGTGTTCCCACGAGTGATGACGCGTATTGGTATGAATTATGTTCGTACACGCTTATCTCAGGATTCTGGAGAAGACGACCGCCAACAATGACAATACTAAAATCCTTCGCCACAGGTACTTCTTCCCAAGCGCTCCATGCACCGCTCCAATGCAAACCAGTCAATGCGCGTTAACAATACTGAACACACTGATCCAAAATTTCCCAATATGCACACACACACACAAAAAAAAAACAGGAACCGCGTCGGCATGCTCGTCAAGTCGTGCGGCAATAGATCTCTGTGCTGTTGCTGTCGTTTCAAGCTGCTGTTGTCGACATTCTAAAGGCGAAGAGCTGAAGCACGTGGAGTGTACTCATACTGTGTAGCATTAGGTTTATCAGGCGTCATTCATTTCAGTAGCAGATTCTGTTTCCAACTCTGCTCCGAAGTCTTTGCGGGAGCTGTAAGTCTGTCACTGGTAGGCTCTTCGCATATGCTCGATCCCGCTTCATCTCAAGGGTCCGGGTTTTGCAGCTTCTCTTGTTCACTCGGAAGCCGATTCTGCTCCGCTGTCTGTCGGCTCTCGCCTTCTTCTTTTGCTTGAGCGTCATCGATGGCCGCTGCGACCTTCACTCCTTTCGCAGGAGCAGTAGTTGGGGGCAGTTGGCTAGGGGTTGTATCTGCTTGGAGCATGTCCTTTTGGGCTTCATCGAACCATCCCCCTCGTTCCCATGAGCCAGGTTTATACAGGTTTTCTATCCTGACTTGTTTGTCGACGATACCCTCCATGATCTCTTGAAGGCGCTGGAATGAAATAGGCTTCAAGATCCAGCCATCGAAGCCTCCGTCAATGTAATGTGGTCGGTCCCTTTCGATGAGTGATGCGGAAACAGCAATTACTGGAACCCGCCCGTTCATAGCAGCACGTTTCGAAAGCAGATCAGTGGGGTGCGACTTCTCAAAGGACCGGATCATCTTCGTCGAGGTGAGCCCATCAACGATTGGCATCTGTGAGTATATTAGTGCTGAAATGAGAGTAAAATATCCCAGCCTGTACATACCTGCATGTCCATCAGGACAATGTCGAAGAAGCCAACCTTATCGCAGTAGGTGCTTGAGCATTCCTCTCCATTGACGGTCAAAGTCACTTCGTGGCCCAGCTTTTCAAGTCGCTTCTTCATGATACGACTGTTGACGGGGTCGTCCTCCGCCACCAGCACATTCAGATGCGATGCATCCGGCTGATCATCAGGCTGGGCATTCAGGGGTTCGGGCAGCGTTTCGGGCGCAGCAGATGGCGCACTGATAGGCCTTTCACTGGCTGAAGCCCTTTCGCTCTTGGGTGATGCGATATAGTCTGAGATTCTCACAGGACGTATTGGCTGACCTTGATCTGCGACCGAAGTCTCACCAGGTCGCAAAGATCTGGGAGGCATCGTAGTGATTTCCATGCTCTTCACACGGGTCTTCTCTGGAGAGGCGTTGGGTCCGGCCTCGCCAGTGGTATGTCGCTTGCTGAGTCGCGGCCGTGCATGGGTCTCTGTTCGACTATTGGATTTAGAAACGCTGTTCTCATGCCAACCATCCACTCGGTGAGGCTCCTGGATGGCTTCGATAAGCCTATCAGCCTCGCTTTTCCCACTCCTGGCGGAGGCTGTGCTGAGCCCACTAGCGCCCGACCTTGCGCTCCCCAGGCTGTTTCTGCTGACGACGCTCTCAGTGCTATTCTTGCGGATCATACCCTCGGTGTGGCGATCGTCGCTCGAATCGCGCCGATTGCCGCTCCCACGCTCGATGAGGGTCATCATGTCATCTGTGGGTGGCGTGTTCGGGCCCTCCGACGCTTCAGCATGCGGTGTGGTGGAACCATGAGAGCTCGATGCTTCAAGCTGCGGCTGCTTCGGTTCTGTGACAGGCAATTCAAACGGAAACTGTATCACGAACCGTGATCCCTTTCCTTCTTCCGACTTGAGACGTAGCTGTCCATTCATGTTACGGATAACACGTGCAACAACAGCCAGCCCAAGACCTAGGGTTTTGTTCTCTTTCGGCTCTTTCGGCTCCGGCGGTGCTCGATCGGCGCTCATAGAGTCAGAAAGCATGCCTTCACTTTCCGTCTGTACTTGTTCTAGCTCGCGGAAAAGAGCATCGAGCTTCTTCGTGCTCATACCAACGCCCGTATCGGCTATGCTGATCTCAACATCAGCGTGAGACTCACTGCGTGATGTCAAGTACATGTCGACTTTCACTCCACCATCGTTCGTATTCTGAATCGCATTGGCAGTGACATTGCTGATGGCCTGACGGATTCTGCGTTGATCGCCAATGACTTGTTTTGGCAGACCGGGATGGTCGTTGATCTCGTAGTATATGTTTTTCCGCCTGGCATCTCCCTTGAACATGTCTGTAGCTTCGTAGAGAGTGGCGCTAAGATCGAAGACTTCGTCTTTGACAAGCTCGCCACCTTCTTCGGTCTTGGTTAAATCAAGGAGGTCGTTGATCACGTATATCAGCGATTTCGATGCAGAATGTGATTTCGCAAGGTTCTCTCGTGTCTCTTGGTCCAAAGAGCCTTCTAGCGCAATTTCCAGATAATTAATGATCGCATTGAGCGGTGTGCGAACTTCATGGGCAGAGTTTGCGAGGAGCAGCCGAGTCAACTGGCTGTTCTGTAATGCTGCCTCCTTCTGCCTCCACACCTCGATGAACTTTCCGTAGACGAGGCACAATACAGCAGCCGTCTCGATCTCTTCCTCAGACCATTCCCTGCATTTGCCAACCACCGTCTCGCTCCAGGTCTTGAAACTTTTGCGGGGCTCGAGATAACCTTCTGTGCCTTCTTTGATATACTTTTCGTAAGGATTGCCTGCCCACTTGACTTCTTTGAGCTGGCCTTTTCGGAAGAACACGATAAAATCCTGCCCACCCACTGAAAGAGGAACCAGAAGCAAACCGGCAATTTCGGCGAATCCAGGCGGGTATCGCAGGTCTGGAAAGTCTTCTTTGATATCTTGCGAGGTCATGACACTTGTGATGCATCGCATGCGCAAGTACTCCAACATGGCAAGTGCTTCCTGTGAATGCTCCAGATGACCCAATATCTTCGTCTCGTCTCTGATCGATAGCAGGCCAAAGTCGGCGTCGAAGAGCTTGAGCAAGTCTTCTGACGAAGCAATGATATACCCTGAGGGATTGTTTTGTGTTGGAACAGTATTGATCAGTTTCCTTGCTTGCAGGCGAGACGCGTATGACAAACGTTCAATGTTGCGAGAGGCAGAGTCACCAACCAGCCGGCACATCTTCCGGATGGGGAATGACACTCGCATGCCCTTCGAGCCGTACGAGTGACAAGCTATGAGACCCCACAGCTCCTCAAAGGCGTTGATGGAGATCGACATGGACGATCGAACGGCCATGTTGCCCAGGTACTTCAGATGGATGGGCGACATCGCTCGAAGGTAGGAATAGGTGAGATCCAATGGGGTTTCCAAAACCTCCATGGTTCGGCAGACAAGCCGGGCGGTCTCATGATCGCGGTCGTAAAGCATACGAACTTTGTTGATCTTGTAAAGCTCTCGAGCTTGTTTGGGAATGTCTGATGCTGGGAAATTGAGGCCCTTATATAAGTCCTTGGTGGCTCGAGGATCGACCAATTCCGTGACCACTCTTCCGTTCCAGGACTGATCGAATTGGTATATCATCACTCTGTGAAAGCCAGTAAGCTCTTTAACGACACCCACTAATATCTTTAGGAACTTCTCGAGATTCGTTGCGGATGCGAGCTGCTCCTGAACCTGGGACATGATATTGAAAACTTCCATGGCTGCAGCTTCGCCTTTCCGCTTCCGAGCACTTCGAAGCACACGCAAAGGCTTGCTACTGTTTTGTGTGCTTTCCAGAAATTCGCTTTCGGTCGGCCGACTGTCGAGAGTATCTTCGGGAGGCTCTGGTGTCATGTCGTTAGGTGGCACCAATGGATTCACCGGATCGTCTTCTAGCTCAAATTCGCATATGATGAGATTCGGATTGCGGTCGTTGATGTGCATGGCGCACCAGAATTTCTGATTCTTGCGCTGCGCATTTCGTATGGAAATCGTGAAGACTTCGGGTCCATTCGTAATGACATCGGCTTCCTCGTCTCGAATGAAATCTACGTGGTCCAGCAGATTGTCTGTTTGCTCCTCGGACAGGATATCTGTAAAGCTGTCGAGCGAGAAGAGCTGTCTTGGTGTAAATCCCAGCAGCCGTTTGGAATTCTCACTGACCACCTTGACCACGAGTCTGCCTTCCTGCTCCTCTTCCAATGCAATCAAGAGACCAAAGCCTTGCACGGCGCCGGGAATGTGGATTGGTTCGTCCTCACACCTTTGCAAGGTCTCTCCGTGCCTTCCTGTGATGATGGCATGCCCGCCTTCCGTTACAACATGCTTGAATCTTGCAGTCACCAAAGGTCCAGTCTCATCAATGCTGCTCTTCGTACTCCTAAACGATGGCGCTCTGGCAGAAGCAGGTCTCGTGCTGGGATTACTTTTGCCATCTAGGCTATCCGTCTCGTTGAGGATCTCGTTGATAATTTGGTGTCCGGCAGGCATTTGTGGACCTTCGGAATCCATGGACGTCGTGGTAGATGTGGATGGGTGGCGGCTCGGGGAAGCATAGGCATCCTGTCCTGCTGGAGAGGGCGTAGATTCCACGCTCACGTTCCGGACTCGCGAAGTGGATTTGGCGTGCGCTGAGTGTTCGACACCGACTGACATGCGCCGAGCGTGGGCAGCATTCTGGAAGTATCCCTCGGCCCTCTCAACCTTGGTCGTGGGCGTGGGACTAGGATCAACAGACACCACAGAGCGGATGGGAAACACGCGGTCGGCCGCCGTAGGATTAAGTTGGCCGTCGACATTGGCGGCTGGCGTGTCGCCAGTGGTGTTGACACGAGGCAGTGGCAGCGGATCGTCTTTGGAGAAATTGGGCTTGTTTGCGCGCGGTGAATGCGGTGCGTCGTGCGTGTCGTCGCCCAGACTGGAGGCACTAGAGGCGGCGGTCATCGGACTGGTCGATGAAGTCTCCTCGGTGTGACTGCTGGGCCGCCGGGCTCCGCCATCTGGCCCGGAAGACATTGGCCCAGGCGACAATGGCCGCTGCATCCCTCCTCCACGCGGCAGTATGGGGGGTTACTGTATTGGTGCTCCAGAGAGCAAGTGCCTGGTGCAGGCCTTGACAGGGATATTTCCACGCTACACTGGGTGCATCAAAATTTGCAAGCGAGCAATGACTGCACAGTGCAGAGCGTGACTTCGCCGGCCTCGCCTCTCAAAGGACCTAAAAGCCCTGGTTGGCCGCGGCTGGGTGCGAGCGTAATGGTATGCTCGGTCGCATCGGGCTAAGTCATGAGCGGCGATGAAGAGGCAGTGGCAGTGGCAGTGGCGGCGGAGGCGGAGACGTGTCTGCCAGCGGCGTGAAAGCGCGGAATTCGACAAGTTGCTCTAGCAGGGCAGATCGCTCGATCGCGGGTCCGGAGCGCTAGTCAGATGCGCGTGAGCACGAGAGAAGGGAGGCGGCGGCGGCGGCGGCGGCGTCGGCGGCGGCGGTGGTAGTTAATAGGTCAGTCAGGTCGAAGCACAATGCTGTGAGTGCGAAGTCGAGGGTTATGAATAGTTCCCGTGAGAAGGTGAGGTGGGTGTAGACGTTCGGGCAGCGCCACCGAATGTCTCAAAGGAGGTCCGAGGGGGTCAAAGGGTTGTCGTGTTTGGGGCCGTCAAATCGCTCGATGCAGTGGAGCGTGCAAATAAGGTTCGAGAAGGCCGTGTGCATGTCACAGACACAGAACAGCTCATTCATCAAGCATATTTCTGGGTGAATAATGGTATGTTGTCGTGGCCGTCGCGACTCGTGCACGCGCATGCTACGGATCCGGATCACATGCGCCACCGCCAGCGCCACCGCCAGCGACAACAACAAGGCTCTCACGTGTCACAAGCATACACACTCCACGCGGATTTCGGAGAGCGGATTCCAGGCTGCCAAGCAAGCACCACGAGATCAAGAACAAGCACTGAAGCGTGCCGTGCTGATCCAACGCCCAAACACGAATCATTCGCAGCGCAGCTGTAGCTCAAGCCAATCCGCTTCACCGCCCCTGGAGCTCACCATTTTGTGTGCGGGAAAAGTTGGTGTCAAAAAGCTGGGAGTTGATGTATGTAATGATGATGCATACATGGATGGAAGTCGGCCTGTGACCAGGGCCAGGGCCCCTGCTGCTTGTGGCTGGGTGATGTGGCTGCAGCATTTCTTGTCTCTCCCATGTGAATGCATCTTCAACCAGGACGGCCGGACCTGTGCACCTGGTTAGACCATCTTGGCGTGCTATGAACTTTGGTCAGGACCGAGAGACGCCGACGCCGACGCCGAGCCGAAGGCAGCCGAAGAACGCCACTGAACTCGTGGCGCACTAGCGACGGAAACATGGAAGCAACGGTCCGTCGCGTGAATTGCCGCGACAAGACGGAGAATCAAGAGGCGAGGCCAGCCATAGCGAAGCTGAGTCCGCGCATTCATATGATACAACCATCAAATTGCCCCGCAAGCACTTTGTCCCTTCTGTTCTTCTGACACATCACGTCGGGAGAGTACAGAACCCTACGAGCATACCTACCTTATTACCAGCTGGAGCCTTTGTCCATCTGAACCTCGTCGAGCACGCCGCAACGTAGGCACCGGTCGGCCTAGTGATTGGTCTACTCATAATAAGCCTAGCATTACCGCCTTGCATTCTTGCGCTTTTCCAATCACATCTCCTCTCATATGAATCGCCACTCGCGACCTTTGCGAGTCTTGGTCCGTTGTAACAGAAGGACCGACGGCGGAAGCGTTCATATCAGAAAACGCGATGGCACACCTGCGACGCCCGGGCAGCAGCAGTGATCGCGCCGAGATTGTGCAGCTGCATGCAGCACCCTACAATAGCACGCGCGAGCTGAATATCGTCTTTGCGAGCCTTGGCTGCACGGACAGTCGCGTAGTGAACCAACTCCTACCACGAATCACCAACCTACCCGATGTATCAGTGAAAGCGGTGCTCGATAGGGCCTTTCGAGGCCAGGACTTCATCCAGGCATCGTCGTCATGCCTGACGATACCCAACGCAACAAGGCAGTCTGCAATTCGCGATGTCGCAGAAATCGAACAAGAGGCCGCAGAATTATGCGAGTGGGCGCATCTACTAGTACTGGCACCTCTCGATGCCCACAATCTGGCCAAGATGCTGTATGGACACACGGACAACCTGGTACTGGAGTTGATAAGGAGCTGGAATGTTTCCAAGAAGATTCTGTTGCTCCCCGGCATGTCTTCGCCAATGTGGGAGAATCCCATGACCAAGAAGCAGCTCACCAAGATTCGTAGGAAATGGAACTGGGTGCAGGTGCTGCAGCCAATGCTTTGGAATTTTGTGGACGAGCGGAAGAAAGTCACCTCATGGGAAGCTGCGGACGAGCTGGTGGACGCCATCAGTAACCAGGTGGACCTCATGAACATTGGCGCTGGGCTTGATGTTGCGCCTAGTCAAAAGTCCACATTACCGCATGGGATAAGAAGGCCTGGAAGCTTGCTCCCGCCTGAGCTTTGGACCATGATCCTCGATTTCACTAACGACTGGGAACTAGCACAGACGCTGCACATCTATACGAATCTACCGCCGCCTGAAGCCTGGACATCTCACATGAAATCGAAAGGGCCGCTTGGGTACATGGAGGAACTCGAACTAACACTTCTCCGTGGTGATTTGGCGGATGTGAAGCACTTCGTAGCTCAGCGCAGTGTACCACGATGGCTCTCGAAACTCTCCGTGAAGCTAATTATGCGCTTTGCGATGACTGACCTCTTAGCCCACTTGGAGGCGAACCACAAGGATCTATTCTGGGCTGCGTTTGGTCACGCATTCCTCCCTGTCAAGGCCTCAGCTGTCTTTGGCCGCACCGAAATTCTAGAATTCTGGCGAACATCCCCGTCCTTCTTGACTAAGGAATACGACGCCGAAGCGCTGGATGGAGCATCGCGAGCGGGATTCATGAACGTGCTGGAATGGTGGCAGCACTCTGGTCTACCCTTGAAGTTTACTGAATCTGCGCTTGAGCAAGCCAGTGGCCAAGGTCATGTTCAGGTGCTCGAATGGTGGAAGGCACAATCTACTGCTGTCGACGATACGAATGCCAGCGTGGACTCGTCCAAAGTGCGACTGAAACCCGGCAAAAGCATCTGCTATGCGACACAGAATGGTCATGCAGATGTCGTTCGCTGGTGGGTACAATCCGGTATCGCATTTCCACACGAGGATACAGTTGCCAAACTTGCCAGTACGCACGGCCATGTTGAAGTGCTGCGAACCTGGCATGAGCTAAAGGGTTCGAAAATGATCTTCGACAATCAGGTCCTCGTTGGAGCTACGAAAAGTGGCAATGTCAAAGTACTGGAGTGGTGGAAACAGTCTGGCTTGAAAGTCGAATACAAGACCTGCGATGTGGAAGAAGCGCTCGAGGATGGCCATGAAGGCGAACGTGGCATGGAAGTACGCAGATGGTGGGCGAGAAATGGCCTCAATCTGGGCGTCGGGACGAGCGAGTGGATGAAGACCAAACTGTTGAATTCTTGAGAGCAATTTCAGCGAGCGTGGTGTTTGGGTTATCAATGGCTGCTGTGGGTATCAAGAATGGACTCATGCATAGGATCTGGCGTTGTTGCTATCACGCGTTGTTGCTATGCTAAGGTGATGTTCGATAGATCGTAGAGATAAACCTAATTGTGCCAGACATATCTTCTTCATTCTGCGAAGGCCCTGACCTGTGTACAGCACGATTAAGCGAGATGGCGGACGGCGGTGATCCCTGGAAACGGGATCTAACTGGTCAAAGCTAGCGTACTGCCTAAAGGAATTATCCGTACCTTTAAAAAGTCTACGTCTAACGCTTTCAAGCTAGCTGCCGTTTACGGGGATTACCCCCGTCCGCCATCTCGCTTAATCGTGCTGTATTGGAGGAACCAGGCTGCGTGCCACGTGCACATGAAAAGAGGTCCTCGCTCACTCCCGACTCCGCTCACCTTGATGGCCCTCTCTCTACCTTGACCTTGCTTGACCTTCCACCACACCTCCTCCCACGAAAACGCAACCCCTTTCAAAAATGTCCACCGTCCTTCTGGAAACAACAATGGGCCCCATAACCCTCGAACTTTACGTTCAACACGCCCCGAAAACCTGTCAAAATTTCAAAACCCTCGCCAGCAGAAATTACTACAACAACACGATTTTCCATCGCATAATCTCAGATTTCATGATTCAAGGTGGTGACCCCACAGGTACGGGAAGAGGTGGGGAAAGTATTTGGGGGGAAAAGTTTGAGGATGAGATTCGGGGGGATTTGAAACATACTGGTGCTGGTGAGTGGAAAGAACGAGAAAGAGGGAGAGAGGGGGGCTATTGGGTGTGCTGACGCGCGATATTATCTAGGGATCCTGAGTATGGCTAACTCCGGACCGAATACGAATGGGTCACAGTTCTTCATTACGCTTGCGCCTACGCCTTGGTTGGATGGGAAACATACGATTTTTGGGAGGGTTCAGAGTGGGATGAGGGTAAGGAAGCGAGGGATAACTTGCAAGCAACCCCGATGTCTGAGACTTTTGCTGACCTTTGAGTTATTACTCTTACAGGTGGTACAGCGCATGGGGCTTGTTAAGACTGGAGCTGAGGATAGACCGGAAGAGGAGGTCAGGATTGTGTCTGCTAAGGTGGTGCAAGAGCAGGATTGAAGGAATTGAGCACAATTCGCTAGGTTATCTGGCTACATTTTACGCCTACGCCTACGAGAGAGGACCATTCGGATGCAACAACACTTTCGAGAATCCTTCGATACGCTTGTCGAACTTGTCGTATGCCATTGGTGCATCTTCGAGACCGAGTTCGTGGGATACGACGAAGGATGGCTTTGCGCGGCCACTGATAATCAGGTCGCGGAGGTATCGATTGTACGCTTTCACGTTACACTGGCCGGTACCTGCAAGAGAAGTCAGAGATAGTGGAGTTGCAGAAGTGGATGAAAGCCTACCGAGCGACAGTCCCTTCTCGAACAGCTTTCCGAAACTTAGCAGGATCTGGCCTTTCCCTGACTGCGCGTCTGGTGCGCCTGGGTCGCTGGGCACATAGAGACCTACAAGAGGAGAAAGGAACATCAGCATTGATCATGCGAATAATTGAAGAGATATTAGTCTCTCACCTGGGATTCCGAGACCTCCAGTGGGACGAGTGACCATGATCAGTTGGTCGAGAACGATGTTTGGCTGTTCCTTGTTTCCGCCCTTGTCGACTGCCTGGTACCCAACAGCATCAACCGCGCGATCAACCATGCCACCATTCTTCTTGATGACTGTCAAATTTCTTAGCATGGCCTGCTCACCACATCAGAATGGGTTTGCTTACTCTGCTCGACTGGGTCGCCGTCACGGAAGTTGACAGGGATGCAGCCAATCTTTACCGCCTGGTCTAATCGCTCCTTGACTTGGTCGACGACGAACACATTAGACGCGCCACGGATCACCGCCGAATATGCAGCCACTGTTGCACTGGTCAATGTAACATCCGGGACGACCTGCCCTTTCAGAAGCAGACTCACTCAATCCAACAGGACCAGCACCGAAGACCGCGACGGACTCTCCAGGCTTGAATCCACTGAGGACCAGACCGTGCCAGCCGGTTGGGAAAATATCTGCTAGGAGGGCAAAGTCCGCTTCGTTCTCAGTTCCTGGAGGCAATTTCAGGCCGTTGAAATCAGCATATGGGACTCTCAGGTATTGAGCTTGGCCACCTTGATATGGACCCATGGCCACATATCCGTATGCTCCCTGCGATCGGATCAGTGTTCTGGCGCTTCGTGAGCAGCTCCCGACTATTCCCGGAATGCTGCTCCCATCTTTCGCTTGATTGTACTCACGCCCGCAAATCCCGGATTGACGCCTGTACAGAATGCCGTCTTGCCCTCCTCGCAGTTTTGACATCTTCCATCGGCCACATTGAATGGTAGGACGATTCGATCTCCTTTCTTCAAGAGGGTCACCCCGGGACCGACTTCGGTGATAATGCCCATGTTCTCATGTCTGCAAGATAAGTCAACATTGGAATAAGTCGAAGCATTGTCGACCATGCAATACCCAAAGACGAGACCAGACTCTGCTGCCGTTCTCCCTTCGTACATCTACACCCTGGTCAGTTCTGCATTGTCATTCGGAGCCGGAAACGCACATGAAGATCCGAACCACAAATGCAGGTGGTTGTGACCTTGATGATCGCATCATCTGGATGCTGGATCTTAGGCATGTCAATCTCTTTGACCGAGACCTTAAAAGGTCCGTCGTAGTGCAATGCCTTCATCTTTCCGTCGGCCATATTTGCGGGCTGTAAGTGGCGATTTCCAATGCTCTTCTCGAGTAACTTTTTGAGGATCGATCGATCTGTTTAATAGGATACCGACAACTCGATCGAAACTTGCAAGAGATGCAGAACAAAAACCCCTCGCTACGTTTGTTTATATTACGACGCCGTTCAAGCGGGGTCGACAGGTCGACATCGAGCTCTCTCCGCGTCGCTTGCGCGGGGAGCAAAATGAACGGCACTACCTCTACCTCCTCGTCATTCCCAAGACCAAACACCCCTTTGGCACCGCGTCAAATAGCCTGTACTCCGCCGCTGCAAGTCCACAACAGGCCTGGTGTCGGCATTGACGGTACTGCATCAAGCAAGGGCAGCAGTGAGGACGACCGGATCCAACAAAGGCTAGAACTTCAATCATGTGGAGATGCAGCAGCATTGGAGCTCATGGCAAACTCCCGGCAACGCGTTTCCTGCAAGACTGCAATCGATTTCGCGAGTCACGTGGAGCTCTAACACAGCCTCTCTTCTGGCACTCAATGCTGAAACCAACCCTCAACATCCCATCATCAACAACCCGACCATCCTCCTCCACCTATGGCCCACCACCAATCCCTCCCGGCGTCAGCCACTCCATCCAATCCCACCCCACCCCAAACTCCCAAATCGCAACAATCCAAATCTCCAACCCCTCCAAACTAAACATCCTCACCACCTCCCTCCTCACCCAACTAACCCAAACCTGCCACACTCTCTCCACCAACCCCAACCTCCGCGCCGTAATCCTCACAACCTCACCCCCACCCCCAGGAAAACCTCCGTCCTTCATCGCCGGCGCCGACATCAAAGAAATGTCCACCCTCTCTTCTTCCACAGAAGCTCGAACTTTCATCATAAAAATCCACGAAACCTGCACCGCCCTCCGAAAAATCCCTGTGCCTGTGATCGCGAAAATCCATGGGTTATGTTTCGGCGCAGGTTTAGAAATTGCAGCGAGTTGTGATTTTCGAATCGCAACGAGAAATTCCGTGTTCGCGATGCCGGAAGTTCAAGTGGGGATTCCGAGTGTGGTGGAGGCGGCGTTGTTGCCTTTGCTGATTGGGATGGGGAGGACGAGGAGGTTGGTTTTCTTAGGGGAACATGTGAATGCGGAAGAGGCGGAGAGGTGGGGGTTGATTGAGAGGGTTGTGGAGGCGGAGGGGGAGTTGGATGAGGTTGTCGGGGAGTGGGTTGCGAGGATTTGTGGGATGGGGCCCCAGGCTGTGAGGAGGCAGAAGGTGTTGATTAGGGAGTGGGAGAGGGGGTTTGGGGTTGAGGAGGGGATTGAAGAGGGTGTGGAGGCTTTTGCTGGGGCTTTTGAGGATGGGGGGTTGGAGCCGAGGGAATTTATGGGGAGGTTTTTGGGGAGGCGGAGGGCGTAGGGCGGTGGCGAGCGTTCTTGATAGATGTGGTTCTGGTCGGAGATGCCGGGAAGATGCCGTTGTAAGTGAGTATCTCGCACCATTCTCCTTCCTTCCAATTTCCGATTCAAGCTGTTATGGGTTGCCTTTATAGACTCGGAGCCAGGAAGACGTTTGAAATAACAGCAAGACGAAGGCTGGTGGAGACTATTGGCTGCTCTGACGAAGAAGATTTATGTGCAATGTTGCTCGACCTCACCGAATACATATAGCAGGCCCGGCCGTCTTTACCTGCAGAAAGGATCAGTTCTGTGCGGCGAGATACTATCGCCAGGATGCTCGATCTCATGCGCGAGCTGACCGAAGTGCTCCTGGTCATTGACGAGAAGCCGACGCGCCAGCTTGATGGGACCGCACAGATGCGAATCCATGATACTGGGGTCTATCACTTTCTGTCTGGCTCGTGCTGGTCTCTGGCCGATACCGGATGTGAACGAGAGCATGCTGACGCCACATCGGGTTCTCGCAAACATCGTCGTTCATGACATGGGAGGGGGTAGAGAGCAATGGCTCTGATGGCAGCGAGTGCGGTCCTGGAGAAATCGTAATGGAGAGGCTGAAGCGCATGTTGCTTGGTTGATATGGAGGAGCCAGTACACGAAAGTGATAGATCATGCTCGGCGTGTTCGTGCGCCTGGAAGAGCATTGTAGATCTCGATTGCCGCATAGGATTGTTTGTTGCTGTTTCGTTGCTGTTGGCAGTCCTCAAATTTCAGGAAGGAGCCACCTCTGATCACCGACCGAGGACATTGTTCGTGGAGACGCGTTGTATGGTATCAAGCGTCATATACCATACCATTCCGCGGAGCAGGCTCTTTTCGAGCAGTCTGGCTTTGCTCCAGACCCTTGAAGACGTATTGATAAGTCCGAACAGCGTCGTGGCATGATGCCTGTAATGTCTGATGAAAGCACAACAAACAAAGGGTCTACAAGTCCTCCGTGAATACGGTGATTCGGTGAACGACGAGCTCAGGTACCCATGTCCTTGGCACCTTATGTGGCGTGCACAGCCTCGATAGTGAGGAAAGATCAAGATCAAGATCAGATTTATCATTACCCGCCATCGGACGTGGCATTGCACCTTCACCTTCACATCACATCAGTGCCAATCGTGGAATGCGCGGTGTGCTTACAGATCTCGTCATTCTCAGGAATCGGGTGACGATTTCGGCTCCAGTTCCAGTTGACGTTACGCCTCAGGGACAGCCTAGCCTCCCGCCTCCCAGTTCGTCATCGGCTGGCCAGGCTAACTCCGTTCTCTCTGGCGCCTTGTCGATCAGAGGTCTGTATTTGTCTTTCGAGAATGCATGAACGATAATAACACTGCAGCATTATGATACTTCTACCTTCCGCGATCAGGCCGCGATGGACGGTCAAATATGTCCTGGTCTCTGCCGTGTCACTCTACGCCAGCTACTGTCTACTCGCCGGAATGCCCTTCCTCTCCCATCCTCTGCCTCGCTACTCTGGCGAATATGACGTTGGCACTATTGACATAGAGGCCCCCTGCCAGAGGCGAACTCTCGGCAATGCCACCTTCAAGGACAGTGGAAGACCCGCTTTCGAGCTGGAGACTGTCCTCTTCTCATTGTACTATCCGGCAGTGAAAGGTTCTGTCTCTCGGCTTGCACACCACCCCTGGGTACCGAAGCCCATCGCATTACAGGGTGAAGGGTATGCGCGATTCGCAAAGATCAACAATGCCCTTACGAACAATGTCTTCACCTTTGCGCTTTGGATGCTGGCTGGAAGCACGACCATACCTGCGAGTGTGGACGTGCCGATTCACGGTACAGTCAAGACCTACCACGATTACATCGCTGAGCAGCCACTGGACAACTACGGCCTTCCACGATTCCCAGTCATTGTCTTCAGCCATGGCATGGCCTCGAGTCGTACCAGCTACACCCACTACTGCGCCGAGCTGGCCTCGCGAGGCTACGTTGTGGCAGCCATAGAGCACAGAGACGGGAGTGGCCCCGGGACCGTGATTATGAACGAGAAAGAGCCACCGAGGCCACTTTTCCATGTCAACGCCGACATGCTAGAGCCAAAGCCTGAGATGGCAGACTTCAAGGTCATGCAGCTCGGGATGCGCCAGGCGGAAGTAGAAGAGACGGTGCGCGTGCTCCAAGACATCAACAACGGCAATGGCAGGGCTGTCTTTCAAAGCAATCCACGCCAGGAAGGTCAGGATCTTGCAGAATGGGAGGGAAGGTTGAACATGGATCGCGTTGTCGTCGGCGGACACTCATACGGAGCCACACTTGCCCTGCAAACGCTCAAAGGCGCTCCTTCTGAACGATTACCTTTCGTAGGGGCCATCATACTGGATCCTGGCAAGCACAGTGGACCATTGAACGACGATATCAATGTGCCCACGCTCATCGTGCATTCGCAGTCCTGGTCAGCCAGACATTCAATCTTCCAGGGCCGGCCGCATTTCACAGTTGTCAAGGACCTCGTGCGCAAGATAATCGACGAGAAGAAGAAGTATGCTTGGTTCATGACAGCCAAAGGAACCACGCATCCTAGCGTCACAGATGCCCCCCTCATCGAGCCCTTCTTGCTCGCATGGACAACAGGGTCCACGATCGATGCTAGGGAAGGCGTTATGCAATACGTCGAGATTTCACAAGAGTTCTTGCATTATCTCGACAATGGCCACCGGCAGTCGATCCTGAGAGAGGACGTTACTCATCAGGAGTACGATGACCCCAATCCTCGCGAAGGCAACGCAAAGGTCACGAAATCCTGGCAAATCCATATGGCACCGAGCACCGCCTGCCCCGCACTAGGCTACTGTGGGCTTGATGATGAGTGAGGAGACAACAGATGCACGAGGTAGAGAGCAATACGGATACAAAGGTGCTCCATTGAGATGGACTGCGCCGGCTGTGGCTCAGTCTGCTCAGCTCAGTCTGACAGCGGCTGAAGGGACTGATTCAGGACGTCACGCGTTGAAGAAGCTACAACGTGCCGCTGGCCTCCCAATGGCACCACTTGAGTAGGCTCAATGAGCCAGAGACGGCAGAAATCGCAGCTTCAGATGCTTGCGGCAACGCAAAGATGTGATGAGGGTCGTATTCGCGGGGGTTGGCTGCAATTAGCTTGGATTTTTGCATGGCTGTTTGAGGATAGAAAGGGAGCGGATGGCTCGGGATTGTAGGATTGGTGAAAAGCAGTCCTTGTGAGGAGCTACGAGAGACGAGGTAGGACAGTACGGGATGTATGATAGCAGTAGATTAATGATTAATGTGGCAGTGAAGCCTTCTCTGTCTCACGAAGCTCTCGCACTCTTGTTCACGGACACAATGTGCTCGCGGGCATTGTTGCCTCGGTGGAAGATGTTCGGTTCTCGCCGGGTAGTCACCCAATGCACAGGCCGGACCCTTGTCTCGGCCATGCAAAACTTAAACTCTCCCTATAGAGCTATGTCAGTTGGCAAGTCAGCCTGGTCGACGGTCGGTGGTGAAGAAGTGTGCACAAAAGGAGGATACGCGTCGGAGTGGGGCCTTCAGTGGCACCAGAGATGGAGATCCCTTTGAAGATTCGACGAACGAGAGCGTTCATGCACGTACCCCTGCACGACAAGGGCTTGCAGGACGCGCTTTGCTGTAGATAGCATAGTAGATTATCGCTTGCTAGGCCAGTATTAGGGATAGCGCTATTGCGAATTTTTGCTTGTTAAACTCGCTCCGTAACCGGCTCTTCTTTAACTCGCTGCTTGTCCGATTGACTTCTTATAGTCTAAAGCCTATTATTAAGCCGCTCTTTTATGTAAATAGCTTCTTCTTCCGCCTATTATTCTCAGCCTATTGCTAGAGCCGATGAGAACGACCGACACTAGTCCAATATAGACGACGATGCCGTACTCGATATAGGTGCGCTTAGTATAGAACTAGAAGAGGTTATAGACGAGATTAAGTCGCAAGAGATAGTCTCGGGTTATAAGCAGATTAGGTCGCTTTATAGTGTAGAATACGAGCCAAATAGTAGAGATAATAAGCCTCTCGTTATAGGTAATATCGTTAACGGCGTATCGACTAATAGTAATAGCACTAAGCTATTAGATGTTAGCAGTTTAGCTTAGGCTCCTAATTAGGCGAGGTTTATAGACGGTGTAAGATATAGCCCTCTTATAGGTTCTTACTACGAGGCGGAGGTCCACCTGCCTCTAAATAAGGTGTTCTTTGCCGGTTATAAGAGCTATAAGGCGTATAAGAAGCTGACTTCTAAGGACTGCTAGAATCTTCTATAGAGATACTTCTAGTTATTATAGACTAATAAGGTCTATAAGAAGTTAGCTTTCTACTCGAATAAGTATACGAAGGACCTAAAGTTCAAGAAGATAAACAATAGGACTAGTGTTATCGAGTCTATTATATCTAGTACGAAGTGGCGGCTAACTTATCTATATAAGATGAAGATCTTCGTAGGAATAATTATCTATATGTCGGCGGTCTAAATGGACGACAAATCGGACTTCTAGCGGACTAATAGCTATTAGCCATCGCATACTATTACTAAGAGTATGTCTTTACGGAGGTTTATGCAGTTAAAGGCGTGCCTATAGTATAGTAAGCCTATCGAGTCGAACAAAGGCAACCCGCTATAGCTATAGGTTTAATAGTTAGCGGACACGCTAAGGGCTCAAATATCGAAGGTATATATACCTAGCACTAACGTAAGCCTAGATGAGGTTCTCGTACGGTTCACTAGACGCTCTTCTTATATAATAATAATGAAGGGCAAGCCCTGCCCTATCGGATACTATATGCTAGCTCTATATTATGCTGGATTTATCGTTTCTTAGTTATTCTCGTTACCTACTAAGAAATAGGGATTTGAGAAGGCAAGGGCACCTGCTAGCTTCGAGGGACCGGTTATAGTCGACGAAGAGCTCTCTAAGACTTAAAAAAAGTAGCGCTCGCAGCGCCGCCGCTAGACAACGAAGGGCGATAGTTAGAGTGCTAGAAATGAAGGTAGAATGGTAAAGAATAGTAGTGTTAGTAAGAAGGTTGTCCCTGCGCCGAGCCTTTACAAGCTCGCTAATCTTTACGCGGAGCTACTAGCGGTTACAACCGGACTAACTACAGCAGCGGCTTAATTAGTTAACCTAAAGTCTTAGTTGTCTAGGCTTTATAAGGCCGTTCTATCTCTGCTACTACAACTGCCCTTCTAGCGACGATTCTACTATGTTTACTTAGACAATCTGTTTAATAATATACCTCTCTTTGCTATACTGCGGCATTATAGCATTGCTGCGACTAGTACGGTACGTACAGGCTCGAAGAGCTAGCTATAGGTAGGAGCTCAGTTCTCGACACCCTCTAGCAAGACTATTAATCTACATCGCAAGTCGACTAGGTTTCCCTTCGATACACAGCTTTGTAGGGCAATTTATAACGTAGTGGCCCCCCTCTAGTAGGACAGAAATCTCGTTCAAATGCTAACGACTAGCCACTAGCCGCCTAATAGAGAACCGAGGGAACGACGGAAGCCGAGAGACACTAACACCTACATTCGTAACTACGTACGACTACACTAGACTAAGGGCAAGGAGGTTAAACACATACCTAAGTATACGGCAAATTACAACGATTATATAGGTAGTATAGACATCTACGACTAGCTTAGGTTCTATTGTAGTACATAGCATAAGGCCTTCAAACTATAGTACCCGCTATTCTATTTCCTCCTCGACGCGGCTATAATTAACTCATTCTTGCTTTGCCGCAATACTACAACGGCTAATAGCGTACGAGATCCAATCCTTATCTAACAACGAGACTTCCGCATGCGCCTTGCTTAGAACCTCGTCTAAGAGGGCTTAGCTATATTAGGTCCTATCCGAGACGCAGAATTCAAAGCCGCCGTCGAGTTGAGGTCTAGTTTGCTACGTAACAGAGGCAGGTTTGCTAAGGGTAATACATACGTGAATTATAACGCTAGTTTACCTCGTCTACGCCGCTATAGGTTTAATAAGACAGCCGGTCTTCCTAAGAAGGTCCCTCGGTTAGACTACAGCTATAAGCACGTCCGAAAGCGCACTCTTATTAACCCTCGAAGGTGCTAGCTTTGTAGGCTTACAAGGACCTCTTAGCGGCTAACTTAGTAGCCTATTAAGAAGGAAGGAAGGCGAGAATTTAATGCTACTAAGACTTGCCTTAACTGTAGACCGGAATACAACCTCTGTAAGCTCTGTTTCTACGACTAGCACAATATAAGAGATATAAGAAGCCACCGAGAGGCTTAGAGGCCTATATTTGCGGATAATAGGCTATCCACTTCTACGAGTACTTTAGCTATTGCAACGCCGGCTCTAACGCCTTCTATTAAACCTGCAACAGCGACAACAACAACGCCTTTAGCTCCTTTACCTCCTTCGTTAAATCTACTATATTAGACGCTAATTAATTAAACTCGGAGGCCCTAACAACCTCTTCCTTACTTTAAGAGCCTTCTACGGTCGGATTAGGCTCTTCCTTTACTATAGTATCCTTACTACGAGCGGCAACGGCTTGTTACTATTACTATACGTTCAAATCTACCCTTAAGTCCTTTACCTATACTTCTACCTTATCGAGGCGCTCTATAATAGCCTTCTGCTAGTTACTAGCAGTCGATAGTCGCTACTTTAATAGACTTCTTAGTAGCACTAGTCGCTGTACCTCTTCTACACTTAATTTAATGCCCTTCGAGCGGAGCCTACGGCGCTAACGAGACTCTTCCTTAGTGCGGAAGTGCGTCCGTAGCTATTATATAAGTTAGTATGCCTTTATCTACATTCTATAGGTCTATTAGTCTATAAACTAGTCTCTCTAGTGTGCTTAGCGGCATTGTATTCCTTTACTTGCTTAGGTTTAACTAGCAAAGTTAATCTCTAAGGTTGACTTTGCGGCTTATAATCTACCCTCCTTGCTAACCTTAATCGACACCCTGTCCGGAGCGAGGTCGGCTACCGCTACACGCCCAATCGGCGTTCGCCGCGTCACTAAATTTACGTGGAAAGTGGAACCATTAGTAGGACTAGTTCGCCAAGAATCACCGGTATGACTTTTAAAGGGATGCAGCAGACTGCCGGGCGCAGGTGCTGTGAGGAAAGCGAAAAGGGATCGAACATCATACATATTACATGCCCCCATCACCATTCTCCTGCTGATGCTGATGCTGATGCTGATGCTGATGCTGGCGCCGGCGCGAGATCATCTACCGGGGCAGGGCAGGGCAGGACTATATAACGCGACCAGGTGTCGTGAACACCACCTCCGTATTAAATTTACTTCCCCTTCTTCACTGCCGCCGCCGCCGCCGCCTCCGCGCATTTTCTGCTTCATCACTACTGTACTCCTCCTTTCGCACGACGCGTTCCATTCAAGCTTCGCCTCGGCATCCGTCGCACACCTTGGCAACAGTATGCTGCTAGGCCTGCCACGCAGCACCAAAGCCGCCATCTTCGTCACCCTCTCCTTCTCCTTCTTGCTCTTTCTGCATCTCATCGGCTCCTTCCCCGCTCTGCCAATAAAATGGAACACCGCACAACATCCCACGCAAGTCCCCGCACATGGCCAAGGGGAAGCGAGCAATGCCGCCGACAAGGCTGATTTGCTCTCCATTTCGGAAAGCTTGCCCTGCCACGAACTGCAAGGTGGCGACGATGTGCTCGTGGTCATGCGCACGGGAGCCACCGAAATCCAGGACAAGCTGCCCGCCCATCTGAACACCACCTTCCTATGCTACAAGAACCTCGTCATCTTTTCCGACTACGAAGAGGACTTTCGAGGTTGGAAGGTGCATGACGTCCTGGCCAATGTCGACGACGACATCAAGACCACCAACGATGACTGGACTCACTATCAGCGCATTCTCAAACTTGGACGCTCGGGCCTGGATAAGTCGGAGCTTTCGGGCAACAATAGCTATGATAGCGGTCCGTTTGGCAAGAATGAAAACGCTGGCTGGCGGCTCGATAAGTGGAAGTTTTTGCCCATGATGAATTCGACGTATACCATGTATCCGCACTTGGACTGGTACGTCTTCGTGGAGCCCGACACGTACGTGGTTTGGAGTAACTTGATTCAATGGCTTGGCGAGCTCGATCCAACCGAGCCGCTATATTTTGGCAGCGAGACTCAGATTGGGAATGACATCTTTGCTCATGGCGGTTCTGCATTTGTCCTCTCGAGGCCAGCTCTTGAAATAGGTGTTGAGTCGTACCGCACCCGGAAATCAGAATGGCACGATTACACAGCTGGTCACTGGGCCGGCGACTGCATCCTGGGCAAAGCTCTGCACGACAATGGCGTTGAGCTGACCTGGTCGTGGCCCATGTTTCAAGGAGGAAACCCTGCACTGATGGACTGGAAAGAATCGAAGCCTGAGCGAAAGCTTTGGTGTCTGCCTGCGCTATCGTACCACCATCTCAGTCCAGACGAACTCCGAGAATTGTTTCAATTCGAGCAGGATTGGATTCGCGAAAAGCACCTCGGCACTTCTGGTCATCCTTTCTTCGGAGACAGCGGTGACAGCCCGATATTGCACCATCGCGATGTTTTCAAGCAATTCGTCTTGCCGAATTTCTCATCCACACGCGAATACTGGAACAACACTGCAGAAGAACACCTTCCGGAAACAGAAGGCACACACAGAACACTGGGCCATTGCAAAACCCTTTGTGAAGCGGATTCGACTTGTCTTCAGTACGCGCTTGGTCCGGATGGCTGCTTCATTGGTCATGAACCTCGTCTAGGCCGTTCACATGCAGGGTCAGAGTCTGGGTGGATGCACGCTAGGATTAAGGACTGGGCGAAGGATTTGGACCACTGCGGTGAATCTCAAGGCTGGTCCGTGAGCTGAACATACGCACAAAGACCTTGGCAGCTCAGACAAGCTCCAACACCTGAGACGCTTGACATCTACGTGCACAGATGAGCAACGTCGCACGGCTTCATGCGCTCAGCTCCTGCGGTGCTCTGCATCAAGATTGGCCGGCGGGGCTTGCTATGTGCATCATCGCTGCTGTGCTACCCATATGGCAATGCCCTACACACCCTTCCAGATTCCTGCGATCGATGATCCCACCGGGCTGCCTTCGAGGCGATTCGACAGACGGTGCGAGTTGGAAGGATAATGAAGACGATTGCGGACGGCAACATAAACATAGATCATGATTTTAGAGGGCAATGAGGAGATCCAAGGCACAGCGTACTCGCATTTGGACCGTATTCAACGGAAGAATGGATCGGTCTGAAGTGGACAGGGCTGATATCGACGCAATGCTTCCGCATACGACCCATAGACTACGCTGCCAAATGCTCATTGCGGCTTGCAGCGTCCCGCCGAATTCGAAGAGGCGTATCGTGTAAGATTATGGGTGAAGAGAGGACAGAAGAGCCAGCAAACTAGACCGGCGGCCGGTCTGAGACTTGCGCATATACAAGACGCCCAGCCTTCTTTCATGCATAATGTGCTGCATAAGCTAGCGCGGTGGCTTTGTCCCATCGAACCGCACCCGCCCACTTGGGGCACAGCCTGCCGAGGGCTGAGCCGGAGCTGAGCGATGCGGACTCAGAATGACTCATACTCTCTCATTGTCCCTCATTCCACGTCTATTCATAAGACGAATGATGCCTTAGCAGGTACACGTCTTTCTCCTCACACCAAGACCCGGGACATCGAATCCCATCTCCCAGACCCAAAAACACACCTCTCGCGCGGCGTCGGCGTTACAGACGCCGTCACCTTTCCATCTCATCATGGTCGGCGCAGGAGCAAGTGCCGGCTGTAGCAAGCAGCTGCGGTGCCGATTCAACGTGGAATCTCGAGCTCGACGATACTTACTTTGATTGGGACGCTTTTACGACGTTGACGACATCGCAACATTTGGATTTTCAGACGAATACGGATGCTGATATGCCATTGACTGCTGTAATGGAACCTACGACTTTCCAAAATCTTATTATGGATGGGAGTGGAGATTTTTATGATCCTTACACTACTACATCAACGGCGCTGTCTGCTACCAACCCTCGTCCTCCTTCTTCTTCCGATCCCTCCACACAACAATCTCCCAACGACGACGACGACTTCATCCTCTTCCCATCTCCACCCCACAATCACACCACATCCTCCTCCTCCTGCGATCACTCTCCCCCCAACGCCAAGTCTTCTTCCAACCCCCACCTTTCCCCATCCTCCTCATCAAATACAGGAGCATCTTCGAACAAAATCTCTAAACGTCGAAAAAACACCGAGGCCGCGAGACGGTATCGACAACGGAAAGTCGATCGTGTTACGGAATTGGAGGAGGCGCTTGCTGCTGTGCAGAAGGAGAGGGATGAGTTGAAGTTTAGGCTTGTGAGGTGTGAGGCTGAGGTTGAGGTTTTGAGACGGGTGGGGATGGGGAAGTGAGGAAATAAGAAGGGATGGGATAGGTTGGGGGGGGGGGGGGTGGTGAGGTGGAAAATTTAGGGGGGTTTCGATTTCTTTGTATGTGTGTGATGAGAAATTCATATGTAAATCCCGCCTCTTCATTTCTCCTAGAACGCATGTAATACGGAAGGCTATCTAACCTGCACGCTCAACAGCTACATGTCCAGCTACCTAGCTATGCTATATCAATCAATACTGAACGAACGTCTCGAAATTCGTAAAGTAGAATATACGAGTTTGAGGATTCACGCTCGCTGGCTAGAATTCCTGACGAGAGGTCGAATGAGAGTGAGTACGGTATGGGGATTTTGAGTGAAGGGCTTGCTTGCTTGCTTGTTTCAATAAATCGGTCCTTGAGTTTTGTGATTTGTATGCGTGGTTTTGATATTACCTTGACGCAGGATGCAGAGGGGAACGCTGCCTAGATATGTTGGAGTTCTAGATGAGGCTGGGGGGGCCGCGGGATGTGTTGCTTGTCGGGCATCAGCGACGACGACTATAGACTATGATGGTGTTTGACACTTTGGATCTGAGGTTGACTTCCTTTGGGAGGCTGGCTAGTATTCAGAATGTCTGTCCCAGGTGAGGGGAGGGATTGTTTCCGAGGCCCGACGTACAATGCCGCTCCAGCGCCAAATCCTCCAATTATTGAGACGCGGACAAGTACCACAGCGGAAACGAGCTCGAATTTCTGATCGAAACTAAACCGGTTTAATTTTCCAACTGAGAACATCTACAATCTTGGCAGGCGCGCGCGGAACTGAGGGTTTTACATGGAAGGCATTACCCCTGCCTGGCCTCACATCCAACCATGCATCGTAGAACGCCTTTACTTCCGTCTTCATCTCCGGCCTAGAAAGTCATGTTACCTTGCTTGTAATGCGATAGAAAGTGAAGGTGAGATATACCCTCCACTCTGCTTAGACTCACGCTCACGTTGTCTCTCACGCTCGAAGAATTCTTCTCGTTGCTTCCGTTGCCGCTCCGCCGGATGTTGCTGTAGATGACGCTCCATCTGTGCTGGGGAGCGCATGGCTCGAGGTTCACGAGGGAGCGGTTGGGGAGCGGCGACTTCTAGCTCCTCTACGCTTGATGGAGGGGGCGGTCTTTTGATGGGTGGCTTTGTGGGCGATTGGGAGGGAGAAATGATCGATTGGGAGCAGGGCCAGTCTTTGGATGAAATCTCTCGCTCCGAGTCTGAGCTGTCGTCTGCTGCGCTCGATGAAGATTCGGCGTCATTTTCCGGTGTAGCTGGCTTTGAAGGAGGTGATGTTGTTTGGGCTCCTGACTGTGACGGCTTCTGCGCTTCAGCCGAGGCTTCGGCATTCCACTTTGACAGCAGCTCGATCGGGACGTTTGGATGGACGGGTGTACGGCCTGGTGGTGTTGGATGCCATGATGAAGCACATTCGAGAAGCTTGCGCTGATTGTCCGGGATCTTGCGACGACCGTATTTCATGTTGTCACTCTGTGTTGGTCGCGGCTTGGTAGGAGTCTCCGCAACAACTGCAGTGCTTGGCTCTTCACAAGGTGCCGGAGCTAGTGTGGGCTCGGGTGAGGCGTCACCCATTCTCACATCAGGCATTTCGCTTCGTGCGTCGCTCCGCGCAGCAGTGGGCAGCCGTGCGCTCTGCGGCGGAGGCTGGTGAGCGGTCTTCGATGGCACTGGCGCAGTTCCTTTGCCCTTTGGCTTGCCCATCAATTCCAAGAGATGGTTGGCTCTCATCGGCTGGTCTAGATTCACGCCCCTTTCGATTTCGTATCCATCGCGTGTCAACGAAGGGCCGCTCCGTCGTGGTGGCTGGGACTGTGGTACCTGACACGGACGCATGTCATCGTCATCGTCGTCGTCGATCTCGATTGGAGGCGGTCGCGGCGGCTGAACCTGCTCGCCTTCCTCGGGCTCTTCTTTGATAGGTGGCACGCGTATGGTCTTGACGTTCTCGAGGAGCAGTCGAATATGTTCATTCTCTTCGATGGGCTTCGGATCGCCATCTATCTTGCGGAGATGATGCTTGTAAAGAAGCTCTTCGATGTTGAGCTGTACGAAACCGTCGGCTGGGCCAAATGGCGTGCTGACAACCGTGACCTTCTTGATCTGGAAGACATCGCCGGTGACTTCAATATCGAGAGACTCATCGGTAGCTTCCTCAAAAGCCGCCACAGCCTCGTCCGAGAACTGCGCCTTGACCCTGGTAGCGCCGTCAGAAACGAAGCCAATGGTGGGATCCTTGGACGAGAGAACGTTGATTAGTTGAACGTCACAGCCATCTGGAGGCCGAGATGTGCTGCGAAAATTGCTCCCATCGTCGCTGAACCGGGTATCAGGATCAGCCTTGACACCGTCATCCAATCCTTGCCGCCAGGTCAGAACGTGCGAAATCTCCTCCCAAATGTAGTCGGCGAGCCACGCCTTACGTGACTTTGGCGCCATGCTGCTGCAGGTGTGGTGGATCTCGTGCGTGCATTGCGGGGCCTTGAGCAGAGGGCTGTCGATGGGGCTCGACTGAGAATGGTGAAGTGAAGCTCGAGTGGTGTGTATGTGGTTCGCGTGTGCGAAGGGTGGTGACGGTGAAGTCTGAATGCGCGCGTCGCGTCGCGAGGTGCATTCGTCCTGGCGGCGTCGGAGTCCGGCTCGGCTCCCGGCAAGCTGGATCGTGCGTCATATTCTACACCACTCTGCTGCACTGCACGAGGTCCGCGGAGGAGACTCGCTTCAGCTTCAGCAGATGCGGTGCACAGCTCGGACGCTGCGAGAGCCATACCTTGGCGCATATTCGAGATGCTAGACGAATGTCCACCACGACACGCCGCCGACCAGCATGGCACCTCCCGACACCAGTTCGCCGTCGTCTTCGAGCAACTTCATACCATTTCTTGGCGCCAGATCGCGTCGAGGCTCACTGGCCTCGATCGCGTCGCGGAAGGAGCTGGACAAGGATGTGCTGCAGCAGGCACTGAACGACATACATACACATGAATGCAAGTCGGTAGGATTGACGTCCTTCCATGACTTCGACGGCGCAGGAAGCCGGGGAGGAGCCAAAGAGCTTGTCAGTAATGGTGTCACGGGACTGTACAACAAGTTGCGGCAGAGCGTGGTTGGCGGTGGAAGTGCGCCTGCGCCTGCGCCTGCGCCGGTGAGAGACAGTAGCAGCGCCAAGGTCAGCAGGCCCAAGAGCAGCGAGTCGAAGGAATCGCTGCCTCTCGTGTCACCGTCACAGCAGTCGTCTTCTCCAGCCGCTTCGAGGCCCGATATCAGAAATCTGACTATCAAGAAGCCGCCGGCTGACATCCAGCCTGCTCATGCCTTGAGCCTTCCCGCTTCTCCACACGTCCGTAGTTTCTCAAGCAGTGAGTCTTCCGAAGTCAAGCCAAGCACGCCAAAATTACATACCGCAGATGGACAGCCAATCCCGTCCGATGACGTCCGACAGAGACAAGCTGAGGGCTTGAAAGTGATGCTGCCGAAAGATATTCCCGTCCATGCTCCAAAGCCTTCGCGTACTGCTCAGGATGCGCCCACCAAGGAGGATCTGGACAAGGCGCGCAGTGCGTGGATGGACAATGATCGCAGTGAAGTAGCCACCGATGCATTGGCGCGTGTACTCTCGCATCGTGAAGTGCCGATCACTGATCGACCGGAGCATCTCAAGCGCATAAATATCGAGGACGACGAAGCCATGGACGACTCAGATGATGCGGACGGCCTGGACGATCCGCTGCCTCAGCCGAGCCGGATTTTGGTGAATGACGTTCCCCGTAAATCGACTCCCGCCCCAGCGAAAGAGCAACGGGATCCAGGCAGGCCGCCCATGCCCAGAGCTGGTCCTTCTCACCTGCCTGGCTTCGATCCATCCCGTGCGTCATCCACTATGGATGGCTCAGAGCCCGATTCAAGGTCGAGTTCCATGGCTCCACCGCTTCGCAAACCCGCTCTAGAACCATCTCCCAATCTGAACTCAGCCTTGCAGCGTCGAAGGGCCGGCCTGAAACCCATGCCAAGTGCTTCATCCTCGCTGAACATCTCCAGCATCACGTCCCTCAAGCGTAGAGTCCTTGCCAAGGACTTCTGGATGAAGGATGAAAACGCAAAAGTCTGCTTCTCGTGCGGACAGAGCTTTTCTACCTTCAGACGGAAGCATCACTGCCGCACCTGCGGACAAATCTTTGATGCTAATTGCACAACACTAGTACCAGGCAGGCCCTTTGCGCTTCCAGGCACCGTGCGACTATGCAACCCTTGCGAAGAGATTATCTTCGGGGATGACGACTCGACTGTCTTCTCCGACGATGATGACTATCAGCGAAGCCCGATGGTGCAGAATTACGACAGCAGTCCTGCGATACAACGCTTCGACGGACCTGCTTTCAGCAGAGTCGATACTGAAGTACAGACTCCTTCCATCGGTATCCCCGTCTCACGTAGAAATCGAGAAGCAAAGAGGAGATCGGCTGTAATTGAGTTCGACGCACAGCCAACACATGTGCTGGCGCGTCCGAGCTCGTCGCACTCCTTGATTTCCCTGAGTAGACGTCCTCGGTCTTCCAGCCATCATCGTCGACGGCATTCTCGTCTTCAGCCGACACGTCTTGGCAGATCCAGTGTCGATGCTGAGCGTGGTCCATTTCATCAGCAGCATGGAAGCGAGCATCTTGAGAAGAAGCCAACACTTCCGACTTTCCACAACGACAATGTCATTGATCCTGACTTGGCTGCATTCCTTTCGGACGACGGTTCAGAGGACGAAGACCAGCCAAATATACTCTCCGCCGTCAGCGACGCGCACGCTGCCTCTCCTGGCGATCGAGAAAAGCTTGGCTTCAGTAATCTCTTCTCAACGGGAATACGCAAGGGGCGATCAAGAGGCACGGATCGACGCGTTGCACCTTCGAGTGCACACGATCTTAAAGAGGAAGACAAAGGCACACCCAGGTTGAAGCGCAGCCGGAATATGAGCAATGCCTCACTGACATTCAATCGCACATCGCCAAGGCGCAGCCGCAGCAATCTACTCTTGGGGACTGCAGAAGCTGACGGACATCACGCTCAGCCCACATCACCCCTCGTCACGGCGGGATCAACGCATGCCAGGGTAATCTCAAGCTCAAGCATGCAGCATGATCAGCCGAAGGATGACCTAGAGCTTTACCCTGCCAGCTATGAACATGTGAAGAAGCTGCTCTCGCAGCTATTGAAAGATCACAATGTGCCGAATCCACACGCATGGCAGAAGGCTTTGGTACCAATTCTGATGAGATGCACAGATGACGTAGAGCCTGATGTGCAGCAAGGCGATGACATGGACATCCGCCATTACGTCAAATTGAAGAAGGTGCCAGGTGGGCGTCCTGGGGATACAGCGTATGTGTCTGGCATTGTCTTCAGCAAGAATATTGCTCTGAAGACCATGGCTCGATCCATCAGTCACCCGCGCATACTCATTCTAGGCTTCGCAATCGAGTACGCTAGGCACGAATCGCACTTCATGAGTCTGGAACCTGTGATCGCGCAAGAACAAGAGTATCTTGCAAACATTGTCGGTCGCATTGCGAAGCTCAATCCACATGTGGTCCTAGTACAGAAGCATATATCTGGCCGGGCCCTGCACTTGCTGGAAGAGCGAGGTATCACTGTCGCATACAACATCAAGGAGTCCGTCCTGGCAGCAGTCGCCCGCGTTACCGAAACTGTCATGATCAATTCTATCGACAAACTCACAATTGATGCATCACGATTGGGATATTGCGAAAACTTCGAAGTGAAGACGTACGTTGCTGAAGGTCATCGCAAGACATACATATACTTGTCCGGTTGTGAGCCGGATCTTGGATGTACAGTTGTACTGAGAGGCGGCGACACTAAGACCTTGCGCATCATCAAGCGCATTGCGGAATTCATGTGTTACGTGGCCTACAATCTCAAGCTGGAAAACTACCTGCTCCGAGACTCTTTTGTGTCGGTACCGGCCACAGCACACAGCCAGATCGAGGCCCATGACAATCCTATCAATGGCATTGCAAACCCAGACAACAAGCAAGAGACTATCAATCAAACCCTTGCTAAGGAAATCGAAGGCGGCAGCGACCATGTTTTCAAGTACGATGAATACGAGAAGAAGACACGGCAGCGGATTCTGTCGGCTTCGCCGTTTGTCATCTTCATGCAGCCCTACATTTTGACGCAATTACGAGATCTAGAGCGAAGACTGACTACCTACAAAATCCTTCGAGACACCTACGCTGCCGCCGATGAACAGGGCGAAGACCAACCAGAGAGCAATATCAGCGAACACTTCAGCTTGGTTCGACCCGACATGGTGAATGCACCCGCCTCTAAGGACTTCCCAAAAGCTGTTCGCGAATATTTGCATGCAGTGCACGAGGCTCAGCTCGAGAAAGCAGAACACATGTTTGAGACACAGGAGCGCCAGTGGCAATCATTTCTCGATGGCAAGCTTGATCCATTCGATCCATTTTCACACCAAAAAATTATGGTCTTGTACTCGATCGTTAGCAGTATCACGTCCGCGCCATGCTCTGGCCCAGGACTTCTTGGCATAGGTTTCTATGCGTCGTTCCAGAAGACTGAACCGAACCATGACGAAGATATCACGTTGGGCCAGTATATCGAGGACCTCACCTATGGCGCAAGTACTACTTGTCATGAGTGTGGTAAGAAGATGCTGGATCACCATAGACAGTACGTCCATGGCTACGGACAGCTAACCGTCAGTTTGTCGCGCCAGCCTGCAAAGATGCAGGGCTATGATTCGATCATCCTCATGTGGTCGACGTGCAGGCTCTGTCGTCAAGAGACGACAGTGACGCAAATGAGCGACCACACCTGGAAGTACAGCTTCGCCAAGTATCTGGAGCTCAGTTTCTGGAGCTCGAAGCTGCATCCGCGCGCCGGTCTGTGCAAGCACGATATTCACAGGGACTTTGTGCGTTGTTTTGGGCTGAAAGACATAGTCATTCGCCTGCAATACGATCCAGTCGACATCTATGACGTTGTCGTTCCGCGAGAACGTGTGACTTGGAAAGTTGAGGCTGACCTCACAGTCAAGAATGAGCAATTCACCCACTTTGAACAGCGGCTCGAGGCATTCACAAACAGCGTCAGGCGGCGTCTTGAGACCATCAACGTGGACACCCTCGATGAGAAGACCGCTGCCGAAGCCCACGCGTTGGTTGATCATCTAAAGTCTGTGGCAGAGCAGGATCATGCCGATCTTCTGCACAAGCTGCAGGTCAAGTATGCCACCAGCCGGTATTATGAGCTGACTCCGCTCAATCGAGCGCTTCGTTTCATGGACGAAAAAGCAATCTGGTGGGATGCCGAGTTTGAGAAATTTGAGAAGAATTACTTCCCCTCGGAAGGTGACATTCGCAAACTCGCTGCCCAGCAGCTTGAACAAATGTTCAAGTCGCAACCGCCCGCCGTCAGCGTTGCAGGGAGCGAAGTTGGCTCTGACACCGAGGACGGGACAGAAGTGCGTAAGAGACCTGGAGCCTCAAGGCAAGCAACACAGGATGAGCTGCTGAAAGAGAAGGCCCAAGACGTCATGTACTCTGTTGTGGAGGAGCATAAGGCTGCAGAAAACGAGAAGCTGGAGCCAGTCATTAGCAACGACTCCGAAATGACGCTTGATGCTCAGCTGACACGAGTGCCAACGCCCAGAAAGGAGCTGGAAGAAGTGGTGGAAAGAGAGGATGTTAAGCACTTGGATCTCGCGATACCAGCGCAGGCTTCTCCCCCAAGTGCTGCAAACACGGATGAGAACCTAAACTCCTCTTCTCTGGCTGACACTGCCGACCACGATGCTGGTGATCGGGAAGAGCCATTCGCCACACAGCCGAAGCCTCTTAGCTCGGGTTTGCTCGAAAGAATCGAGGCGATACGAAGCACCCGTGCTGCTGGCGGTCCCGATATTTCTGACAACGAGTCGAAGATCCCGCGACTATCTGATCTGCAAAAGACAGATGGGCAGCGGAGGAGGGACGCGAGCCCACGTCCAGTAGCGCCGGCACTACTACGCGCCACCTCTTCACCTGGCCATCCAGCCCACGCCCTCCGCAATGGCGAGGAATTGAGCGCGGATCATAGCAATGATGCTGTGGCAAAGAACCAGAGCCATTTGCAGGCCCCAGGTCACGACAAGCCATCGTTAGAGCACCGAATTTCCGATCGCATTGGTATGGGACGGCTCGCCACAAAAGTGGGCAAAGTTGCTCCTTCCCTCATCCCCCGCAGCATACCATTCAAAGACCACGGCGAGAGTCACAAGATTTCGTCGACTGTCTCTGCCTTGGCCAAGCATTTCGACCAAATGTCGCGTGAATTCGAGGAAGCACGAAAGAAAGAACGCAGACAACGAGATATGAGAAGTCGTCACAATCGTGCAAATCCACTTGCGAGCTCGATGCCTGTTGTAGAGATCTACTCGAACGCAGCCGACGCTGTTGGCGAAAAGAAGCAAGAAGAAAAACTAGACCAACGGGCCAGAAGTAGAGTTGAGGCAGAAGTTGCAAGAAACCAGCCAGAGGACGTACCTCTTGTCGACAGCGATCAAAAGTCATTTATATCGGGGAAAAATCCGCCAATGGATGAGGAATCTGGAGCAGCGCCCGGCGCGGATAACGTTCCTGGCGAGCTGACAGATGCAACAGATGCGGAAGCCAGCGACACGGACCACGAGCGCACACCAGGTCGTAAAAGAGATGTGTTAGATCCGAACAACGGCCCTGTGACGAGCAGTCATGATTTGCTGGAGCTCGGATCTGAGCTCACCATACCGGAGCATAGGAAAAATGTCTGGTTTAAATACTTGGCCGAATTCTGGAGCAAGCGATCCGCATCTGGTTGGGCCAGCCTGGAGTATCCACTACATCCTACCGAGCACGTCTTTGAGGACTCCGACATTATTGTGCGCGAAGATGAACCATCTAGTGTCATCGCGCTAAGCTTAGCATGCGCAGACTATCGAGCCAAGGAGGCACAGTTCCGCAATAAGCCGAGTCGACAGCCGTTCTCGAAGCATAGCCATGGTCACGAGCACATGCGATATAAACACGGACACCAGCACACCGCATCTCATTCAAGTGCAGGCCCACTAACGGATGAAGAGATTCTCAGTACAGATATTGAAGCCAGCTTGCTTAGTGATACTGGAACACATATGAAGTACTCTTTTACCCATGGAGCTGTCAAAGCGAATTGCAAGATCTTCTACGCGGAATCTTTTGATGCGCTCAGACGCAAATGTGGTGTGGCGGACCGGTTCATGGAAAGCATGTCTCGATGCCTCAAGTTCGACTCTAAAGGCGGCAAGACCAAATCGCTCTTCCTCCGCACTCTGGACAACAGGTTCATCATCAAATCCCTGCAGGAGGTCGAGCTGAAAGCTTTCACCAAGTTTGCGCCTGACTACTTCAACTTCATGTCCTACACCCTCTTTCATGGTGTGCCGTCTGTCATCGCTAAAATGTTTGGACTCTTCCAAGTCAACATCCGCAATCCAGCCACAGGCGTCGATTTCAGCTACTATCTCCTAGTCATGGAAAATCTCTTCTACGAACGCAACCCCGACCGTCGGTTCGATCTCAAAGGTTCCATGCGAAATCGCAAAATCGAATCAACAGGCCAAGCCGACGAAGTCCTGCTCGACGAAAACCTCGTGGAAACAATCTTCGAATCGCCACTCTTTGTCCGCGAGCATTCTCGTAAGCTCCTCCAAGCTTCAGTTTTTAACGACACACTGTGGCTCTGTAAACAAAACGTCATGGACTACTCCCTAATGGCAGGCTTCGACGACGCGAGGAAAGAGCTAGTCGTGGGGATCATCGATTGCATCAGAACATATACTTGGGACAAGAAGTTAGAATCTTGGATCAAAGATCGAGGCAAGAACAAACCTACCATTACTTCTCCGAAGGATTATCGAAATCGGTTTCGGGTCAGTATGATGCAGTATGTCCTCCAGGCACCGAACTGTTGGCATCAGTTTCAGGCACAGTTGGGCATGCCCAAGATGTTGCCGGAGGAGAGTGGGTCTACTACTGCTGCTACTGGGAGTGGGACTTTAGGTGCGAAGGAGGGGGAGGAGAATGCGGAGGCCAGTGCGAATGTTTCGTGAAAATGGAAAAGAGGTGGTGACTCATGAGATTATGATATGATACGACAGATTGGACGGCCGCTGAGAGGAGGCGTGTGTTGAGGCATTGGCTAAGGGAGGTTTCTTTTGGCAATTAGCGTGGCGTTTTGGGTAGCTTTGAGGTTAGCATGACGACCTTTATTCAATCAAGAGCATGGTTTCAATGAATATGATGAGCTTTCACATACTGGCCGCTGGGCATGGGGCCTGTATTGGCACGTGCTGCAGCGGCCTGTGATCCCCCAATCAGTGCCTGTTGTTATCATTCACCAACCGTGAGGCCGATGCATAGATTGCAACGTGCAAGGGAGCCTCGTTCGACAACAGCTGGGCTACTAGCCTACTCATCATCGAGTCGTCGCAGGTGTTGAGCGTCAGGTAGCCGTCGCATTTGACGAGCGCGAATCTGAACAAGAAATCCACCTGTAGCTTTCTTGATGGTGTGCGTGTCCAAATCTCACGAGTTTCAAAGACTGCTTGCACAGCGCGGGTGAGATTGGAATGTATCGCATCGATTTTCGTTTGACAAGCCTCGAGGTTGAAAACGCATTCTGCTTTTCCTTCTTTATACTGTCCCAAACGACTTTGCTGTTCTCCGATCGTGTTCTGCAGATCAGGTTAGCATACTGCCACAGTAGGCTAGCGATTTGCATACCAGCATTAGTGGCGTCTCCAAAAGTATTCGCTTCAATGTCGAGGTAGCCGTGCCAGCTTCGCATGCGATACAACAAGAATCAGCGGTATTCTGAGCTTGGTCGAGATTTGAGACAGATGCTGGCGCGGACTCCAGGGCGAGAATTATCTTCAGGTCAGAAGATCCGACTTCTCTGCGTCGTGAGCGCGATGGGAGACTCACCGTTGACGTCCGTGCTTCGTGGTCTGTGGCCATACGACAGCACGCAGCCATCCATCCGGTCCGAGAACACAGGCGCCATACTTATCTTGCAGTCGTGGATGCCGCCGAATTGCGAGCGCGAGCTTGTCCGGCTGATCGCAGATTTTTGTGACTTGATCGAAATCTCCTCGTACGGCCAGATCGACAAGTTTGGGTATCTTGCGCAACTTGCGCTCTGTCGCTTCTTCCACAGCATCGTCGGCCATTGTCTCACCCTTGGCCCGGGCGACAGGATATGGAAGTGTGATCGAGAGATCATCCCCCTCAAGTTCAGTTGGCGTCGGCGCAGAAGCATGAGTTCTCCGGGATGCTGCACCGGCTACAAAAGCACGGTATGGGAATGGGTGACCATTCGTTCGTTGCCGTGCCACAGGCTGCAGCTTTGTTGAAGCTCCCCTCAGACCGCATAGCAAACTTCAATGAAGGCTCAAACGCGCCTCCGACTGACTGAACAATAGCCCCAGTGTCTGACCATCGTGTCAAAGATTTCAAGAAGGCTCATGTCTGCTCTGAGGCATGAGCACATCTTTAAAAATCGCTGCCACTTCCGCGACGCCTTGGATACGTTTGCCGAATCGAATGGAAGGGCGCTGTTTGCTGCATCAAGTGATTTGCCGTTTCATCGCATCTGCATGTGCATGCGCCACACACACGCTTCACTTCACTTCACTTTACTTTCCCCGGCCATCCACAATATTGCACACTTCACTTTATATACCTTCACATGCCATCATTCTTTCACCCCAAGCCCTTCTTCGCCTCCTCATATCAACACCGCAACGTCGCAAACTTCTACACCACTAAGACTTCACCAAAATGTGCGGGCCCCTCGTCGTCACCTGCTTCGAGCAGAGCCCCTACGAGCGTGAGGGCCAAGGTATCAGCCACCACTACATCACACTGCCTGAACTGGAAGTCCCCTGCATGAGACCAGGTTCTGAAGGCTGCAAGAAGAAAAGCTGTCCTCTCGTGGATTTCCAAAACCCGCCGACGGCGTGTGCAGGTGGGTCGTGTCGCGGCGAATGTGTGATCTTGATGCTGATGAGTGATAGCTGTTGTGCACGGCTTGAACCCGAGGGGACAAGCAGGTGCTGATCTCTGCTGCCAGACGCTGCGGAAGTATGGCACTGCGTTGCACAAGTTCAATTTTGGGGGAGAGAAGGGAAAATCGTGGTTGCGGACGTGGTTGGAAGGTTTGGTTCGTGGGTCGAAACGGAATGAGATTGTCACATCTTAAGGAAGAAGAGCACCCATGAACGCGAGCAGAGGTCGATGGGGCGAGGAAGAGAGGCTTGGGATAGCTTCTAGCATGAGGCCGAGCAGAAAGACGTGTGTCTGTACCTCCAGCGCTTTGGAGTTGGAGACCGAGACCATGCACGGAAGGTACTGAGCTCAAAAAAGTCATTTGGTAGTTGTTAAGCTGGAAATCAAGAAGCCCGAACGCGAAATTCATCCGATAGCCTTGCCCTTGCCCTTTCCTTCATAGGCTTGAGCAGGGACTTCTTCTTCATCGTCATCGTCAGAGCTGTCTTCGTCCTCGTCATCCCAGCCGAAAAATGTCCTTCCCTCGCCTTTGCTAGACGCCTCGGGCTTCACTTCCACATCTGAGCCCGAGCTCTCCTCCTCGTCCTCATCCTCACTATCTCCACCATCTTGCTCCATAGAACTTTCCGACCCAGTCCTTTCAAGCAAGCCTTCTCTCATGGCCTTTATGACAGCCTGCCTGGTCTTCTCCTCAGCTTCCTCCTTTTGCTCCACATACTCAGCATCAAGCCTTCCTTTATTCGCACCACCTTTCCCACTCTTGATCTCCTCTGCCCGTCTCTCCGCAGCTTCAACAACCTCTTGCCATCGCTTCTTCCTCTCTTCTTTCTCCTTCCTCTCCATCTCAGGCTTGATGGCGAGATAGTCAGCCAGACGCTTCGCCTCATCCACAGTGCGCAGGCGACGTCCATCCAGGTTGCGGTTCGAGCCATTTGGGTTTGTGTTGTTATTCTTGTTCTTCCGGCTGCTCATACGGCCACCAGCGGCACGAAGTTGCGAGCCAAACCCACCCTTACCACCACATAGTCGGCGCGAGAGGCGGAGAGACAGAATGGAGTCGTTTGGAGAGTTCAGCAGGGAAGTGATTGGTGCCGAATCGCCGCGCAATAGCTGCTTGTTGGAGACAGTTGTGAGTAGGAGTCGGTCATCCTGGACGGGCAACCGAGCAAATATGCTGCTGTAGACATCGCGGATTGGGGTTGATGCCCTTGTGGGGAGTGAGAGAGTGCGTGGTAGGTCCAGTCCAGCGAAGGTCGCCAGGAGAATGTTGATAGTTGCCTCAGGCTGGGCCATATCGAGTGCTTTTAGTGCAGCCTTGAGAAAATGATTGTCGCGGTCGAGGTGTGCAATCGTCAAGAATTGCCGGTATTGATTGTAATCACAAGCACCGACTGAGGGCGTGAACGAGAAGTAGACGACGGCGACGGCGAACATGACTCGAGTGCCAAGCCCATCGGCGGTTCGGCCTCCAATGTTCCGACACACACAAATCTCCAATTGAACTTCTGCCGCAGACGCCCACAGCATCGACAAGCCAGGAACATCATCTGCTCAACACCCAGCGCAATACCGCCAAGATGTATGATATATCTGACTGCGCGATTCAAGTACTACATTCTGACATTATCTTCGCAGGCTGATCCCAAAGGCCGACCGCAAGAAGATCCACGAGTACCTCTTCCGTGAGGGTGTGCTCGTTGCGAAGAAGGACTTCAACCAGCCAAAGCACGGCGAGATTGACACCAAGAACCTCTACGTGTGTCTTGATCACATCTGTATTGTCTTTGCAGCAACTAACGTTCTCCCCTCAGGTCATCAAGGCTTGCCAGTCCCTCACCTCCCGCGGATACCTCAAGACCCAGTTCTCCTGGCAATGGTACTACTACACCCTCACCCCAGAGGGTCTCGACTACCTCCGCGAGTGGCTCCATCTCCCAGCTGAGATCGTCCCACAGACCCACGTCAAGCAGCAGCGCAGCCACGCTCCTCCACGCGGTATGATGGGTGGTGATGACCGTGAGCGCCGTGGCGGTGGCCGTGGCGGCCCACGTGGTGATCGTGAGGGTGGATACCGTCGTCGCGAGTACGGTGACCGCGAGAACAAGGAGGGAGGTGCTCCAGGCAGCTTCAACCCAGAGTTCCGTGGCGGTTTCGGTCGTGGTCGTGGCCGCGGCGACGCTCCACCAGCTTCGTCCTAGGAGGACAGCGGCTGGAGCGCCGACGACGCCGCGACCACTTCGGCAGGTGGGAACTGGGACACTGGTGCTGCTGAAGCCTCGACTGAGTTCGATGCAGGTGCTTCTGGCAGCTGGTAAACGACTTGAGAAGGGGAGAAACTGTGCTTTTTCATGAGCGCGAGCTTGGCTCAATGGAGTCGATAAGTCAGAGAATCCAAGCCGCTACGAGATTCGGAGGTGTTTCTTTCCTATTCGCTCCGCCTTGCGACGACCGAATCCTGAGGGCAGACTGGTAGTTCAATGAGAATGCAAATTGAACTGCCGCACGCCCTGACTTCCCTGCTACCCGCTCTGAATGTTACGTCTACAATGCTGCTTCGTAGCCCATGGCATTGCTCGCTCTGTTTTGAAAATGCTTTTGTAGTAGCTTGTGGGCCACGCCCTATCGGCCGGCCAAACAAAGTAGGTTGCCGCCGCCATCGACAATTGTCGCCCTCACTGGTGGTGTTCGAGAGTGTTATTGCTCCCAGGCTTTTGGTAACCTCACTACCATTCGGCGGGAGCACGATCTACCCCTTCGCCTTGCCTTTCAATCGAGTGCATTATCAGTGTCGTCTCTTGGCTTCCAAATAAGCTTCGCGATCTTGCCGAGGACGGAACGAGAGCACCTACCAGGCGGGAAGAGCACACTTTAGACACGACTCTCACGAAAATGATCACCACAACATCATGTAGAGGCATTATTGGGGCCGCGCAGCGCGCTCTCAACATTTCTTCTCGACATACCTTCAGACATGCGAGGTCAGCATGGCGATCTCCACAGCTCACATGCAGATCCTTTGCGGTGTCTGCGCGATGCGATATTGCTGTGGCAGAGATGTCTGAGCAGGACCTTGCCAGCATCCGAATCAACCAGGGCCGCTTGATGAACGACATCCACTCTACTAGCCAATGGGGCAAAGGAGAGAGATGGGGCGAGTAAGTCATTCCCTTCGCGCCGCTTCCCGACAACGATGCTCTGATGAACTTCGTAAATATGCACACCAAATTTACGTCTGCCCTCCCTCGTTCGGAGGACTGATGACTTACACGAACGGCCAACTGAACGCATCCACATCTTGTATTCTCACAGTCATAGATGATTCACAAGAACCCGGGCTGACATTGTGCGGTGCAGTGGACCTACAGATATTGGCATGTCTCGCCTCTCCCTCTCTGACACTGATAAGCAAGCTCGCGACTGGTTCGCCGCGACCACGGAGGATCTGGGCTGTAAAGTGCACTATGATGCCATGGGAAATCAATTCGCCGTGAGGCCGGGTCTGAATGCAGGTCACGCTACATATGCTGGTAGCCATCTTGACACACAGCCCACAGGTGGTCGGTACGATGGCATTCTTGGTGTTTGCGCTGCTGTAGAGATGTTAAAGACTATGAATGACAACTGGGTCGAAACTGCCTACCCTGTTGGAGTCGTAAACTGGACCAACGAAGAGGGAGCTCGCTTCCCAAAGTCCATGGTTGCTTCGGGAGTCTGGGCTGGAGATATACCGCTCGAAGACGCGCACAATTTGAAGTCCGTCATACCTGCTAATGACACTGCCACCATGAAGTCCGAGCTAGAACGCATTGGATATTTGGGCTCGACTCCAGCGAGCTACAAGAGCACTCCTATGGCTGCCCACTTTGAGCTGCACATTGAGCAGGGGCCGATTCTCGAAGCTGAAGAACGCCGCGTTGGAGTGGTCAAAGGCGTGCAATCGTACAAGTGGTTCACGGTGACTGTCAAGGGCCGCGACGCGCACACTGGCGCGACCAGCTTCCAGCATCGAGCTGATTCTCTTTTGACTGCTTCAAAGATGATCCTTGCGTCTCACAAGATTGCGCATCGGCACAAGGCTCTAGCCTCGACTGGAATACTGACCCTCAAGCCTGGCTCCACAAACACCGTTCCTGGATTTGTTCAGTTTACTTTGGATATCCGTGCCCCGAAGGACGAGACTGTCGATGCTGTAGAGGTCGAATGTAAAGCCGCATTTGCTGCCATATCCGCAGGCGAGAACATCGAAGGCGTTAATGCAGACTGCGCCGTCTCTAGCCGACATTGTGATGTATCTTGGCGCACTGATTTCGTCTCTCCGGCCACGTACTTCCATGACCACTGTATCAAGTGCGTCCAAGACGCAGGCGCAGCACTCTATGGCGAGAGCGAAGTCTCAGGTCTCGATATTGGCAGCTGGGGTAAATTCATGACGAGCGGAGCTGGTCACGATTCAGTGTACACCAGCAAGCGATGCCCAACAAGCATGATCTTCATACCCTGCAGAGACGGCGTCTCACACAATCCTGCCGAATACTCTAGTCCTGATGCTTGTGCCGATGGCGCAAATGTCCTGATAGGGGCCGTACTACGATATGACCAATTGAGAGGAAATAGAGGATCATGAACATACTCCAGGTAACGTCAAGTACCACAAACACAAGACAAATCTACATGTATTCTTCATAACTACTCCTCGTCATACAAATTACCCCATCCTTTCTGTCCACAACATTCTTCACACTCAATTCCTCCTCATACATCTCCCGCGCTTTAGGATTACTCGTCAAAAGCAGGAGTGTTCTAAACACAGGAAACTCCCGTATCTGCTCACGTATACACTTCACCATCCACCGGCCTAGCCCTCTCCGCTGATGCGCCGGATCTATATACATGTCTGTGAGGTAAACGACTGTGACGTGATCAGTCACCAAACGAGCCATACCGATCTGCCCCCACATGCTCTCATCAGATTCAAGAGTTGGAGATGGAGTTCGCGGAGATTCTGGCTCTTCGGATGACTTTGGAGGTTTGATGTTTGGAATTTCGAGGTAGAGGCCAAGAGTCAAGGAGTTGGCGAGGAGGGTTTGGAGAATTTCCGCAGACATTGGTTGCGCCCATGGCATGTGATCTGATGCGAAGGCTTTGTTGATGAAGTCGTGGTCTAGGAGGTTGGGGTCGGTGGAAATTTTGTAGGTGCTTTCCGAGGTGGTGAGATCCCAGGTTCGTATTGGCAGTTTTGAAGAATTCATGGCTTTGGGTACTGCTGCTGCTATTATTTCTGATAGGTATGCTAATGACTATTTCTTAGGAGCGATGATGCTTTGATGGAATGCCTCGGTGGTACACAGCACAGATGACTCAGCTTGCATTCATCCCACCATGCTGCAGCTCGCGGCTTTCGATTCAGCTCAGCCTTCCATCAAGAGTATGCGATGCACGTCGCGACTGCCATGTTCACCCACAGATTAGAGTTCGTGCGATACTTGGCTTGAAGGATCTCGACTTTCGATGTCCAGCAGCATGGAAGTCGACGCGAACACGGCTCAGGTCGAAGCGCTAATGAACGATTCGTCAACTACACCGCCCAAAATAATGGTTGTTTGCACCGCAGCTGAAGAGATGCTTACTGACATTCGGCTGGTACTGGGTGGCATCAGGGCCAAGCATACACGTTATATAACCCTCATGGAGAATCAACCATTTCCGTAATCCCTTCCAGCATCAAAACCACAAAACCTCCAATCTAAGGCTTGATAACAACATGCTTCCCTGGCCCAGCATTCTCCGCAGCACAATCCCAAGCCTCCTTCCACTGCTCCAGTCCGAATTCCCCGACTAGTTCTACATAAACCGTCAAAATCCCACCCTCAATCATCTGCACCAAATCCCTAACATCCTCCCTCTCATACATCCACTTCCCATACAGTCTAAGATTCTTATGCATAACAGTCGCATGCGGAATGGCAATATCACCTCTATACCCACCCATCAAACTAACCCTAGCACCATGAGATAATGCCAGGATCGCAGATTTGATATGAGTACTTTCTTCAGCTTCGGGAGGTCCGATGTCGAAGTATGCGTCGATTCTCGCTTTCCCGCCGAAACAAGCTCTAATCGCTTCAGAGTCCGCGGAAATATCGCCAGTGATGGGAACAATTTCTACCCTCCCTTCTTTCTTCAAACCTTCCAGCTTCTCCCGATTCCTTCCCATAGCAATGACCCTCCCACCCATCGCCAAAGCCACCTTCACAGCCGCAGAACCAAACGGTCCCGTAGCAGGCGCAATAATAACCGTTTGTCCAGCTCGAAATTCAATATCTCTGAGTCCACCATATGGCACGAGAAGTGTAGCAATAGACGCCAGCTCCTCAACCCTATACCCCAAACTTTTAGTAAGCTGAGTTTCATCTAACAACGTGAGGTTCTCAAGTGGAACATGAGCAAACTCAGCAAAACTCCAATCCCTCCAAACCTCCCTCATCAACTTCTTACTCCCCTCCGTAAACCCCTCCGTCACAGCACAAAGAAAAACATCGCTGGGCTCATCGCTACTTCTCACAGTCGTATCCAGAAAACCCAAATCTCCGAGTTTCAGCTTCGTAGCATCGGGACCTATGGCGGAGACTCGGGCTATGCCGGAAAAGCCTGGGATTATGGGGGTTGGGAAAGGGTAGTTTTTCTTTCCGTTGTAGATTTCGCGGGTGTAGGAGAGGACGTTTGAGGCGAGGATTTTGACGATGGCGGAGCCTGGTGTTGGGCGGGGGCAGGGGACTTTCTCGACGCTTGGAGGTGTGGATGTTGAGTGGAGGACGAGGGCGCGCATGGTTTCTGGGAGGGTAGAGGTTGGTGATGAGGGGGTGGGTTGTTCGAAGACCATGGTGGATGTAGCTGTGATGGGAATTCCGTCCGCTTCAAGGCAGTCAATGGTATTTGTAGAGATCGATCTGTGTGCTTTAGCTTGCCCTTAATCGAAGCCATGTTGGAGACGACACCAGAATATATGTAAAAGAGTCTTCGGACTTCAAACGGAATTAGCTGGTGTATCGCAAAACGTCGATGGGTATCATTAGAGGCTATAGCAAGTACTCAGCAGCAAACTAGACTGTCTTGGGTCTCCGAGGTACATCGCAAGGTGCTGGATCTTGACCTGAATGCAGACTTCTGAATCAGCCATATCCAGTTGACGGTCTGATGTGAAGAAGCTAGTACAAACGCGGTTCTTGAGGTTTAGCGTCAGATGTTGCTGACAGGTGTGGCTGAAGGCTGTCGGTGCAATTGCTGGAGATGCGTCGGCTTTAACGGAAATTGGTTCTTCACCATCACCTGTATGCAACCCAGCTGTGACGACTATTGCCGCGTCGACTGCGCTGAGCAACTACAGGTGCTCATCCTGTTGGGTGATGTGCTATTGCTCTGCAATGCGACCCACGCCCAATACGCACCAGTAAGCCAGTTCCTTGTGTATGGTCTCTCCCCGTGCTTTCTTCTCGGCGTCCTGAATCTCGGTTGGCTCATGCTCCCATTCAACACGGACGAATATTGGAACCTCCAATACATCATCATCCTCGCTCAACTCTTCCTCGTCTGTGCTTTTCTTCGAGTCTGAAACGATGCTTGGTCGGCGCCTGCTCAGACTGCCAGGAACGATTTCGATGACTACAGATGTTGAGTTTCTGGTCTTTTCCCAGATCTTGCCAGCCTCTGGCTGGCGATCGGTGTCGGCAGATCCAGTCAGAGATGCCATGGCTGCTCTTCTGCTGCCATCACGGCCCGAGCTGATTGTTGACGCTTCAAGAGCGTCATCCCACTTGTCACCATTCGCACCGATAGCGAACGTTGGACAAAGGATTGTGACTTTCGACGACACCTTACCTGGAGTATTGGTGGGCGTAGCCAATGTGACTTTGACCGGATCGAAGATTGGATTGCGAACCGTAAGGACGTATTGCTGTGTCTGATACGGCCGCAACTTTGACTGATCAAGAGGCTCGGGTCGGAATCGAAATGATGGGTTTGGAGCAGGAATGACGGGATGCAAAGGTCGCAGCAGTAGTCTTGGCATATGAGATATGGCGAGCAATCGGATCTTGTATCTTCCGCTGCCAACTTTGGGGTCTGGCCGAGCAAGAATCTGTCGACATGTCCGACAGCGCTTGCCTCTCTTGACCTTCAATGGAGTCGCTATTGGCCATAGCTCGTCTGTGAAACGAGCCTCGTAGTTGTGAGGTGATGTGAAACGCTGTTCAGGTGCAGCTGTCCCATCTAGGTCCAGCCTCTTCATCCTGCGTAGAACATCATCGTCTTCGGGCACCTTATCGGATGTGAATGCAGATAGCCCTTCTGCCAAATTGCCTGCCTCGCGCATCGGCTGTGGCTTCTCCCGCGTCTTCTTGAGCGCACTGTATGACAGCCCGCCATAAAGGCTCATAATGCGCGCTAGATTTGCGGGTGAGCTGTACGGGCTATTCGAGTAGGGGTTCGGCTGATCGCTCGACTCGCTCAGCTGTTCCCGGTAGAACTTGGTCAAATTCGCGAACGCAGCATCGTGCGCAAGATGTCCTGGTTCTTCCTTTTGTTTGCCTTCTGGAGACTCTTCATCCGTTGCACCTGCGCTTCTCTGCCTCCACAGCTTGTTGAGCTGCTCTGTGATCTTGGTCGGCTTGCTGAACTTGATGCCGATTTCCAAACTGCTCCAGTCGCAATACTGGCACATGAGAATGTACTCCCCATTGTCTTTGGAAGCGTCTGTAGGCTTGAGGTGCTTGTCGGGCTGCCGGCTGAGCACAGTGATGTTCAAGTTGGCTTTGCAAACCGGGCAGTCGTAGCAATGCCTGGCACATCTACAGATACCCAGTCAGAATGTATCCCCTCTATGTCTACGGTCATCCACCTCACTTTACCTGTTACCGTCACTCTTGACCCCGCTGCTGGCGACCTCGAACATGCAGCTGGGACAATAATAGTACATCATCTCTTCTCCCCAGCATTTCTGGCATCGTGACTCGTTGCATTCGTCGCAGAATAGTAGCTGGTCGATCGGATATAGTGAGTAGTTTGCGCGCGGTTCGTGGGGATTGAGAGGTTGCTTGTCCTCCTGCTGCTCTTCCACATTCTGCGACGAACGCTTGCCGAACAACACGGTGGCAGGGTCGTTCAGGTATTCATTGCACTGGCAAGCATAGCGCGTGTACGGAAACGTGAGGTCCATGATCGCGATATAGCAGCATGATCAAGGGCAGTAGGGATGCTGGCAGTTCACTCGTATCGATGCGTGATGCCACATATGTGCTTGGCTCGAAGTGAACACGAACTTGACAGCTTGGCGTGCTGCATGTGAAAATAATATGTAGTCATGAAAGTCACCTCATGCATCAAGCCGCGCAATCTAGTGGTGTCAAATTCAGGCAGAGATGATGCCTGAAGATAGCCCCTGATCTGAAACGAAGTATCCTTGGCGAGACAGAACTACTTGCGATGCCTCGTTTGATCATCATCATGAAGTTCTCGAAAAGACGGAGCTTCGAGCGTTGAGATTTCCACGAAAGCTTGACGAAAATGTTGCTGATGCATCACTGACATCCTCTCGAGAGAGACTCCTTCACCCTCACTCACTGTAGAGCCTGCGCTGTCGCTATCATGGAGACACCTCAAACCAAAGCGAGGTTGAGAAATGTTCCGCCGTTCGACCCTCTTGTACCGACCTTGGTGTGGTGTTTGCAGGGGCGCGGCTGCTGGAAGGTGGCACCGAACATTTGCCAGGCGATTCCAAGTCTTGGCCGACTTACAAGGCCATTCTTTACCGCCTTCACTGACTAATAAAGAAATGCCAAATTGAACATCTTGTGTCCTCCTTTCTCGACTACCATACTTCCGGACATCTTCTTCGTCCCGACAAAGTGGTTTGACATCTGGAATATGGACATCGGTAATGGCGACCAGGATCTGCCACGCAAACAGCATATATTAGCGAGCATCCACCCACTAGCTTTACCGACTGAAGACCTTGGTACAGCAGTTGGGGTGACTACACGCAAAACACGACCTACGAGTCATCCTACTCTGGCTCGCACTTCACCTCACCACAATGTCTCCAAAGACGATCTTCCTCCTGGGTGCAACTGGCTTCGTAGGCAGTTATGTGACCGAACTACTAGCACAAGAATACCCAGAACACCGTCTTATCGCTCTACTCCGAAATGTGACACCAGAAAGGACCCAAGGACTCCGCTCACTGCACCCTGGTGTCGAAATTCTGGAAGGAAATCTCGAAGATCGTGAACTCGTAGCCGCAACAGCAGAGACTGTGGACATCGTCATCCACGTCGCACATTCGGACCATGAACCTTCTGTTTCTGCGACGCTGGAAGGTCTCACCAAGCGATCGGCTAAAGGAGGAGAGCTGCCGATTTATCTGCACATGTCAGGCTGTGGTATTCTAGCAGATAATGCTCGAGGAGAATACGTCCCTCCCTCCAAAATCAAAGAATGGTCAGACATTGATCTCGATTTGAATGATTGTCCGTCTGAGAATACGCATCTCCCGACTGATAAGGCCATTTTTGCAGCTGGAACTAGGGAGGAGAACCGCATTCGCACGATCATTGTGTTTCCGAGTCTGATTTATGGAATTGGAAAGAATAGAAGCAGATGTGGGATGTGGGTTCCGATTTTTACGGAACTTGCGAGAAAGGCTGGCCATGCTGGGACGTGGGGACCAGGGGAAGTTACGCAGTATGCTATACATGTGAGAGATGTGGCGAATGTGGTGATTTTGCTTTTGGGTGCTGCTTTGGATGGGAAGGTTAAGGGTGGGGACGATGGGTTGTGTAAGGTTTATCCTGCTAATGATGAGAATGTTGCTGACTGATTCTGTGTAGTTTTTGCGACAACAAAAGAACCGAATATGAGTTGGAAAGAGATAAATGATGTTCTCGGGGAAATCTTGTTCAAACGAGGTGAGGTGAAAGAATCGGGATCGAAGCCCTTCCCGCCGGAGATTACTGAGCCGCTTGGTGATTGTGAGTAGTATTCTTACGTAATATTTCTGCAGGTTGGAGACTGACTTGATCCAGATGGATGGTCACTACTGGGCAGTAATGGTTTTGCGCGACCGGACAAGCTCACCGCAATGGGATGGAAGCCGGAGTGGACGAAGAAGATGCCACTGCGGGATGTGATTTATGAGATGATTGAAGATGGCATCGATTCATATCGGACGCATTAAAGAGGACCAAGAGGCCAGATGGTCATAGTGCAGCGTCCAAAAGTGGACGAAACGCATGGCAGACACGAAATGGGAGGAGACTGAGACGTAGGAGAAGGAGAAAGCGCCTGAAGCTTGAGACAAGCTCTTGAGCTACGCCCTTTTAGTGTCTGCGTCTAAGTAAGGCATGAGACTAGTGAACCTGCTCGAAAGCTTCCTCTTCGTCCTGACCTGACCTCCACCTACTCCGATCCTATCAAAGACACGTTTGCCGTAGGATCAGCACTTCACGCATGTTCTGCGCTCACAATTTCTGCCACAATACAGCGATAGTTATACACATCCCTCTAACAACAGAAGTCGCCGCTCGATGAACGGCCACAATCCGAATTTGGACACGCGGCCTTGCACGCTGCATACTACGATCGAGCATTTTATATCAGCATTGATACTCGAGGAAACATATGCACTACCTACAGCTGTCCAGCATGCCCGTTTTCCTAAGTCCAGAGCCTCTGCTTCAGGAACAGCGATGGCGTATGTCGATACGATGGTAGAAAGGAAGACGAAGATGAGGCTTGTTTTGTAGTTCATTTTGGATGTGGGCTTGAGAGTAGAGAATTGTATCGATGATAGTAACTTGGTTTCTGAATTTTTCAGTGTTGAGAAGGAGAAACACGTTCGAAGATGTGAGATCCGACTTATATAGTAGAGCTCCTATCGACAAACGTCGGAGCAAACCTTCCAAAGAGAAAGAAGCAAGCAAAAGCGGGAAGTTCCAGAGCAAGGCCATAGGCACAACATCGCCATATCATCGGATAATCCATATAGACCAGGGCGAGCATAGAAGAAAGGGATAATGCACAAGACAGACAGGTAGATCGGACTAGCTGCGCCGCTCCGCAACATCACCGCTCCCGCCTTTTTCGTCCAACCGCATCACCCCACAGAGTTTGATAGAACCCCTGTGCAGTGGTCAGAATCCCAATGGCCGGTTGTCGTTTCACACTTCGCCATCACATTCACAACAACAGCCCGAGTCCAAGCGGCTAAACACCCCGAACTTTATCCCTGTGCAAGCTATATCCCATAATGATCCAGACCACTGCCGAAAAGCAAGGTCGTTTACAGCGTCTTGAAGTGAAAGCGGATATCAGCGGCCCGCAGAATCCAAGATTTCTGATTTGTTACGAACCATGAAGTCCAGGATTGGGGAATCCAGCGCGTTCACTCCGATGTGCGCAGACGCTGTACGTGAAGTGTTGCCTCGCCCATACCTTGGGAACTACCAGCCTGGACCAAAGAACAGCATTGCCGCCGTTCTTGGAGTTCTTATCAACACCGGGTCTATTCACATCCCTGCCTCTGGAAGCAAAGGAGCCGTGAACACTGGCGTTACAACTATCCTCGAAAAGAATTCTTGAAACAAGCTTGCTATGCTGGCATTTTCCGCTTCAATGGAGCCGGCGAGATGACCGGAAGCCATTGAATTGAAGAGACTGGACTCCTGCAAACGCCGATTATCATCACGAACACTTTCGCCATTGGAGCTGCTCATCAGGGTGTGTGTGAATACTGCGTCAAGATCTCGTAGGATGAAATTTTGAGAGTCGACTTTTTCACCTTGCCTGTGGTTGCCGAGACATATGACGGATTGCTGAATGATCTCAGTCAATTTGCTGTCAAGCCGGAGCACATCGTGCGAGGAATCTAGAATGCTTCCTCTGATCGAGTCCCTGAGGGAAATCAAGGTGGAGGTACAGCGATGATCTGCCATCAGTACAAAGGTGGCACTATACAGAATTCGCTGCGACATGGGCACCAAGAATGGTGGTTACCTTGATCTGCAGCAGACCCCAAATCTTGAGGTTTGCATGCAGCGATGAGAGCGGACTGTCGCTGGGTAACATTCGATGGGAATGTCAATGGCGGGGGAAATTGCTACTTCAAGCACACCAGCGGAGGAGATGTTCCCAATTCAGGTATCAAACGGGAGTTGAAGCTGGACTGAGCGAGAGGAGAGGAGCTTGAAGGTGGTGAGCGGATCTTTGCGTGTCCCTTTCATTAATTCGGCATTCACAACCGACAGTCTTTACAGCTCGTTCATAGGCACTCAAGGTATCTGGCCAGATATGCTGCTATGTTCCTCAGTGAAAGCGTCATGCTACGTGCCATTGTGATGTCTGCCAAAGGTCTGGTTAGAGACGCAAGATCTCTGTTCACACCAGCGGTGTTCTTAGTCACCATCGACCAGACTCTACCTCTTTCCAGGATGGCGACATTTTTCCGGCACTGGAATCGTTTGTGGAGTCTTGAGGCAGAGTCAGCGTCCGGTGTAGGATATGATATGAGATGAGATGAGATGAGTAAAATGTGGGTGGCTGGTGTCTGGCTTGCGAGGCACAGTCACTCAGCTCCCATCTCTGTGCAGCGTGGGTGGCAAATGTCTGCACTCCCTGTGACACCGTCTGCGGCCAAGCAAGGTCTCAGAATGGGCGGCCTGCAGCAGCTGAAAGGTGATGTGAGGTCAGAAGACAGCATGCAATTCTCTCGCCAATAATATCGCTATAGCAGGGGTCGGCGAGAGCCCTACCTCCTTTCAGGCGCTTCGCATTAGGTCTGTGCTCTCGGTTATCTCGGTTCTAAATTGATACCTGAGGCAAGCTGAGTCTTAGCGAAGCGCCTAAACTCAAAACGTTGAAAACGGACACTACACTCCCGAGAACACAGATTTGGACATTGAATAGCACAACAACTAGAGGTCTAAGCGTATTACATGTATAAAGGGGGTTCTAGAAGGCACGTAAGTGAATGATTTAGGCGTGTTACGTAAAAAAAATATATAGAACTGCGACCTATAGAAAAATAAGACTGTTTTTACGAAGGGATAGTTATATAAGCTCGCGTTTATCGTGCGAATACCTATATTAGACAATCTACTAATACTCGTATCTGCTATTTAAAACATATAATCCCTTTAAGAAAGACCTGCTCTATTACTTCTAAGTGTTTTTAAATGCGTGTCTTACGCTTTACTTAGTCTATATACCTTAGCTTATAACTAGCCTATACGCCTCTTGTTTCTGCCTATAAAGCCGCGCTCTTGTCTCCTATTACTAGAACCTTCGCAAACACTCTACTAAGCATCGCGCAATACTGCTAGACCTTTATTAAGTCCTAAATACTTTAAATAAGCATTACTAAAGCCTCCGCCTATATTAATCTCCGCCGCTACTAAGAGCGATACTCGAGTGCTACTATATATCTTCCGATAACACATCTTCCGACACCGCCGACTCTTACAAACACGCTATATTAGTCCGTATAACTATAACAAGCCCGCTATGCCCGGCGAATACTTAAATATATCGAAGCGCTAGTAGAAAGCGGCAAAGGTTACTACTAGTCGCGGTCGTAGCAGTAGTCGCGGTCGGCTAACTTATCGTAGATTAGGTCGCGGCGGCGGCGGCGTTAGTGCTACTAGCCTATCGCGTTAAGAAGATTAGCTAATATATTAACCTCGAGCGCCTACGGTTTATCGTAGCCCTATTATATACGAAGAGCTAATATAGACGTGCGATCTATCTCCTATATTGCCTGCTATCGATGCTTTAGTATAAGAGTAGGATACTTACTTTAGCGTCGCCTATACTGTAATTAAGAACGAGGATACGCTGCTTTAATAGGTTTAGTAGCTAGTCTAGAATGCCGGCTAGTATAAGGCCGCCTTAGTATACTATCGCTAGATTATCCGCTACGGTCTTCGCAAGGTCTTAAGACTGCTACATCCTTCGCGCGACTCTAAGCCCTCTAACCTATAGATTATAGTAGTTCTCGCCTTAATCTTCGGTTAATAGGATATACTTATAATCGCTCGTACTAGCGTAGGTAAGGCATTAGTCTTTTAGGCCTTTACCCTCCTAACTAGTATAATAACTCTCTAGATTGTGCCTCTAACCCGGATTGTAGAAGAATAGGGTACGGATATAGAGTAGGCTATACGCTAGCTCTGTCTAGAAGAATACGCACTTATTAGTATATACGTATTAACCGCCGATACACTTAAGAAGGACCTAGACATACTAAAGGACATTAAGAACGGCAAATACAACTATATTATCTATAGCCCTAAACAAGCTATAACTCTAGCATTTTAAGATGTCGTGCGTACGATTAAGCTAATACTAGGTTTATAGGTATAGGATAAGGCTTATCTTTATCTTAAGTAGAAGAACTTCCGCAATAGCTACGGTACTATTTATTTACTTCGGTAGCTAATAAGTATTAACACCGTACTACTAGCGTGTTCCGCTACAGTCTCCGATAAGACTAAGAAGTATCTTATTAATAATAGTCTCTATATCTAGAGTTTAGCTACGCTATATACGTAGATTATCCGCGGTAGCATTAATCGTCCGGATAGCAAGTACATCCTTTAAATTCTTAAGCAAACCGAGACTAATAACTTCCGGTATCTATACTTCGTATTATATAAGGCAATCGATAATAAGGGCCTCGCAACTCTATAGAATATTTAGAAGATAATAATCTTTATCGACAGCCGAGGCTCGGTAGATAAGGGTCGTTTATAGCTTATACTATAGCTTATTTAGCTTACTAATTATGTTAAAGAGCCTGCCTAGGGCGACCGCAAGTATATATAGGATAGTGCGCCGATAGAAGCTAGAGCACTATATACGATTAATGTGCACGAGATTGTCGGCTTCTATACCGCTTATATAGCTAAGATCGATAAGGATAAGCGATATTAGGAGTTTAAGAAGCTAGATTCCCGCATCCGCATTCTTTAGGGTATACTAGCGACAGCAGTTAGCATTAACATCCTAGATATTAAGCTAGTCTGCTAGTGCAAGTTCCCTATTACTAGGGATCTCGATAATCTAATATAGAAGCTTAGTCGTACGGCGCGTATCGCTAGTCTTACTACGCTTGCTATTATCTTCTTGCCCTAGTATATCGACGATGCGTTTAAGCGTATACTAGCTAAGTCTAACTATCGATTAATAATCCTAAGAGAGCCTACTAGTGTTCCTACTACTAGTACCGCTATAGCTTAGGCCTCGGCCTACTACCTAGTAGCTATTATACTAGTCCGCCTAAGCTACCTCCGATATATTACTATCCCTAGCGAGGATTTTAATAAGGATAATACCGATACTCTATTCGATAAGTTTAGTATAGACGACGAAGAGGAGGGTAGTAAGGAGGACGATGCTAACGACACGACCTACGTTACTAGCTTAGGTAGCACTAGCAATACTAGCAATCCGGGTCCTAGCAATACTAGCAATCCGGGTCCTAGGCTCTTTATCGACAACCTATTCTATGCGGTAGTAGAGAAAGCGATCGCCGACAACGCAAGCAAGAAGCCTTAGAATTCGAAGAAGATTAGGTAGCGTAACGCTATACCTAATATCTTAAGATATGTCTAGAATACGCGCTATTACCCTAACCCCGAACACCGCCGCTGCTTCTGTACTATAATGCTCTAATTCTATAAGGAAGATTAGTATATATTCCCTCCGGATAAGGAGGTTGTCGGCACTAAGAACTACTATAGTATGTATAATCTAGAACTACTAGAGCTGCTTTTCTAGAGAGAACTACTACCGACCCCGAAGCCTATTAAGGCT